GAAGGCCTTTTGCAGAGAGAATTAACGCCAATTTTATTGCAAGTCGCTGTACAGAATCGCACCAAATTTATTTAAAAAAATAAATAAAATACCAACCGCTGGTTTAGCCTCCATTTTGTCCCGTTGTTCAAAAATTACATATGTGTTGATAGATCACTTTTGCTTTTTTCTTGAGTCGTAAAGAAAGTAAACGCACTATGACATAATTCGTAGTAGAAGTGTGATGCGCGTGCGCGGAGGCGAGCGCGCCAACTGTCAGTGCGCGCGCTACTGACTCGCTCGTATGTATCAATCGAAGGCGACGTCGACTTCACTCCCATCAGTTTTCCAGCTACGGATACAGCGTCACTGACCAACACTTTAACTGCAATTTGATGGAAGGTTTACGACGCAGTCTTGCTGTTTATCACAACCACAACAACACGTAATTACTGTTCGGATACAACAACATTCATCAATGAAGACGAATTGACATTAGAAATCACCGAACAGTCGATAGGGAAAATACCTTTACCAGAGGTCACAGTGCAGCGTAGTTATTAGAAGATCGCAGCATTACGTCATTTCATATTATATTTATTGATTCGTCACTGATTCATCGGCATGTATTAATGTACACAGACAATAACATACAATACAGATTGATACTTCAAATAAAAGGTTTAAACTCAATTTCTAGTCAAGACGATGAAAAAAGTATTTAAAACCAAATCCGATTGGATTTGGGCATAATTTTTTTCATGTCGAACGGTGGCTTTTTATTACATAAATTAACCAAAGGGTTTAATGTCATCTCTAAACCACTTATGAGAATATCAATATCATAAAGTAACACCATATCGTAAAGAAAGTTTTTCGAAACAGGCTACTTCAAGAAACTCCATCAATTCATACTGTGGAATGTTCGATAAAGGGTACCTAAACTCTGCCTATATGCCTGCAAACACGTACAATGCAAGTAACTGGATGACCCAGCTTACGTCGGTGTTTTTTAGTAGGTAGACGACATTTTCTGGAAGTGTTTCCCTAAATACAAACTTTAAAGAAAATCGTTGGAGCCGTTTCTGAGATCGTTGAAATAATTATACAGGGTGTCCAGGGAAGTATGAATCAAATCAAATCGTTTTTTGTTTGTTATCCCTTCTTTAAGCATATTAGAAAATCATTGAATAAAACTAACACTGGTCATAACTTTGAACCATTAAGAATCGGACCTCTATTCCCAGAGTAAAAGATAGGTAATGACCTCTATGACCCTGTTCCATTTGATACATACTACGAATTGCTCGAATTACACCTGTATATAAAGATTTGAAGGTATTAGATTAGATAGATTTAATAAATCTTTTTCTTTAAAAAGATTTGCCCTCCAACACGATTCTTCTATGTATCACACCCAGATACGGAACAACAACGTTGGATCATGCAGAGACAATTCTCTGCGTATCGTGGGTTCCAATCCCGTATGAATATTGATTAAAAAATCAGAAATCTTTCGAGATTATTGAGATTGTTTTACTACAGGATTATTGTTTGATATTAGAAGAGAGGACTATAATGTGGATTCTTTTATTTTTTATTTGACAGTTTCGTACGTCAAACTAGAAGTACCTAGTGAAGTCTGTCTCCATCTCAGTCCGCGTAACATTAAGCAGAATTCTTTTGTTCCAATTATGAGAAATAATTCGTGAACATAAAATATGTTTATCTATTTATTAAATATTATTATTAATTGCAAAAAAAAAAACAGTAATCTGCCAATCTATATATGCCAATCTATATATCCAGTCTTGGCATATATATGCCAAGACTGGATATTATAATCTCGTGAGATATCATTTCAGCCCCAATCGTACGACATTTGCATTCCCAAAGGATGAGGTAAAGACAAAGGTTACGCACATTCGACGGTCAGGTTGCATAACTTGATTTGTAGTCTGTAGTCGTGTATGCATTGTACGATAAAATTGACACTTTTAATAAACTATTGTGGTCTCGTGAATTAATTCAGTTTTTAATTAATATTCACTTAGTAGTTCATTTTGATATTGATGTTTTAAAATTCCATTAGGTTGTGATTGGGTCTTTTACTTTTTCAATTGGAATAGGTACGTGTTTCTTGATAATGATCAAAAATACTTAAAATGATAAAAAGTACTTTTTGACAGTATCTTCCCTAGTGCTCTTTGCGTTAAAAGTAACCGGTTTTTCCCCAAGTCAACGGATATTGATGCGGTTTTTTTAATAGATAGTGTATTCTTAAGGAAGGTTTATATATATAATACATGCATATTGTACCCGTGCGAAGCCAGGGCGGGTAGCTAGTGTTGTATAAAAGGCAATTTGGTTACCTTTAAAATGAAAGTATTATGTTGTTGGTTTTTCGCCACAACCACACTAAAATAGCCGCAATCTCCTGTATGCCAGGGTCTACAATAGCGAAACACCGGAGTCCGGCGCGTTTCAGGGATATGAATAACTGTCTTGATCTAAACGAAATAATGCAGAAGATATTATTAGAGGACAAGGAAATGAAATGATTTCCACTTATTGCCAAATAGCTATTTCTAACGATACGTACCATTTTTTTTCGTTAGTCGCCACTTTCTGCAAAATGTATGGAGCCGAAATGATCTCCTTTACAGGACAGTCTGAATCTGAACATACATAGGTACTTATATGCACCTGTTTAATATGCTGGATCCAGACTAGGTTTAAGAAGGGTACGATCTCAATCCAAAACTTTTGACATAGTTGTAAGGAGTTTCGGTCAATTTAGATCGATTCAGAGATTTCGTGTTAAAATCGGTTATTCATGTTTGGGGGTAGCTTTTAGTCAGTAAGAATATACCTAGTATCCTGCCTAACGCCTTACCGAAGGTGGGCGAAGTCATTACATTATTTTGTCCCTCCAAAAAGGGTAAATCTATTAAAGTATCATTTACAGGATTTCAAGTGGACTTGCTGGTAAATTAATATGTTTTAAGACTCAAATTACATGCGATTTTGTAATTAGAACTTCGTTGTAATGAATTGAGAACAAACTATATAAACCAAACTAATATTACAAAATATGGCTATATGGCTATGGTCTATGTATTGGTGGAAAAAACTATACTCTGACTTTTCAGGCTTTTAAAACAAATATATGGATCGTAAAACATATCAGTCATATACAAAGTAAGTGGGTTTCGTATCGTTAATCAAAAGACAATGGAACAGCTCTAGTCTGGAGTGATTGGCTATGTATGTGACATTTATATAGAGGTACATATGAAAGTCTACGAGGCATACGACCTCGGACGTCACTTGTATATGACGTCGATCTAGCTTGACCCAAGAATTGAGATCCATTTTCGACATTTGCTATTGAATATCCGTCAAAACCCCTCGTTTGTACCTACCTACCTAACTGACTGTGTACCTACACAGTCAGATACACAGACAGATAAACAGTCTCTTTACGATGTTTGCAGACAAGTCCCTCAAAGGATTTATGTGTTTATCGGATAATTAATTCTAGATTATGAAATGATCCATCAACAACTTTACTCAACTACATTACGAATAATTTTTTATCAATAGAAATTACATCAAATATCTCATGGCGAGGATTTTGAGAACCCCGAGATGCAGTTCAACCCGCCGGACAAGAGTCTCTCGTCTCACATCTGTATATTCTAGTGTTTTTTTGAAGGTATGTGACCACCGGACGTGCTATGGTTGTGTACATACAACAAATCTAACCGGACAAATTCTTGCTGCAGTAGGCTGTATGTTCAAGCCCTCACACTTGGGCAACAAAGTCTTTTACAAGTTAAATTGCCGCAACTCTGATAGCACCAGCACGAACCTCACAAGGGTTCGAACCTAATCAGTGGTAGCATATAAATGCGACATTCGATTATACTTAATACCCTAGGTCTGTCTTGACTACCTATTGTCTTCATAGTCTCAAGGAAAAACGAAGCTTCAAAGGGCTCAGGACTTATCGTACTGATAAAATAACAAACACTTGTTAAAATTGCAATAAAACATAACAGTAAATAAGTAAAATACAGAATGTTATGATTTTGATAACGTTCTTTGTATAATTATCGCTTTGTTAGTAGCGGCCTTCTGATGCTATTTACGAAATTATTACAAAGCAGGGCCATTTATACGTGTAGCGAGGTGTGACAACATTTAGCTCAAATTGTTATGGTTTTTAAGAACTAAATACATATTTCAAGTGTGGGAGAGCCATGCTTCGGCACGAATGGGCCGGCTCGACCGGAGTGATACCACGGCCTCACTGAAAACCGATGTGAAGCTACGCTTGCGTTGTGTTTCGTCGTGTGAGTGAGGTTGCTGGAGGCCCAATTAATTGGCTGTCTAGATACGAATAGAGGAGTTAGTACCATTTCATTTCAATAACAGTTATAATGCAGATCCTTTTTTTTTCAGATATGATATCTGCTCTTACGAGTCTTACAATTTTATTGGTACAGACAAGTAACGACAAGAGATATAAATCATGTGACAGATCGAGTGTAAAAATGTAGAAGGATAGAAATAACGATCACAGAAATTGTAATAAAATAAGTGAAGATTGATACGAAAGGGAAAGGGGATTGTGATAGGGGCAAATAGAAAGAGAAACCATTATTGTACCAAACCAAGTAGCTTGGGATATGAACAGAAACCATTGAAATATTATTTTGTTAAATAGCTGTTATTGTTGGATTTAATTTCATGACCAACTGGAAATTTGACACAACACTGAAATTCTTTGGTAGGCTCTCGCCTACCAAACTAATTTATAAACATGAGTGAAAAAAATTGACTTAAAAATAAGGAAACTGTTATAAGTTGTTGATTTTCTTTTTATCAAATATACTTTTTCATTTTCCATGTATGAAATTATTTAAGTAAACAAGTACAATTCACAAATTAAAATATAACCTCTTTATTTTAAATGCTTACGTTGTAACGAATGAAATCATTGTTTATTGACGTACCTTTACTTTTCTGCCTTTCTTCAGTAGATTTTGATTTTCCACGATGTCTTCTAACTCCATTGTGTTGAATTAATAATTTAAAACTATATAAATCACGACATAATTGGCGACGACCTACAGTGCAGTTTGATAACACGATAACGCGAACGATAACTACGGACTATATACTCGCGATACCTTCACAGGTACCGACACGTTCACAGACCACAGAACGAAGATGATGCCAAAGTAAATCTTGATGAACAATCCATTGTAGACTTTAACGAGAGGAGATAAGGTAAGTACTCGGCACTTTGTTACTTGAACGGTGGCATCTAGTTGATGAACACTTTGACAGAAGTTTGCTTACACAGGTATTACTAGACTTGCACAATATTATTAACAGTACAAATAAATAGTCACCACACAAATCACTGACGTGATCTTTTATCTGTAGTTTGCAAATTTTTGAAGGTAAAGTTGAATTGTGACTATATTATAGTGTGTGAAAGAATTGATTTGTAACAAAAACTACATCGATGACACAGACCACTTCGTCCGGAAAAAATATGAATATTAACAATGGAAAAAACGCATGGCTTCTCTACGTGTATCTAATTGTTTCTAATCGTGATGAAACACGACAAGACGTATATATTGTACTTATACCAACCTACGGCTCATTCAGACCGTTTTTTACATTGCATGACGCGGACATAACGCTTTGATGACGTAGTCTGGTCATCGATGATTTGCAAAATATTCAAAAGTCATATTGCGGCAGTGTATTCGAATGACATGCCTAGTCATTCAACGTTCGTAATTGATTTCGAGTTATCTATGCATTTTCCTTCCAAATACCGCCTAGTATGTATAAAGTTATGGCGTCATAATTAACTTTGGTTTGCTTTAGGCAAATATCAATGCACGATACAAAGAATTTGTTCTAGTATTTATCAAGTGTTTCGATATCTAGGCCTCACATTGTCCTAAATCCCAATTAAGATTGTTATCTTATTAATGAAACATATTAACTGATCAGAGTAATATACTTACCCGTGTTGTTGATAAAGTATTGATATTTGTAAATATACTAGTTGCCTTACAAATAATTATCAATCGCGGCCATATTAACTCAACAGTAAGTCAATTACATTAGGGATGCTGTATTTAAATCATTTAATTTTAATCAGTAATCAAAACAGTAAGTGTCAGTAAAATAATTTAGTTGTGTGGGTGCTCCAAGACAGACCTTAATTGTAACAGACGTGACCGACCAATTTTTGGTCATCCTCCTCTCTGTTTAGTACCAATTTATCTCTATAAGCATAACATGCTCTAAAACACACTCTTCTCAGCCTCTTCATACACTCGTTTCTGTTCTAAAACGTCAAATGTCGGCTGTGCTATCTGAAATTACATAAGAATCTTTAAAATCGATGCAGAGGATAGCAACAGTATTTTGTATCACAATAATCTCCTGTTATCGGATGTCTAAGATATTAAACATCAAGTAGATGTCCTATACCTCACTTTTTCACAAATTCCTAAATAATTTATTACCTTAGTAGGGGAATCCAAAATAATACGAAATATGTAAGAGATATCACACTCACGTAATAAATAATAACGATCTCATTTGTCAACTTTACCTATTTAATATTGAGTCCAGCGTCCGGTACAGAAGGCACGTTAGATTTAGGTTTACGTGGTTCTTCCAAATCTGTGAGATCCAGAGGTATGAAGTGAGATAATATTCGGGCACTTTGGAGACCAAATATATAAACGTTGGTAGATATTTTATGGCAGCATACGAGCCTCAACGATACTCCGAGAAGGTTCCCAAAGCATTTGGCCCAGAAGATACTCAGCAGGTTAATTAGTGGCCTAATTTTCTTTACTGTCGACTCTGTGGGTCGACTTTGAACGTTGTATAGGGAAAATGTCGTTATCATCTTATTATCAGGAGCAGTAGAAGCAGCAAGCCTTCCTGGGTGCGGCTGGGATCAACTTGGTCGGATACGTTTGAGTGCTCACAGTCTTCTTGATAAATGGATTCATAGATTCAGACATGCCATGATGTTTGACTTCCATGTTTATTTTAGCGAATTTATCTCCCTTCTCTTCCTCCTTTCTGATCACGATGAAATACGGTCGAAATTCACTGGACGTCATCTTGTCAGATTAATTTTTTTCAATTTTTTACGTACACATGAATTTTTATAAATTTTAGAAGTTGTTTAAAAACTACCTCATTGTCATATTTGGCAGACTTTGATGTTAAACATAGACAGAGATACGAAGATTGAAATAATAAAGAATTTGAAAAGAGGTTTCATTATTTCCTGTTTTTTGATACTTACTTATGTATAAATTCTGGCTTGTAGAACTATGGGCGGTGGGCCTCCCGTCTATAAGTGGGTTGACCGTAATCTGCACGATAACCTATTAGGTTGGAGACAGCAATGTAAAGTTTCAGAATATTTAGACAGTGCTGCTGCATGATCTCTATTGGGTGTTTAACTACCTAGTTATTTATTCGGCTTCTATAACACTAGGGAAAATTAGGCAAATATGTTGTAAATCCTCTGCACTTCAGGGCAAATACAAAATAACCTTTCAAATATACGTAATTTTTTTTTTAATTTTAGGGAAGCAATGTATAATACTTATAAACTGGAAGATATAACCTGATTAATATCGGCTTGATGCCTGGACTTTTTCTAGAGCAAAACGTCGCTTAACTGTGTCATGGTAGGCGGCACTTGACTTGAACTAAAATGGCGTAGGTACCTACTTGTTTTATTTGGACCTAAGCGATTAACCAGAGGTTCATATTGCCTCAATTATGCATAGGGTGCGTATCAGCCCCAATAGCATCCTGAAGACTATAGCAGACAAATGGGACAGCCCTATACTGGGACATTGGATACGCCTGCATGCTATTGTGGCGTAAGTCATGTTTTAATTGTAACTGGTAATTTTAAGTACTAAAACTAGTTTTATAAGTTGTTTGTTTACTAACCAAATGGATTTAAGTTGTCCGAAATAAATAAATAAATTAAATTAAATTAAATAGTGACTGATAAACAAAACTTCAGATGTAAAGATAATATTTAATAATTTATTATTGTGCTTTGTTTCTCAAAGGACACTTTCCAGAATGATTGTTGCGCTGAATGTTTTCGGTAGTAGTTCGGACAAAATCCCTTTTGATTTTTTTCAAAAACAATTCGTAGTCTTCCTCGCTTTCTAGAACTTTAGAACCGTGCAATTGATAAATAATGCTTTGGATTACAGGCGGTAATGTCGGTTCGGTGACAGTAGACGCGGTCGTTGATGCTTGCTCGAATTTCGGCAATGGTGGAAGCACTATCGGTGGCATCTTCCAAACACGACTCTTTTCATCTTTTTGATGAGCCATGCGTTCCTTAATATAACATTAAAACTTGTTAAATTGATTTTGATAAATTGATATTGAATTCATATTTTATTACTATATTTAATCTACTCGTACATCATCTAAAACCATCAAGCCATACTCCTAAACGGTGTAACTTCTCGAGTTATAATTCTTAATTATTTTATTAAAAAGATAATTCTAATTTTGGTGAAAATATAATGTAAGTTGTGTGATGTGTTTGTGCGTAATATATGTTGTTTATGTGTGTAATTATGTATTTTCACATCAATTTCGGTTGTTAGCAAAACCAGTACCCGACGGTGCGGTGGTCACTGACATAAACTGGGATCAGAATAAAACTCACACAGACAAGGAAATTCATGTTCTATTCATGTTACATTTTACACAAGACTTTGCAGGAGTTGTGTTAAACGTTTTAAATAATAATTGCATAAGTAGGCCCCGACTTAACTTATCATTAACAACATTATTGTTGCTTAACTGATTCATGATATCAAAAATTTTTGGCAAATTTTCATTATTTTTGTTTGGTAACTTCATAGGAGAGTCTTGATTTGCACGTCGTAAAATCCGTTTTCTATGAACTTGTTGCGCCTGCCAGATGCAACATATAGATCTATTACTGGACTGTAAATGGCTATGAGAGTGTGTAACAAATTTTGAAAACATTGAACAGATTCTTGTATGTCGTCATTTTGTTGAGAAGACTAATACGGCGACGGAAGGTTTTTCATACGATAAAGGAACTTGCTCTTGGGTAGCACGAATTTAAATACTTTTTCTTTGAGATCCGTCTTATGCGAACCGTGAGCAGCACATACAGTACACTGGAACAAAGATTCTGTTGGGATTTCAATCTGTTTCATAAAGCGTCGCTACTGTACACTTCTTTAGTGCAACTCTTAGGTGGACATACTATATACCACTAGGCAACTAACGGGGAACAGTGTTCAAGTCATTGGTATTAATGGACAATACAATAATACTATCAAATACTTAGAAAACTCGGATTTTTATTGTCATTAATCATCAGGAACGTGACTCCGAACCCAGTCTTTAATGTTGTGTGGTATAATTGCAAGAATCATGTTATTTATTGTTCTTACACCTTTAATTGCCGTTTTTGCAATTGGTTTAAGTTTTTTATAAATCCACCTTGTATGGTTTACTATTTGGTCAATGTCTGAATCTTCTTCACTCGCTTGTATTTCTACGCTTTCCCAGTTAGTAGCCTGAGTGGTGAAAATAAATATTTAAACAACTATTATCAATATTCTTGGAATATATGAACTGAAGTGTAGAACACGGCTAAAAAAGACTGACAAACATTAAAACGATTTGTATTTACTATAGAACCACTACTAGCTCCTTCAGTTTACATTTCCCAAGATCATTTGAAACAAAACTACCGTTTTTATTGTATGGTGAACCGGTTGGACCGCTTTCCGGCAAGGTGCCTGAATGGTAACAAAATATATATTTTTGAGATTTTTGCTGAATTTCAATTACCAATGAAGGCTTAACATTAGGTATAATATCTGCCAAAAGAGTACTGCAGGAAAGTCTCACTGCTCTGCAAGCTGCTGACAAAGGCACATAGGTAATATTCCAGATAATAATACCTGGTCATATTTCTGATAAACGTATCTAGTAATACCATTACATACATATTCAGTTTTCATTGGGAACATTTTTCGATCCTAGGAAATTGTATAACTTGAAGTTTATTGTAATTTTATTGTAACCTTACCGCACCGTAGGTAATTTATAGGACTACAGATTTTGCCTAAATCACTACTTATTTGGTAAAATTCATATTATTATAAGCACGATACTCTACACATTGCAAGTAGCCCTCGAAATACATCCACCTACAATAACCAGTCAATATTATTTATAGAATTTTCATCCCTTTTCCAATACGACAAAGTTGAAGATTAATTTAATAATTTTGGCAGATCGGATATCTTTATAAGCTGGCATCTTGCTTCTGTAAAAATCGTGGCACCAGATTTTTATAAATTGGTAAATTGAGACCTGTGTTTGACACGCGCCATATTGGAAGGAAATCGTTTGAGGGCAAGACATTTACATATTGATCGATTTCATTTGTACCTTTCATATGTGCCTTGTATTTATAAGGGAGAGAAGAGATTATTTATTTTAAAGGCAAGAATATAATAAAATCCTTTAGTACAAAGAATGAGTTCGCCTGTTCACGGTCACCCACCCCAGTTCGCGTCCATTTTACGTATCGCTACGAATGTAAGATATTTAAAAAGTAACATGGACGCAGACTGGCGGTTGGACGCGAATAGGCAACTTACCCTATGCACTAATGTTGGTTTCGATGGATGCCAGATCAGATTCAGGAGTGTAGGCTATATTTTGACTATGCAATGTTATTATAACGTAGAAGAAATCCCTCTTATAATCTTATTACTAGGTTTTGCCTCCGGCTTCGCTCCCAATATTTGTCTGATTGCTCCACCTCCGCAGAAAGAAACAAAAAGTAGCCTATGCTACTCACCATCCTTTCAACTATCTCTACTTATAAAAATTACGTCAATCCATTACTATGTTTTGCCGTGAAAGACGAACAAACAAACAGACACACACTTTTGCTTTGGAATTTTATTATGCCAATATATGACGTGTATGACAATAGGCTCCGCCCGTCATCATCACATTGAACTATTAGAAAGTACCTATCTTTTGAAAAAAACTAGTTTAAAGTGCTCAATCTGAACTCGCATGAGTTTAACGGTGAAATACTCAAACACCACTCAATATTAAGTCGCGCTTAAGTATAGTTCTATCACTACAACTTCTTTGTATAATGACAGAGATGGCACGATATTTAAGTACAAATTAAAATTGGGTAGTTTTTCAATATTTGGGCGTAAGACACTCAAAGACTAAATGGCACTTCACTACATAGTATAAATCAAAGTGGCTATCCGCCGTCTGTCTATCCCTATGTATGCTTAGATCTCTAAAACCGCGCAACGGCTTTTGATGCGATTTGTTTGTATGAATAGAGTGATTCTTAAGGAAGGTTTATATGTATAATACATACATAATATAGTAGAGAAACACTGATAAGTATTGCACCCGTGCGAAGCCGGGGCGGGTAGCTAGTTTGTATATAAACGACAAGATCAAACATTTATTTGTAAGTTATAAGAATATTCTTACTGTAGTTACAAAAATTCTTACCTATATTAAAAAATAAATTGTTACTTACAGTACTGGCATAGTGGATGAAAAATAAAACCATTAAAACGCCAAAGTATAAAGAGTGCTTCAAGAGGTCCATTTTTTTCAACTAGTCGTGCTTGCGTAAGATGTAGGTATGCTTTAATAATAAAATACGAAGCAAGTAGAACTATTTTATGTACACTATAAAAACTGGTAGGATTGTGAAATGAATTAAATTACTTTTCGGTAATAATAATGTGCCTAGGTATAACGACGGCTTATAACTGGGGCCAAGACAAACTTATTTAGTGATAGGTTCACTGTTGACTAATAATGACATTTTTTCTTTAAAGGTTCCTACTAGACGGTAATCTAATTACCTAATTATTAGGTATAATAGGGTAGTAAACGGTGTATGAAAATTAAAATTTTAATTATTTCGTCAGTTAAATAATGAAAAATATTATACACTTTTTAAGCTTGTCTATTGATCTTAGCGTGATGTTTTATAAGCCTTCCTTGATTAATGGAATATCCAACACAAAAAAGGATTTTCGAAATCGAACCAGTAATTCCGGATATAAGCGCATTCAAACAAACAAACTCTTCAGCTTTATGTATATAGATAGGTATTTGGTATATATATGTATAGATGTCACGACAAGTGACCTATTCATGTTAGTGTCAAAGGCGGCGTTTTCTGGGTACCTATAACGTAATGTCGTGGCGGCCCGGAGGTTTAAGACGCCCGCTTCTCATGCATGAGGGTGTGGGTTCGAAACCTACCAACGGCAAGTACCAATGTGACTTTTTACGAGTTATATGTACTTTCTAAGATTATTCAGACACCACTGACAAACGGTGAAGGAAAACATCGTGAGGAAACCTAGGCTTATAATTTCTAATTATAAGTTTGTAATCGCTGACCCGCATTGAGCAAGCGTGGTGATTAATGCGTGGTGATAATTCTCCATGTGAGAAGAGGCTTTGCTCAGCAGTGGGCATTTAAAGGCTGTTGATGAATGAATGATAACGTATTGTCGATGGCTAGCTATAGTATCGGTAAAATCTACGACTGATATAATAAGCCTTCTCTGCCTCTTAAACCTGTACAAACATACAATGCAAGTTGGGCCAAATCCCAAGCAAAAGACTATCCGTTTATAGATTAGATAGTTTACATATTAAAGGAATATGGGAAACCGGGGTTGGTGGTCACAATATATAAGTACTCAGTAAATATATACTTCATGAACCAAATATGAACATTAATCGAAGTCAAAGAATCAGCATCGAAGAGGTATTCCACGATTCTTCACAGCGTGATCTGTGATCCGATTGCAAAATGACTGCTGACACCCACCCCATGAGATAACCAAACCCGGTTTCCCCTAGATATCATACATAGACATTGGTCTGAAACTACGGTTAACTTTAAATATTTATTCAGTCATATTACTTCAATGAACTAGTACATTGAAGCTAGAACGTTGAACAGGAAATAAATCAAACTGTCGATTTCGCAAAGTTATAGGTGAGGCAGTTAAAACCAACGTTAGTACCGTAAGCAAAAGTAAAATCAGTGTGACCTGGGCTCGTGTATTAGATGTAAAATTGTAATGAATTTAAAAGAAAATACAGTATTAGTGCTTTACGTGATTTCACTCTTGGTTGTCGAAGAATATGTAGCCTCTAATGATGTCAAATCAGTAAACACGCAAATGTGTTTAAATTTGGATAATACTGTTAGAGGTATTATTGATTAAATAATTATATTATGTATAATGTAGTGATGGCAGAGATAGATCTTTTCACGAGACAGGTGTCGTAAAAACTGATTAAGAAACTAATCATTTCACAGAAACCGGGGTTTGCGCTTTCTGATAACCTCAACCAGCCTCAGTCAATGGTCGAGATCATGGAAACCCTCTTTTGTAGAACAGTCCGTAGTCCAGCAGGGGACTGGCACGAGCAATTGATAATGATGACGAATTATTTCCTAACTGTGCCTTTCTCCTTCTCTGCAGTCAGTCGAAACTTCATCATCAATAACGATTGACTTCCTAATAAAGAGTCGATTGTAATTGAATTAATTACTGGGCAGTTTTCTGTTCTATAACCATAAATATATTTGTAGATAATATTAATACATTTTCTCCTGTAATTACAACAAATCTGGAACGCAATTATTTACGAAGAATTAGTTTTAAATATAATTCTTACAAAATCAAATCGGCATAGCCATTACATAATAACCATATAGGTCTTCTTTAAAGAACCCAATGAAGGTGGAGAGGTATTCAACAGTTTTAACGACTTAATAGTAAATAATAATTAGGTAATGAGATGAAACAGAGATTCTACTTAGGCCTACCGTCCACGATGAATTATTTGCCAAATGTATTTATTATACATCCTTCACAAACAATAAGCGGATTTCTCGCTGCCAGTTCGTGGACACTTTTCATTTTAACTAAGCCCCAAAGCAATTATTTGTCATTTGTAGACCGCCTATTGTTTGTAAAGGATGCATGCATTCGTCAAACTTCTCAATATGCTTTATTACTTATTTACTACTATTTTCAGCTAAGCACAAGTCCTGTTTATTGCGACCCGATACGGGCCCGTGTCGAGCAGACATTATATCTTGGTATTTTGATGCGAAACAAGAAAACTGTTACCGTTTCTTCTATGGTGGTTGCCAAGGGAATGGGAACCGATACCCGAGTAAAATAGCATGCCTAAATTATTGCTACGTTAATGCGAGCATACAAAATAGTAAGTTCAAAGTTCTAAACGATTTATATTTAATAGTTCCTAGGTAGTAGATGTCAGGTAAGAAAATGCTCATTTAAGAAATTGAAGACGTGCTCTACAGTAGAAAGTCTTCTCCGAATTGCTTTTAAAAATTGTCTCATTTTAACCGCAAGCGTTTAGTTAGAGTGACTGTTATTATTTCCGTTTTTCTAGAACCTCTTTTAATAATATACTACTTAGGTACCTACACAGATTATTACATATACATACAAATAAGTAGATTGAATAGTTTATGAATTTGACGGATGATAAATAAGTAGGTACCTACTATACAACGATTGTGTTTGAAGAACATCATTGTTAATAACAAACCTATGAAAAAATTAACAATCCTAAAACGTACAAATTAATGTTAAATAAGGGCAGGAGCAAGTAATAATTATTAATTGTCTTTTGCAGATCCGATACCACATTTCTGCAGTCTAGCATTTGACTACGGGCATTGCTTTGGACAATACAATAGATGGGGCTGGGATCCCTTATTTAAGTATGTTATTATATTACACGTTAGTTTTAATGATTTAGTAAGAAAAAAAAAATGTTACGCACCATTCATACCAAACTATGAGCCCGCGTTACATAGTTATTCGTTTTTCCATAATAAGGTATTCAACATCTCGTTTACACCGAATCAATTATAAGCTATTACGTAGTGCATTGTTCCTGACTCTCAGTGATTATTGCACTACGTGTCAATTCACGTAACAACGTATTAGATTGCCTACTCTTTTGTATACAGCGGGTTGTCGGCTTGTTTAGAACGTGTACTGCAGACCGAGTCCACGTTCAGACTTCTGGGGTAGACAGTCATGAGTGTACGGAGATTCGGTGACACACAATAGGTACGTTTGGTGTGAACGATGCCTAAACTCGTCCAATCAAAAGTTAGATTTTTAGAAATGGAAGGCAACCAAAGGCATTTTTACGAGTGGATTTTCAATGTCTACTATGTCGTCGTCGTATGTACGTCAATGTCACTACACTATTACAAACCAACACGTTGGGTGAACGTGCAACGCTGCACATGTTGCTCGTCAATTGTTGCATAGAGGACACAAATCATGTATAACACCTCCACCTCTCATTGCAATCTCAGTTTGAATAAGTTATATTATTAGTCTCATTATAATATACTTAACAGCCCATCTCTAAACGTGATTTCATCATGAGTGAGAATTTTAACATAACATAACACATAACATAACATCACGCCTTTTATCCCCGAAGGGGTAGGCAGAGGTGCACATTATGCCACTGTACAATGTAACACCCACTTTTCACTATTTATGTTATGAGTCCCATGTAATAGGGGGTGAGCCTATTGCCATATACCGGGCACAATTCCAGACTCCGTGCTACTACTGAGAATTTTTAAAAACCCAGTAATACTTTGCCCGACCCGGGAATCGAACCCGAGACCCCTTGCCCGGCAGTCGCACTTGCGACCACTCGGCCAACGAGGCAGTCAGTGAGAATTTTCTAACCCATAAATTGATTTAGAAAGGAATAAAACTACATACCGATACATCGATGTTCACGCAATTAGTTCGTTATAACCATAATTGAGTAATTGACTATTGCTTATTCAATTTTCAGGACATGCAGGCGTCGCTTATACTCTGGCTGTGGAGGTAATCAAAATAATTTTGAGACTAGATCGGAATGCCTGGCAACTTGTCTCACGGGACCAAACAACACTTTGAGTCAGGTGAAAACATTCACGACTTGTATACCTTTTACCATACCCGAAACATAACCAAATCAGTGAACCAACTACGACATGTAACAAGTCACGTCATGAGGATTTACCACTGCTCTACGGGTTGAACGCAATCTTTCTGTGGACTGAAATATATAATACATTAGTGAATAATATCGTGTGATCAAAGAGAAAAAGTGTTTTCGTTATCATTTAACAGTACCCTGACCATGTGTGGTTGGTCGCAAGTGAGCGTTACTCGATATTTCTGGAAAAAAAACCGCGATTATTTGACCATCATCGAGTGTTCAGATGCGTAACGAAAGCAAAAGTTTGTTTGTTTATTTGAAGACACTAATCTCCGGAACTACTGGTCTGAATTGAATTATTCTTTTTGTGTTGGATAGGCACGCTACGATCACTCTACTATCAATAGGAACCGAGCAGAGCGGGTGAAACCGCGCAACAGCTATTTAGGGATAAAATTCGCGTTAAGCACGGAATATAGAATATTCTATATTCCGTGGCGTTAAGTATGATCAAAACTAAGTTTGTTTTTCTACAGCTACATATATTACGTACTTACGTATATTATTCAGAAACTTAACTGCCACCTATGACAGATGTCCCACATTGGTGGTTCAATTAGAACCAGGAAACAATTTAGGATCCCAGTACGATACAACCTCAAAAGTTACAAGGCCACAAATCAGATCACTCATTCTACTAAAAAAAAGATATTTTATTAATAAAATATGTTAGGAAAGAAGGCTCTACTACAAAGGACTAACTGAATTATTTTTAGTAAACAATTCCTGTTGGTATAGGACTGTACTAAAGGACAAGAACCGAAAATTAAAGCATAGTTGATGACAAATTGTAACATATCTTATGAAATACTTTGTGGGATAATGTGTAATTAGCCTTAATGACATACCTCCGAATTGAAGTAGCATATAAAAGCAACTTATTGACTTATTTACAATATGAATGTGGATCCATCATTCTGACCAATTCTGCTTCTGCGTGCACACTGCCAATACAGTTTATATACATAACGGTATATATACTGCGACATACATAAAATAAATAATTGGCAAGATTAAACTTTTATGGTGCAAGTTGCCTGTATTCAATTTGCGGGATAATAAATAAATGGGTAACATATTAGGAAACTGATTTCGTATTTTATAGTTTCTCGTTTATCGACTGCCGATAAGATAATTCTTATTGCACTTCGATGCAGTGGGTTTTTTGGAAAAAGAAATTGTTGATATTTAGTATGTAATGGTTTTTCAAGGCAAGGAAATATATCCTTTCCGAGTATACTTAGTTTTGTCATTATTGTTAATTTCTAATTGCATTTGTGATAATACAAAAAGGACTAGGACTAGGAGTACCCTGGGTGAAAATCAAAAAAGATTTTGTTTCGGATCGGATTCGGACAACACAATTAGAGGTATGAACATAGCTACATAAAACGAAATAACCCTGTTTAACCCTAATGGGACAGAACAAAAGTGATGAAAAGTTAAAAAGTACTTATTTTAATTACATCTCTGCTTACTACCATCGCAAAATTGTGCACTGACGCACTTTTCATTATTTTTAACCGACTTCAAAATCAAATCAAAAAGGAGGTTCTCAATTTTACTTGTATTTTTATCTCTGTGCGCGATTATCTTGTAATCACAAGGCTGTACCGATTTTGATGCGGTTTTCAGAAAATTGTTTGTTACACATAGAACAAGGTTTTAATGTATCAATTAAGCGACTTCAAGAAAATAAGGGGTTTGAACACGGTTTTATTAAACGTAGTTTATAAATATAAAATTATTATTATTGTGTGTTTGGTATTGTTTTCTACTTCTTATCTATGGCGTGAAAGAACCAACCACTGTCATTTTGAGGCAAATAACTAAGTTTATTTATTTTAATTTTGATTCAAATAATGCAACTAAGTATTTATTTACAAGACACGCTATAGGCGTCTCTTGTAAATAGAGCTGGCTTGGCTGAGGAAAGGCTATTCATAAAAACCTACAAATGAATTGAGAACCTCACCCTTTTTGGGAAGTCGGGTAATAAAATAGATTAGATCTACCATTAAAACCGGTCATCAGTTTCCTCCAAGCAACGAATGAAGTAAATATGTTTACCAGAGAGTAGTAGGAACACCACTAGACGGTAAGTAAGACTAGATTTTCATGTATTCTGTTAAACATAGCAATGCTGCCAGCCCATTGAGCACTTTCCCGGTTGACATTGATGCGGTTGAATTTTATAGTATATATATACCTATCTATATAGTTATATATATATTTAGATAGATAGTATATTAGTATAGTAATTTTCATTAAAATTATTTTTACATAATATATGCGCCAAGAAACAGAGTCACTAGCATTTCTATTTTCAGTTCATGATTATACTCTGATATAAGTATCTTATTCATTGGTAACGTACCTATTTCATACAAAAGGTAATTAAGTTACCTTTAAAATCAGAACCTTTTGCTGTAAAGAGTATTAAAATTAAGTATTATATAAATGTATTGTCGGTTCCAGCTAAACGTAAAGTATGTTTACTAAGGCCTGACACGGGTCCTTGCAGAGCCGATATTTTATCTTGGTACTTTGATGCTAAGAAACGGAAATGCTATCGTTTTTTCTGGGGCGGTTGCCAAGGAAATGGAAATAACTTCGTCACAGAAAAGGAATGTAAAGAAACATGTTACCTTAGCGCAAATATGAAAGCTAGTAAGCGTTTTATTTACTCATACCGACTTCTTTTTAATCTAATATCACTAGCACAATAAACTAACTTGAATCGGTTGTATTGTTGCATCTCTCATTTCGTGTCGTGTGAGTGAGGTTACTGGAAGCCCAATCCCCGAATGCTCAACAATCCTCAATTTCCAAAGAGGCCGGTAACGCAGTTGTCTGGTACCGCACCTTTGGTATTTTGGGTGTCCACTGCCTATAGCGGCGCCGATCGCTTTCCATCAGGTGATCAGTCTGTTTACCGGCTTATTCCATCTTTCTTCTTTAAAACTAGATGTACCTATATATAATTAGATACAAGGTATTATGCAAGAAATTAAATTCGTGGGTGACAATGTAAATCGAGTTACTACCCATGGTTGACGATACTAACGGCAACACGTACATGTCGTTAGTAGAAGCTTAGTTTATAACATCAACTAGGATTTCAGCCCTGTTACATTAGATTAACATTTAAAAAATGTCATTATTTATTTTTGCAGCACACACACCGTACTTTTGTCAGCTTGCGTTTGACTATGGAACCTGCTTTGGACAATATAATCGATGGACTTGGGATCACGTAGCCGGGTACGTATTAGGTTATACAACACATCAAAGAATTTGCACTCTTTGAGTGAGCTCCGCAACAAAGGTTTGTAGCTCGAGTATGACGTCATGTCACAAAGTCTTCATGACTGGTTTAGTCAGAGACGCTTAAGAATGCTTTGTGCAATTATTTTGGCTATGGATTTATAAGGTACATGGCACAGCAATTATATAATCAACTCCTAAACGATTGGAAGGAGTGAATTTAATCTATTTTTTAAATGTACCATGTTACAGTCACTGCAGACGGCGCCTGTATTCTGGGTGCGGTGGTAACCAAAACAACTTTGAGACGAAGAACGAATGCATGGCCAACTGCCTGACGAAGCCAAATAACACCTTAACCATTGACAGAATGCGGTTCACGACTTGTATACCATTCACAATATCAGATTTCAGTTAAATAGACTTAATTACGGTCGAAAGGTTAAAACGGATCTTATTCTAAAAACTGACAGTTTTTGACAAAAACTTCATTCCTACAAATATGACCAAAAATCGATCTTAATATGCAGAACATTATAATAAGTTGGTATTTTACACACAACATCTAATGAGTTGTATACAAAGTCGGTAATGGACAAAAAACATCATCTTAATAATATATATCATATACATCAACTTTGGCATTATCAACAGCCGATAGCAGTGTACTACTGGACTACCTCTACAATCCATTATACCTATATAAGGGTGCGTCCACATCCAACGAATGCTATGCAAATGCGCCGCTTGAAGCCCCTCGCGTCTTGCCTGCGAGCCGTCAGGGAGCTGCGCGCGTTTATTTAGAATTATTATTTATACGAACCTGGAATAAGTTGAGTACCAAACCATTGCCTACAAATGGCTTGCGAGCGGCGCATTGGCAATATGTGGAAGCACCTTAAGAGAGAATTGCCTCAATCTCAACGTTTGACAAAAATGGAATGCGGATTGCAGTTTTAAAAGTGCTTCAGGTTTGAAAGCACTGCTGCCTGATCTCTGTCCAACTTGTAGTCCTTAAACGGGCTCTGATAAAATCCTCGGAAAGAGTTTGAAACATGCATAAGAAAAAGAAAGAAATAGAAATTGAAATCGCTTTTTATTAAATTAAAATGAAAGCAATGAAATATTTGTGCGTATAATATTAAGATTAAACTTCAACGTGAGACATTGTCCATTGTACATTTTATTCTTTTTATTATTAAATTTTATTCTTCCTCATCAGCAACTGTTCTCAGCATCACGAAGTACGAGAACGAAGTTTTCAAAATCTGGAACCATAAAATTAACTGAATTATCATTTGTCTGTTAAATAAATATGTTTTAAACAAAAAGTCATATCTATGTTTATGTATACCTATTATTTTACTATCTAGTTCAATGGGGTAGACGACTAATTTTTATTTTAATGTCCGTCTGATAGATTATTTAAAAACATTAGACACGTATTTTTTATTTTCTCACAGAAACGAATAGTTTCGAAGATATATTGATTTGAAATGTCGCGTGACGTCACTTCTCAGTACATTTTATACTAAGGAATGACGTTTTAGCCCCCACTCCTAAACTTTGATTCGTTTTATCTAAGTATTGTTTTATTATACGACAAAATAAAAAAATACGTGTCTAATATTTTTTCATTACCTAACTTACGGACTAATTATATTTTTAATTTTCATACCCTGTCATCATCCCCATTAATGAAGAAACATGTAGATTTTTTATCGAAGTTACATGCTATATTTTTATTAAAACTAGCTTTTGCCCGCGACTTCGTACGCGCAATCCCGATATTTCCCGTTCCCGTTCTTGATTTTCGGTAAAAAGTAAAAAAAAAGAATTGGGTAAAAAGTATCCTATGTCCGTCTCCTGGCTAAGCTACCTCCCCACCAATTTTCATCCAAATCGATTTAGCCATTCCTGAGTTATAAATAGTGTAACTAACACGACTTTTTTATATATATGTTAAGGTAAAAGTGTATATATAATATTAGATGATGATGATGTGTATAAAAATATCACCGTACCGCTATCATAGTCTGGACACCGACAGTAATCATGCTGCATGCCTTCAGATTCATAGATCGCTGAGATTGCCTTAACATGACAAACACGTTCTTTCGATTTGCAGTGTCCATGTACTCCCAGGGCACACTATACACGGAATCTATTAATCTGTCATTCTGGAATTAGAAGTCATTCTTATTAACTTCTATTTAATTTGACAATATTCGTCCCTTATTCTTGAAAGACTGAAATGTTCTAAACAAAGAGACACAGTTATATCTGGAATAATAATAGTTCCTTCTTTTTTCCTTTCACACCGGTAATGCTGGTAAAGCCGCTAGTGGAACCTAGTCAGATCACAAGTAATACAATAGAGAGATTTATGAAATTGTTACACAAAATACAAACATTATTTAACTTTAATAACAATATTTTTACTAACGCTCAGTTGATGGTTACGCGAATAAAAGTGCAATGTACTTCTATCTATGCGTGTGGCCATTGTCAACTATAAATGTTACAGTACAAAACATGTTACGTTTTGTTTTGAAATTATGTAAGAACCCAATACTTACTGATGACCCAATCAGCTCAAAAATAACGGACAACTGAATTAACTGCTGAAAGATAATTATAGTGAGAGGTCCGTATCGAGCTAATGCTGCTGTATCCTAAAAACATAATAAAATTAACTATTAACTATCCCAGTATTTTTCAACAATCGTCGTAGAGCATAGCAGCGTAGCAGTGATCTACGATTTGTCTACGGCTACGCGATGTCTACGCCTCAGCTACGCCGCGTAGGAGCAGCGTAGACGTTGTTTGTGTCATCTACGCTCGATCATTTTAGAGCTACGTAATGTTACGCCGCACCTACACACCGGGTCAAATCGTAAATTATGTAGTAATTCGTAGCACAGTCTACTACGTCGCCGTTCACACGACGCAATGTCTACGCCACAGCTACACCGCGTAGAAGTAGCGTAGACTTTGCCTACGTTGTCTACGGCTACGCAATGTCTACGTCAAAGCTACGCCGCGTAGGACTGGCGTAGAAGTTATGTAACAAATCGTAACCGATATTGAAATCCGATAGCGTAGGATTCCGTGATTACAAAATTGTTACAGTGCAATGTTATAAATTAATTATTATAAAAACGTGTTTATTTATTTAAGAAAAATACACAATCATTTTAAAATGTATAGTTACAACTTCATAAGAGTCCAAGCACACATACCAGCTGTGAGCACTCCAGGAGCAAGAGACATCCGCTCACTTGATGAAAGAATAAATACACCAAAAGAGTCCACCCGAAACTATCGGCCATCATTGATGAGAAGCTGAAAATAGCAATGAGTATCAAATCAACTATAACACAATATATTAAAAAGGTGGTTTATTAAAAATGTACAAAACTACTGTATATTTTTAAGAAACCACCTGAATATACTGGTAAACTTTTTGTTAGGAAGGTGTCATTGAATGTACCCATATATGTGTGCTCATGTACTCACTTGATAACAAGACTGTGGATTTGAATACAATCCCGCAGGCGAATAAATACTTCAACTAATTCTTCTTCATTGTATTTGTTCTCACATGCTGTGTACGCATGAGTATCATTTGCCGCAGCGAGCACCGAGGCCGGCTTTGGGAAGTTCTCGAGATTGTAGGACAAAACGCGCATGTGACCCCATAGATGAAACACCATTATAAATATAGTCAGATCAATAATACAGAAATATGTGGAGCAGGTTATACAAATGTACCAGTTGTACAAGGAAACAATAGCGTAGCCTTTGAAACTAGTTGAGGTGTCGAAAGGCAGGGCAAAATATACAGCGTGGTCGAACGTGGCGTTTGGAGGCGGCTCATCTCTGAACATGCCTGCAGCATAGCTGTTGTAGATAGGAGTCAGGTTGAACAGCAATATGCCGCAACACATCAACATAAACACGTACATTGTGAAGAAGTGAGATATTTTATGGACCAGTATATGAGTCTGCAATGTAGGAGGTATTGTCATTAATAATGGAATTGTTTTAAGCAAAGAAAGTGATACTAACTTGTTATAAACATCTAAATGAAATTACTTACCTCATAAGCATACTTAGATTTACGTCTGAAATTGAAAAGATGTACTTCTTTCAGAAAATAGAATATGATTTCGTTGTAGTTTCTGGTCAATACTAGCACCGTTCTTAACTGTAATAATAAAAGTAATCTGTATTCTAGTTTGAAATGTGTTCTAGTAATCTGTATTGGATCCATATGCAAAAAAGCAAAATTAAATATTAATCCTTATAATTTTTGTACACGAATTGAAATTTAGGTCAAAAATTAATAAGTATATGATAAAATGTATTACTTACTTTCATTTATTATGTACAATGATACTTACGGCGGCGATAGCATTCATAAACACGGTGATGTAAGTGTGACCCAACTCGAAAGATGGTATCTTCCCAGTGTTGATTTTGAGGTAAAGCGTGCCAGGTATCAGGGATACCATATCCAAAATGCAAATGTAATATCTAAAGAATTGAGACTTATGCGCTTCTTTTGGCCACCCATCTATTACCCACATGATCTTTTTAAGAATTCTAAGGTATAAAATGTCTTCCACTTTCTCGATCCCCCTGCAAAAGAGTATTTATTGTTTCTGGTCTGACACTAAACGCAGTCATGACGATAATTCCAACAGGGACGGTGCTAATGATATCCTGGTAAGTACAGGGTATACAATTCATATATCTGTCAAATCTAGTTATAGCACAAGACATAAACAGTATACATAAAAACGTTGAATAGTTAAACTCAATATAGCCAATCAATGTTTCAGCAGTGTTTAAAGTTTAACATGGTTGTAGTGGTTTGTGTCATCATCATTGTCATCATAATCATCATCAGCAGCTGAAAGACGACCACTGCTGGACAAAAGCCTCCTTTATTCCTCGACGTTGGAAAATAGCTCGCAATTTGCATTGAATGGTTTCCCGCGACTTTGACAATGTCGATGTCATCGTTGATTTAGGCATTATAAAGAAACTTACTCCAGATCGCTACCATCGGAAAAAAATTTTACTGATGACAATTTTATATCCATTTTGATCAATGTTTTCTTATTCTAATAGCAGTTAAAGAAAAAATATCCTTTTTATAGTCTATTAAAGGTCCATTATTCAGAATGGCATGATATTTTCACGGCCACGCCACTCTGTGATAGACACATTAAACTGTCATCACTATTCTAGGGTTCCTCGGGTGTTGGACTGGTCGTAGTCTAAGTAAAGTTTGCCAGCCTAGGCTTAGCTTAGCATTACGTTCGAGTCTTCGAATCTGAGCCTTCTAGACGCCTAGAGCCTAATTAAACTGTATCTAACAGTTTAATTAGGCTCTAGGTATATGTACCTCTATATTAGTTTAACCACGATTGTTTTTCCTAACTGGTATATCTACATTCTACCAAAAAAACTTACAGCACACTACATTCTACAGCTTATTTTATATTTGTCATAGGTTTAAAGAAAATAGAAAGATCGTAGTAATTATCAAGATTAACAGGTTATAGTCCACCTTAAACCTACATTATATTCCCGAATATTAAATCTAATCTAGAATCTACAAACAGCTTCCTACAACTTTCAGCTGTGCTATTGTCAGTCACTCCAGTCTTCTTACGGGAAGTATTGATTGTTCATTACATGCTAAGGTAATGTTTTTACATGTTTTCTGTTTAGGTAGGTTTCTTTATGTGATAAGCTTGTAAACGAGCACACAGATCACATGATGGTAAGCAATCGGCGCGGCCCATGAACACCCAAAACATCAAAGGCATTACACGTGCGGTATCGGCCTTTTTGGGATAAGGAATTTGAGGGATTGCGGAGTTTTGGTAGAAATTATTCTTTGTATTTCTTTGGTTCATTTTTCTATCATCAGTTATTTATTAACTATAGAATATAATTGACATTTAAAAGTTTTTAGCATGGATGAATTTTCATATATTCAAAATTATTCCTCATTTTAAATGTAACTGAGTATTAAAAAAATGACCCCAAGGGCTGATTTTTCAATGCTCAGATAAATTTTAACTGAGTACTTATTAGCTATGAATATTTGACAATTCTTTCATACTAAAAACTGTCAACTGTCAATTTTATTCTACAGGAATTAACTGATGAATGAAAAATCGGCCTAGTCACTCTAATCAACGAATAGTTGTTGATTCTTTAACTACTGCATAAGTTGCGTATATGATTATGTTGACCAAGAATGTGTAATAATATTTTATGAGGTACCTATACGATTTTGTGCCTGTATAAACTATAATATAGATATTCGTCTTTTGTTTAAAGTCGGTTATAAATGAGTACCCTATGTGCCCATTTCCATGTCACAATAAATATCATCAACAATAACATATTTTTATTAATAATTGTTGGTTTTCAATGCTTCTTCACTGAAATTATTATGAGAAAGTGCACACGTGTTTACTGCATGAAAACATTCATCAAGAAAATAAATTATATGAATTACCATGAACTGAAGTTCTATAATATGATTGCAAATTGAAATATGAACGGCGACTGTCTAATAGATATTATAAATGGTTTTATTATTATTTTTGTTAAATGCGTGGGTTGCCTAAAAGGTATGATATTTAATTCTATATATATATAGAATTAAAATTTAACAAAAATAAGCAACCCACGCATTTAACAAAAATATATATATATATAGTTCAGGTACAACTTTCTGATATGTTCTGGCGATCATACGAATTATAAGTGCATTTATTTATTTCGATAATTCAACTTTTTAACTGTTGACTAAGAAATTAAAAATTCGTCCCAAAAAGTAGTCTGTCTATCGTTTTTAAGTTGCTTCGGTGGGTAATTATTTAATGTTTTCTGCTCGGAAACTGAGTCAGTAGAAAAGGTATTGAAAAACGATGAAATGACTAAATCACTTTTATAGACCGACACTTAGCTCCATCTGGTAGTCCAAACAGAAACTGCACTGACAGTGATAAATGACACATGTATGTCATGTCAAAAAAATAATGGACAAGATTCGTGTCAAATGTTTCACTTGTTCAAAGTGTAATTAAATAATGTGGTTTAATTACACATTCGTACAAATGAATAATATACTATTTTAAATCAAATAAACATCCATTTGTAGAAAACTGTAAGTGGCGCCATCTACTTATATTGCGTTTTACTAATGATGGTATGTGTCTTCTAAATACGATGCTGTAGTAGGTACAATTACGGAGCCAGTATGATCGATAGATGGCGTTATTCTAATTACTTAAAAAGGATTAAAGTACCATTTTTAAAGTTTCTATGTATATTTTAAATAATATCAATAAAACCAATTTATATGCAAATAATTCTGAGCCACTATTCCTCGTGGCAGCTAGGAGGTTTGAGACGCCCGCTTCTCATGCATGAGAGTGCGGGTTCGAAACTTACTACAACAACAAGTATCTACCAAACCTACCAATGTGACTTTTTCTGAGTATTAATTATGTACTTTCTAAGATAATTTAAGCTCCACTGACAAATGCCACAGGAGGAGGACAGTGAGGAAACCTGGGCTTATAATTACTAATCATAAGTTTGAAATCGCCAACCTGCTAAGGGCGACCATGATGATTAATGCTTAAACCTTCTCCGTTTGGTGCAGCGGTGGCCACTTATAAGCTGTTGATGGTGATAATGAAGATTCGTGTATTAGCCTGTAAAAACTAACAGTTGCAGTCGCCTCATGTCCAGACGCGCGTTGAGCCAAGTTTAAAATAAAATAGGTACTTTACACCACTATCATCAACATCCCATCCAGATTCTTTTTCTAGATTATGGTTCTTCTTTTCTCTACAAACGAGGGGTTTGCCATAATCTCCAGGCTTGGCAAAGCTGACCACCACAGATGGGTCCCAATAGGACTGATGCCGATACGGAGCCGCGGAGAACTTAACGGGTTACCGGGGCTCCGGCTCGAAGTGCTGGAGTAGGAACGGGGTGGTTTTGAGTTAGTAGGCAAGGGGTCTCGGGTTGGATTCCCGGGTCGGGTCTGAAAGCTAGGCGCCTCTTGAAGGGTGCTTTGTGTATACTTAGTAGAATAAAATTTAGTAAGTCCAAATAATTTTTTTGTGTCGTATTTAAGAAGTAATGTAGGGGTGACATATCATTTTAGAGTCCTTATTAAATGCGGCAACTTTGGTGAAATTTTGCCATTACTACCGCAGTACAATTTTTATTCAGTACTTACAGTCACTTAATGTTAGGTGGAAAATTTATTAAGAATACTCGGTTCGTCAAAAAACGAACTTCTTTTCCAAACTAAAGCAGTTACAAAGCATAATACTGAAGCACTGTCTAGGATATCGTAATCGAAAATCTAAAAGAAAAAATAAAGAATTGTGGCAACAAGAGTTAAGATACTGGCAAAGGGTGCTTTTTCGTGAATTACACATAAGTCAATGTAATTTAAAAACTACGATTTGGATCACCTGGTGCCATTGGATCGTCATGGACCCCTTGCATAAGTGACACCTAACAGTAAAAGTAAAAAGTTAGTTTAGGTGCTATGTTATAGCGTAACATACTTTTTTTAGATATGAGACAGCTTAGCCGTGATTGGTGAAAACGGTTATTATTCTCCTTTCAAATAAGGGGATTGTCGTAATCTCCACACTTGGCCAACGGGATGGAGATTGCAATTTATAAGGAATAGGTTCACAGAAATCTTTGGAATAGGATTAGGTTTATTAGAGAACGTAGCGGCCTGGTTTGTGTTAAATAATATGTAGCATGAATGAGGAAGAGCCCCTCTGTGGTTAGAAACTAGTAGAGCTTTTCTCAGATTATTCATGTGAGTAAACCGCGATTTTTAGTTATTATGTAGTCCCTTAGTCATCTAACTACAGCACCCGCGGAAAGAGTACGGGTGGCAAATGTATTCTACTTTACCGTCGTAACGTCACCACAAAGCTAAGCATAGTGCATACCTTTGTACTATTCTTTATAAGTATTTATTATTTTTATTAAGTACTGTGTAGTGCGTGCGTGCTTGCTACCTATCCATTGTATAAAAATGTACATAGGTGCTTTTAAGTTATCTTTATTTCACCCTGTTTCCAGTTTGCATTTAGGACGTCCTTCCTGCTTCAGTTTCGTTTAAAAATTAACTAGCAATTTAACTGGAGCGTTTTAATTGAAGCGAGAGATTTAATTTGATAGTTAGATACATTGGCGATTGGTAACTAAGTAAGGAGCAAAAAACAAGAACCACCTATCAAGTCTCGAAACTGATACAAAGTGATATGTTTAATAACTTACTTAACTCAATCATTACCAATTAACCGCTAACAGCCAATTAGTTTGTCCGTGATTTAAAAATGATCAAAGAAGCAGGTTTAGCGCATCGTTATTCCCGTAGTGGCAAACGGAACGAATAAGCTAAGCGGTGGGCGGGGGAGGGCGCGGGTGCCGGCGGACGGTGCGCGCGCGGCGCGGCCGGCGGTACGTGCGCGCACTGCGCTTTTTGCTTGTGGCAGGGCGACCGCGGTGCGGCGGCGGCGGCGGAGGCGCACCGGGATCTTATCCTTATTGTATTTTATTCTGTTCTTAGCTCTCTGTCCCGACGAACGTCCCACTACATCCCTATTGTAAAACTCAACGTTTTATTGTAACAAAGCCAGTTTATAATAAACTAACGTATTATGCCAATATGTTAGTAAAAACTCAGTCATTCTTTGCCCGGTCTTCAGACGGTCTGTTTTGTTGTGTGAACGAGTGTTACAAATAAAATAATAATAACGGCGAACACAGATTTTTAAGAAAATTGCTTTATCAACTGACATTATGAATGTAAATGATTTAGTGACCCGTTTATTTTTTCTCACCATTATTTATATTGTTGGAGCTGCACCTGATGATAAGGTAAATATTATTTATGTTTTGTTGATACTTTCATATTATTACTCGTGTGACTTAGCCTCGCGCCACTATCTCAATTAACGACACCTTTGACTTAGTAAAGCTCTGATTAGTTAGCTTTATATTCCTAGACTAATTAATCTATGGATACAATCCCAAATTGTTACCAAAATATTTCTTTTATTTTATTAATTTTTTTGCTTTTGATTATCCAGTATTGAAAGCAGGAAGTGGCTTCGATATTGGTAAATATGTTCATGCGTGTAACTGAGTATGTTACTGGACGGGTACCCGACGTACTTTAGTTACTTCCTGTATCTATCAGATCGATGTGACAAGTGACAGACTACAGAATAGGAGTTATCTGGCAACTTGTTTGTTTGATGCTCGACCTACGAACATAGGTATTTTGTAGCCTTACATCTTCTGTACCTATCTAGGTATAACTCACTAATTATATTTCATTGTAATTATACCCCGGTGTATAAAAGATGGAACATTTTAAATTGCTGTAAATGATATAATAGATACGTTTACACAATTATAAATGAAATTGTAATGTCAGTTTGTAGTGAGGAGATAAATGAAGGGCTACCTGTGCTCAGGTGGCAATTTGCATTACTAGATCTGTAACTACTTGGGATTACATGATTAACCCACTCACAGGATTACTAGTTGTAATGAAATGTTTCAACATGATACTTGAAGCCGATGATTTCTTTTAAACGATTAATCTTTCTGTTAAATCAATTATTGCTTGGCGCCTGAAATTGGTAACCGATATACCTAAATCTATATAATAAAAATCAGTTTCCGTTTGTTAGGCTCGCTAAAACTCGAGAACAGCTGAACCGATTTCGCTAATCTTGAAGTTGTGGAAGTTCAGGGAAGGTTTAAAAGGTAAGAAAAAGAAATGAAAAAGTTTTCGGGATCAGCTAGTTAATCATAATTCCAAAATCTTGATATCGATCTAAGTTTTGGCAGAAATTCCACACAACTATAAGGCTATATTTATTAATTTTGGGCCTAGTACCTATTAATATTAATTTTTAAAAAACCTCAATTCGTTTATTTTTTTGCTGTGTATCAAATATCGTATTCTGATTATAATAGCCTTTAACTGTTTTCATATTCTAAAATCAAGATGTTTATTGTTTTTATTAGAGATCTTTCCAAGTTACTGTGTATATTTGCATAGATAACAACATAGTTAGGTCTTTATCTTAATAAGTAGGTGTTGAAGGATATCTGATACTACTTATAATAAAAGAGCCATAAAGCCATGATTTAATTATTTTTTGGAGGTGTTCTCAGGTGTCCTAAATAATACGTTTTTCTGTATTGCCTATCTAGTCCTGTTCTTATTCCGTGTACGTCTTCGTATTACATATTCCATGTATATTTTCTTTATCAAGGCACTTCAAGTCGTTTTTATGGAAGTCCCCATCAATCAAAGATTTCAAATCTTTACCGGCAGTTAAATTTCTAACATCAGAACTGACACAAGCACTCGTTAACTTAATAATGCAACGGAACTTACTTTAGAGTCGGTAGTCAGATTCCCTGACCTCCGACCTGACGACCTGACCAGAGTTCGTGAAAGCTTTCGATTTGTTAACATAATAATATAAGAACTGGCGAGATTTTTGAAAATCCTACCGCTGTCGATCGACACAAACGATTGTAACGATTGTTACAAGTCGTTTGAGAGATGTATTAAATATTAAATATTTTGGTTAATCATATGGTCTTGTACTTACCTAGGTTTACCTTTAAACCTTTTCTTTTTGAGTAACAAATGTACAAGGAAAGTGTGTGCCTAAGTTGTACTGCCAATATTATAATTCGGTAGATATTAACACATACCTTAGAGCATTTTTTGAAGTTTGATGTCAATCAAGGAACACCTATCCAACGCAGACTTCATCTACAGTGTCAAAAATTGAAATCTTGAGATAGTCGTATTTTACAAAATAAAACTCCAGAAAAACGATATCGTGCTAAAATTCAGAAAGAAAGAAATTAACACGTGTGTCCTATAGAGGTAGAAGTGTTCTTCACATGGTGATATCTTAATTGCTAATGACACCCGTTTTTCCCGGTCTCGGTGTCATGTATATATAAACTTGTAGGTTTGTAAACGCACCCACAACACAAGAGAAAATCCTAGTGTGGGGAAACGCTTATTTAATAAAAACACCCTGCTTATTGGCAGAATTCAAAGTCTGTAAAATAAAGAAATTTTCTAACTGCTTCTTTGTTAAGGCTGCTATTAATGGGACGCAGTGGTCAATGAGCAGTGAATTCAACTCGACGAGAGTCAGTTTACCGACTGACAAAATTACAATAAACTCAGTCATTATCATTATCTCAAGCGTTTTTCAACCAATGTGGTGTAGGCCTCCTTCAATGTTTTCTACTAAGTCCTATTTTGGGCTGTTAGCACCCAATTTTGTCCCACCGCCTCCTTGATGTCATCTTACCATCTCATCTCCGTAATACCAATAGGTATATCGTTTATGTTCCCACGCACTCCACTCAAGCAGATCCCTGCACCAAAAGTTGGGTTTACGGGCAACTTGTCCTGCCTATTGCCACTTCAGCCTGGCTGTTTGTTTGATTATATCTGATGTTTTGTTTTCTCACCCTTACATTAGTCATGTGAGATCACAAGATCTACCAGAGTTACTATCACCAGCTTACGTTCTATTGGCCCTCGGGTGACTCGTAGGACCCAGTGGTTAAAACTGCGTGCTTAGTGACTGTAATAGTAAAATGCGTAGGAACAAATACCTAGTAGGTAGGTACTAATGTCGTACTAATGTCAATCTTTATCCGTGATCCGCTTTAATTTCACCCGCTACTGAGCAGACTCTAACCACCTGCGAATCAGAACACTGACAGGTGATCACAATTAATTTATCATATAACAATAAATTATGACATTAATCGTGATCTTAATGAATATCAAAATACTAAACATATAAACATCTGTGATATCGAAACCAGTCGATTTAATATTTAATTTTGTTTTTGTACCTGCCCGACTTTCGACCTTGGTCTTGCATCTATCCTGCAGGTGTGTTTATATCCGTTGCGCATATGCATACAATTTTGAAATATTGGTTCAGCTGCATTTGATTATATTGATTAGATTAGATAGGTACAACTTGGGCAGAATATATTAGAATACATCTGTATTCTATTCAATACCTTTAGCTAGTGATAGTCATAGCATATAATGTGCATTATTAGATTTCAAAACTCCCTTTACTTCTGTACTGTTACAGTTGTAAAAAATAAACCTAAAAATACTAATAACATGTAAATGTTCCCAGAACGAATGAAAAGTACGTGTGCCTTACAAACCTAAGCCATGACCTATTAAACAACAGATACTAAATAGCACATCATTTGTTCGCGAACATTGACATTGGCATTGAGAATGTCTATTACCTCTAGCTACAGTAACTCGCTTACCATATAAGTGGAAACTGAATTTAAATTAGCATTTATGTTATGGGCTCGTACAATCATAAGTAGAATATTTAAAGTGTTTCCAAGTACACCGCAGTTCTATTGTTCAAATGATTCAAGGAATAAACTGGAATGAGAAACCCAAGCGTATTTTATACATGCATTTAGGCGTAACACCCAAGCGATTTTAATCAACTCAGAAACCTGATCTAACTTGGATTGGTCTCACCAATCATTTGCCTTGTGAAATACAAGCCTTTCTAAAGGAAACATAAAAGTATGGAATGGTAGTACTTACCCACAATAATTTAACAAACATCTCTGATGATAGTTAAAATTTTACAAGTTTACGACCACTTTCGATTCCATGTGCATCAGATGGAATTTGCGGTAATAAATAATTTCCCAAAATTATTGTGTATCAATCGAACAATTGGGTCAAGTGACAATTGTCAATTAAATACTAATGAGCACTCGTTTCTTGCAAGAGCTCCGCGTCGAATCCAGTGAACAACGAGGCGTGCAAGGCGCGTGCGACCGCGTGCGAATCGAACGCAGCGCACGCTCGCCGTCCTGTCTGCGGCACCGATGGACGTACATATCCTTCGCGATGTCACCTCATGATAGCCCAGTGCAACGGCCCACCAGTCACCATAGCAAGGAAAGGACCCTGCGTCGGTAAGTGACAGTTACTTCCAGCTACGATATAAAACCGAAACACTAAAGTGCCACTCCTAATGTTCAGTAAACCAGTCTATATACAAGAGTCTCGTTGTTGCAGATAAGTGATATACCTACTCATGTTGTAAGCTAAGGAAATATTTATGTCTCCCATGAACACAGCTCTTATAAAAAGCGTCTTTGTTAGTCTTGACCTTGCCTTTGCTGTACAACTGATCTTTATGAAGTCATGGAATGTTGTCAGTTTACACTTTTGCAGCGGCTGTGTTAGTCGCTCTAGTTACAGATAAGCTATAGACTCGATGATTTCTCTGCTTCCATTTGTGTTTTAGTGACGACGTAGTCTAACCTTATTTATTCTTTAATTTATATTATGACTAAACACAGCTATTTGCAACTTGCTAGTCTAGTCGCTTGATGTAGTACCTACACACAGAGCTAAAATTGGTGAAAAATGGCCTTGTATATAAATTTCTTCGTCTCTCACAGAGGGACAATCATCCTGCCTGATAGCGCAACGATATGCCCTAAACGCGCAGAGTGGGGTGTGGTCAGCATATGTTCCTCGATGCCGTGCTGACGGTAGCTACGCCGCCGTGCAGTGCGCGAGTGCGGGCGCGGCCCCGGGCGGCTGCTGGTGCGTCACTCCTGATGGCAAACCGCTCCCAGACACTTCTGTCAGAAACGGCAGACCTGATTGCACAAGGACCGGTAAGTAACTTTAATTTAACATACACATTGACCACAGTTTTTATGCTAATCAAGGCTGTAGCTCATACACATTCGGAAGACCTATGAAATTTGCTAACCGACTACTAATTTTCTTATCTCTCCTTATGTTGCTAAGCGAATTATATTTCCTTTTCTTGCCTAGCTCATAATATAACAATCGTTAAAACTATAAAATCTAAATGTCATTCAATTTCTGAACCTGTCATTTTGCATGTGAAAGTTTCTGCTCATAATCTGTCTGTGTTTTATTGGAACATGCTGGTTTCCATCCACCTACGCTGAGCTAAGCGAATTCTGTATTATAGCCAATTTATTTTATAGTTGGATAAACCACACTTGTCTGCTTGTAGGTAATATTACGACATTAGATCAGAATGTCTTCTATAGAAGCTATTCAATTTAAAAGCAACACTACAATAACATACAATTTAAATAAAACAATTTGTAACCTCCTTATATTAGGTAACTGGTGTGATTGAAACAATGGTAGGACGTACGCTACTTATAAATCTTACTGAACATTGTAGTAGGCGAACGCAACAGCCGCGCCGCTGCGACGGCGCACTTACGATGATTTATAAGTTTCAAAGCATTCATTCGTAGCTAATAGGTTGAGAACATGTTATAGGTGATGTACAGTGAGAGATCTCCAGTACCCGGATTCGACACATCTGTTTTATCTAACGCGCCATTGTAAATACCTTTGGATACATTTTAGACATCGTTTGTAAACAATGATCCAGATGAAAGCCAATGTTTATTATACACTAGAGCGCCTTTTGGATGTACCGATAGATAGGTTTCACGTAGGTAATATTATCTTAAGCAATTTTCACAGAAACATTCCCAATTCGTTAGAAAATGCTGATAAACACATCACTCTTACGTGTTATAAACATAGTGCTGATTCACATAAAAATATACATGGCTTGGGCCGTTAAACTAATTAACCATAGGTTAGTGTACTTTTAACGTAAACACACAACAACGTATGTACCTAGTCGCGCAGTCGTCTGTCGGTGGCAGAGGAAGATTAAATTGTTTTAAAAATACTTGTTATTTGTTAAGAAATTTTGCACCTAATGTAAAAGATATCATTAAAGTATTGGACCCAAACATTAAGACGTTCAAAAGTCCGTCGTATGGAATGTAAATCCAGAATAAAATAACGCAATACATTTGACATACAAATTGCATCGCGTGCGTGCAGACGACGCGGCTGCCACACGTCTGCTGTTGCGTTTATGTATAAGAGGCCCATCAAACTTGTTTGCAATTTATCAATGTACATCTAAAATGCACGAGTATCGCTCCTCAGTAGTCCCAGTGCGGGACAGGAGACGTGACGAGTAAATAACTACAGAAACTGATAACGCGGACAAACGATCCATTACAATAGTTGACACATTAACATGTAGGTACACCACATTCTTATTTTCCTTCACTTTACAATGCATAAGATATAATTATAGTATGTGTCTGACTCCCTGAAATATATAATTTCTGGTATTTCTGATCACAAGACAAGCAACCTCGTAAGACATATTGAGTGATAAATAATGTGAGTATATTTCGCGTATGTGTTGCACGTCCTTATAAATATTTATGTACATTTGTAAGTATTTTGTGATTAGAATGCAATTACATTTGGCGCCATATAATCAGTATTACGCATACATCCATCGGGCTTTCGTTATGAATATATTCGAAATGTTTTGCCACCGTCTGCGGTAACTGGAAACAATTCTTTTTAATTATTGATTTATCTGTGGTCGAGTCTAAATATTTTCGCGTTCAGGCGCCAGTGAAATAGTGGATGTTTCACGTAAGAATTCTTTTAAGATGACTCATATTTATAACGCTTTATATTGTACTTTATAAAGATCAAACCTACAGGTGTTTTATTTAAAATATGAAAGACGTTGAAGTTTAAGGTGCACGTACTGATTTATCTTGTTTGTCTGTCTGATTAATCATAATATTAGTCATATACCTAAATAAAATTTTTAAATTAAAATCTTAACACAATTTACTTGTTTATTATCCATTTATATTTTAAGAAAAAATGTGTATTCACTTCACTTGCGTGTATTTCTGGAACCATTTATGCAGCTTTGCTGTCATTTATAGTTTATGATACTCGAGTTATTATTTGAACATACTCATACCTACATTCTTTAACTTTAAAGACTTTTAGAATACGTTCATAAATTATATTATTATATCGCAACCATTTAAGATACGTGGCCACAAAATTATCCTTGCCTGTAGGACTTCCCCGAAGTCAACCAACATAGATCACAGGTTTTTAAAGTCCTATAGATACGCACAGGACAGATAGCAGACCACAACAACGATTATAATCAATGCAACAAAATTAATTACCTACGACTGTAATTTTCGATCTGATAACTTTGTCAAATAAAAAACTTTAACGATAATTGCAGTATGAAAAAGATTAAGGCAAAATAAATGTTGATGAAAGATAAAATGCAAGCACGACAGTACAGCAAGTATAACAGTTAGTTGGTGATTTAGTTTGCTGTCACGGACAATGTCTCGCTCGGTCAAATTCATTTTAAACGTTGTTATTGAGCACAGAACTATTTAATACCCTTCAGACAAAGGGTCATCCTACGCAGGGCATCGCCCGCTATTCGGCTAACAGCCTGCTTCCTTACACAAGTACATGCACCTTCTGTTATCTCCAACGAGTTGATCCGCAACTGATCCCAGCCAGTGAAACTCTAGGAGAGAGAGTGAACGTCTAACCATGAGGTAAAGATTGTGGTATTCAGTACAAATCTTTTGTGGTTAATCACTGCACGGATGATATTTTGTTACCATGCTACTCAATTTCAATATCATGAACTTATTTTAACCATGTTCGTCAAAATCCACGTTCATAGAAATTAACGATTAATTTTACATTGTTAAATGTGCTGTAATTTCAATAATGAGTCAGCGAACTCTTGACTGCTACAAGTCTTTCGTCGCTGGAACAATATATAACAGACATTTGTTTCTACCAATTGATAAGTAGGTACAACCAGCGTGTTTATTTTTGTACTCAAAGTAACGTGGTCGCAAAACAATACATGGTAAGTCAAAGTTTAAGAAAGTAGACTCAGCAATTTTGTTTTCCATGGTGTTCCACTAACTATACAGATTCTCGGAAGGATCAATTTTCACAATATCTGCGTAAATATTGACACGATTCCGAAACATATTCCTTGAACTACATAACTACTCATGGGTACGGGATGAACATTATTCTTCACACGCCGGAAATGGGAGATTTCATATCGTTCTATCTCAGAATGCCTAAGTAGATACATGTGTATTTCTTATAAAATGAGTCAGGCCCTGAATTTATTTAAAAGAACTAACTCGGAACAATTTTTGTTGCAAAAATAAACTCAGGTAAAAAAGTTAGCGTGAGTCAATAACTTCAGACTGCGTTGACTTGATTTTGCACTTAATTCTATCGAGGAATGCGGATTGATGATAAAAAACTGCCGTGTATCCAAATATTAAAAACTACATCATATAAACGATGAGTTATGCGGGGACCTTTTTGTATTCACGTTATATTTCTAATAATAATTTTAATTATCTTTAGCTTGTCTGTTTTTAATGAGAGAAGATTTATAATAACTTTTTCTGACTTTATTGTAGAAAATAATTGTCATTTGACGAAACATTAATTAGTTGTTTTTATTGTATACATGTTATTCAAATAGAAGTTATAATTAGCGTAGCGTACATCTTTTCATTTTTCTTGTTAACATGTCTACCCACGCCAGGAGCATTTGCCAGATCTGGAAGCTCCTTTACAAGAACACATGAAGTAAACATTCTATGAATTATCCATGAGCAAGCAAACGTTTTTACACAGCTGTACTGCACAAAAACAATGACGATTGACAGCCGTAAGGAATGATGCGAATAAATATAATATTACAAGATCCTGAATCAATTTCCCTAACTAAAAGCACTTAGCATTCTTGTTAGGTGCGCCCGTATTGCGGCTGGCATCCGCAATAACTTACTCGTATAAAACCTGACGGTTAGTACTAATATGAAATGGCGTCGTAATCGCAAAAACCAAACCTTTGTGACTATTATATTTTAATCTCGTATATCATATTGCTTACGTTAAAAAATCACAAGATATATCTAAAACTACATGCGTCATAAGTTTCACAGCTTCTTAGGTTATCCGACGTACCTACGTACGTACGTATTTAACACATTTCGTTTGGACGATAAAACAAATTCTCCATTAGGTAGACTATCAGTGACTTAATAAACGTTATGAAATTGGACCTAAGTAAATATCATAATTTAAGTACCTGTACCATCACAGGTGGGCAAAACTAATAACTCCTTTTCTGTTGGTATGTGAGCCACAATAGAAAACTCATTGTGTCTCGCATATATCTACGTTCCGGCATACCACGGGGTTAAATATTTCCCAAAATTACCTTTCCTACATTATGATGTACGTACAAACATTACCTGTTTACATTGTTACCAACAATACCAACAACTATACACAAACATAATAGTTGTTTATAAATGCCATTGATCAAGACAATACATATATGTTTAAACTTGTGTGAATTAGAACTCTGCATTTGAACTGATTAACTACTCATTATTCATTATGTACACAGTTGCATTCTGTATAGCATGAACAATGTGTATTTGTAGACGAACCATATTGTGCTAAAAACGCTAAAGAGCTGCCAATTATTTCTTTTGACGGTTAAAAAGAATATGAAACGTTATTTACAAGATATTTTGAGAACAAATCGTTTGTACTTTCGAATATCTAACGTGTGTCGTTCAATAATGTAAGTTTAAATAAGTAGATAATAATATTATAGGCACAAATGTAACAAATATCCTATAACTTAACATTTGACTTTAACGCGTGCTAAATGTCACAAGCCAAGTGCGTCATTCTCCATGAACAGGCTAAATGACTTAACTCACTTTCGATATCGTACAGAGAGAGTATTTATCAACGTCCATACGTAAATCGTCTCGTCTCGTTCAATAATTAAACGTCTCTTTTAACTTCTGATCCAGAGTAAAAGGTTCAATTTAAACCACTCATATCTCCCGTCCATAAATTAAAACAACGCTTAATTTATGACTTGCCACACGTAACTCGATGACTAAGTGAGAAATTATCAGTAACGGCGCGGTATTGACTAATTGAAGTTTGCCCCTCGCTTCTGTTAATGTCTATAGTAGCTGGTGCCGTGGTCGTTCTTCGTCATTCCTGAGTAATTAATATTTTCGTGTACGAAAGTGTGCATAGGTACTTTATCATTCCTCAAGCTGTGAACTTTCAGACACTAAGAACTAACTATTGCAAATAAATCATCTTAAGTTTAATCGTTCAAGTTAATGAACATAAATAATGAAGTGGCAAACATATGGACAGATGGATTTTCCCGTAAAGTAGTGTAATAAAAGTATGAATTGCTTTGCCCGCATCAATTTACTTCATTTTACAAGTCGTCCACTAATAATAATAGTCTCGACCATTAAGTGGTGGCACCTGCACTGCCAATTAACCATTTACTGCCACTCATGTTGACCCGGTTGCGCGGATTCTATCTAATTAACTACTCTTTATATTCACGAATTGATGATTGCGCATCTCAGCACAGACTGTATGCAGACTCCAATGTCCCATTGTAACGGTTCATCTTAACGACCCGTGACCGGATTGTAATGTGGTTTTCACCGTAACCTAGGCATATCTCAAAATATAGGTACGAATGTAAATTAGTCATGTCAAGACGAAAGCAAACCGACAGGTGTTGTACAAGTATCGGCTTCTACATATTATAACTTAACTTTTTCATAATGTTCCCTAGCAGGCAACAATAAAGTCGACATTATTCCGTAAACACTACATTCGGTACGGAGACAGATCTTCGAGTATTTTTCTAAGAAACAGCGGTCCGTCTCAGACTGCTCGTCGCCGATCACAATGGGGTCCACTTTTTTGTCATTCAAAGGTAAGGAGAACTCGTCTCGGGCATGAGACGATAGAAAAAAAAACATCCCAGTGATCATTTGAGAGCTTTGTTGAAGATCACACGGACCTTTGATGTTTTATATTTAACTATATAGCCTACCTGGCCACGATGATAAAGTCGTTAAGAAAGAGTTGAAAGAATAGACCGGTTTGCCTTTAGTACAGTCTCAAACACATAAATTTTCATAGTTTGTAATAATACAAAATACATTGTGAATTATTTTGACGTGGGAATTTATTTGCGCTAGATAGGGAGGTGTTATTTTTGTATTCACTAAAGCTTTAGGCAAGCAGAGCTTGAATACTATTTTAGTCTTAATAAACTGGCTAACCGTACCTCCGGCTAGCCGTATAGTTTTGTAGTAGTTAAACCCATAGCTACTGCCCATAAAAGTTAAAAAAATATGTTAACAGCCTGCTACATGGTAAAGATTCGAAATGGTACAATATTATTTGGGTCAGGCGCCGAAGTGTCTAACGAAATTCGATATCTGTTCACCTTTTTTTTGTAGAAACCCCACGGTTCGGTCGGCCCGTTTTAAACTACATTTCGAAACTTCACATTAATAGTGTGAAAGAGTAGTTATAAATGTTATAAAATGTTTTATTGAATCAATTTGAATATCTTGGTACATAAATAGATTAACTAAGGAAGGAAAGCCTGTCATTTCTAATTTATTGTACTTTCGTAGCTTCTTTTTCGTCGATAAGTTATGGGGTGTTAATACATAGGAGTGCTTAGACATAACCAACCAACCAAGTTACTAATCTAAAGCGTGCGCCGATGTAGTTGTGGTGAAATTTTTAAAATTGCCACGTGATCGGGAGTAGCACTAATGCCGATTTTACCAACGCCAGATTAACTGAGTAATAACTTTAAAAATTGTCAAATGGCAATTTTATTCTACAGGTAAGAATTAACTGATAATTGAAAAATCATCCGCAAATGATATTGGACCTTAAAAATATTGACAAAGTCGTGCTTCCGTGCATGTGTTGTACTATTTTCATTATCTAACATTATAAACTGTTGTGTGTACGTATCTACCCAGTGATTCTCCACTCGTAGCTCTACGTATCACGTCAATCCTTTATTGTGAAGGCGGAAGCCTTAAATCTATTTGTAAGCCATTCAGTATTGTCGGTAGGATATCGTTCTCTTGACCAGTTAACCCGTCAGGGTCAAAACCACGCTGTTTACTACTTACATACACACGGGAAAACTACGCAGGTATGTCTGTAACACGTACACAAGTATTTATTTATTTAATTCTCTCAACAACAACAATTATCACGTAGGTCTGTAGATATAATATACTTCTTCAATTATAACAGAGGAGGCGACTGCGTGAACTATAATTACAAGTAACTGAGATAACGAGTTACATGACAATATAAAAATAATTGAATAAGTTAAGTAATAACAATAGCACGAAGAAATTATAAAATACGTTTGTTATAAGAAAAACTATCAAAGAAGTTTAGGGAGATCTAAGTAAGTAAAAACTCCAGTCGCTGTTGCTTAAACATGCATTACAGAAACGTTTTTTTGGATGCTGTGTGTAGTTGAGACTTGAGAGAATAAGAAAATAGGTACATGTATTTAATATTCAAAGCTTTCTTACTTTATCTAAGTATGTATTATAGAAAATTTCAGTAGTAATGTAAAAAGAAAGAATCGCTAGAAAAACTATATAACTAATGGTATAAGTTACACAACGTTAACACATTCATATCTTAGTCCCTGTCTAAGAGACAGAAGAATTAATTGTTTATGAAAGGAACAGCATTCGCTTGCTATGTAACTAAGTTCTTACAGTACAGGCAATAATGACCAGCTACTTGTCACTTGTCATAAACCCAATGTATTCTTAGTCTATATAATAACTGTTCTCTTGGAAGATCTAGTAAATAAGTCTAACGCACAATACCTCTAAAAACAATAGGTAATAGGTATATAATATTATCGTTTACATAATTATGTAAATCCTTTACGTTCACGCATCATACGATCATAACACGGGGTAAAGCCCTGCTATGACCGACTTGGTTCAAACAAAACGATAATAGTTACTATTTACTAGTTCATAATACATCTAATAGATGGAGCACATGGTGCTAAATAACGATTACTCGAGCGTCGTAGGGAACTAGGTACAGAGGCAGGAGGTCAATGAAAAACAATGGTTATTATATGACAATTACTGTACTTAAAGCTTCTAAATTACTGGAGATCAGAGCCTGAGAAGGTATGAAGCTCCAGCTTTTTGTTTTGTGATATAGTTATCATTTTAATTGTGATCATTAGCCATCCTAATACTGATAAGAGGTACGTGGTGTAAGTATCGACAAATCATTAAATAACCATATGATTTTTAATGATTCCAACAAATACTTAAGTCAATGGCAAGAAAACATTTGTAACATTGACGATTGTGGCGATCATTCCGCACTCTGAACGCCTTCCAAATTAAGGTGTTTAATAGACAGTGTCTAGTTATGTCTTGTGTCGTTTATTGCCCTATTGAAAAAAGGTGTTTGTTAAATGAAGATTTTATAGCACATTGGATTGTAAGTTTACCGGTTATATGGATGTTTTAGTGATGCACTGCGATCCGTCGCTACCGGGACCGGTTCGACTACGGCCGCGATCACCACGCCACCGCACTCACAACTAACCAATGCTTAAAAATAAATAACCATTCCAACCACATACGATCGATAACATTTTCTTAATGGTAGAAAAGTAACACCTTTATAGACTTGTGCCTCATTAAGGTGACGTTTTAATAGAAGGCACTAACAAATCCCGTAATTACACTTATCACCAATTTACATCATCTATAATTATTTGAATAGCAATTGCAATTCAATATAAGTAATCCTAAGGAAACTTAATTGATCAAAATTGGCTAGTTATTGAATTAAATCGCCGCCATATAGGATTTTACGTGACAGGCAATTTATTATCAACTACCATTACTTAATTAAAATGGCAAAGCGACTTGTAATTGCAGTAACGAATGTATTCAAATCCTAAGGCGAATTTAAACGAAGCCACACGTAAATCTAGTTATCAGCAAATATAAATAATGGTGTTTGTGATTATGCCAATTGCTTCCTGCTTGCAATGATATCTTCTTGACACTCGCAAGGTTTTTGACCCCTCCTGACTATAGGATCAAATCAATTGTACATTAATGTATACCTATTGCCCGTTAGCAAATATTCTATCCGATAACATCGGCATAAAATTTATAGACGATAAATTTTAGCATACTTAAAGGTAAATAAATAGTTATTTTATTATCGACACCTTAACTTTCGGATTAGCGAAATATCTTCAGGGAACAACTGAATATACCTTCACCTTATTGGCTATTGGGTGTAGGTACAGTTTGAGTAAACCCGTTTAGTGGAGCAGCCTGTTAGGAATACGATTATAACGATCCCTACATTAAATATTCAACGTCTGACCCACTGGCCGTCTTAATAATATCTACTTACAAGGGTTCTGCAGTTAGACCGATATCAATCTGTTTTTATTTTCAGGTAAATCACACACGAGGAGGCGGTCCTCGGTTCGCGGGCAACGCAATAAAAGAAGTAAGACCAAAGATTGATGTTAATAATTAAAGTCCGGTAAACACAGGACTCGTAAACCTGATGATGTCACATATAAATGAGATCAGATCTTTTATGTTTGCTTTGTAAAGAGCCCATCACTTTTTAATTGGCAAGAAATATTTATTACGAACTTGTATTGTATAATATATCCTAATGAACACCGAGTGGCATGAAAAAACTCTATGTACTCAGTGTTACTGTTACGCTATTTTCATAAATGTAAAGAACCAATCTCAGATAGTTTGTTACCCAGACTTTGAGATAAGTTTAATCTTTATTACTCTACAGCGTGCACAAGGACCGACCGGGCCCAGTTCAATGGAAATCTCATCAAAATCTTCAGTGGGGAGTTCGAAAGGGCTCGAACTGATTCTGGATCATCACCAGAACCGAGGGTTGTAGCCGACTGGAAGTTCAGGGAGCTGGATAGAGACCATAGCGATGCTTTGCAAAAGTCCGAGTATAGAGGACTCAGAAGACTTATCAAAAAGGTACGTCATGTACGGTCCAAAGTCGTACACTAATATACTCAAAACACTCATTTTGCATGAAGTTCAAAGTGAACAGATGGTCAGATTTCCGGGAAGGATGTTTAGTCATTGAATTTTTAACGTACTGCCAGCTTTTAGACTTCAAAAGACTAGATTAACTTTCCTAATAGCGTTTAAGAACACGCGAATTTTATATAGGTACTGATAGATTTTTGTTACTTACGTATATAGAAAGGCCTTGGTCTTATATCATCTTTATACCCTTGGTATAAACATAATTTAGATAAAATTTTGCCAAATAAATCACATCTCTTTCTTCTTTATAATACCAAAGAGCAATTATTTTGATACTCAAACTCTCACCAAAAGCCATTAAGTAAATAAAGAGGTTGAGTAAATCAAGATTACGCGCAAAGCACTTAAATCATCAAAGTGTGCGTGTGAATTATTAAATCGCATTTCATTACATGTCATTGGGTTCAGGAGTCGTGAACTATAACCCTGTAATACGTGACTTTGAATGCAGCTTCCATGAACATTTGCAGATCTCAGATACGTGCCTGTTTAACAATTATTTAATTCTTTCGTGTTGTACAAATAAGATGTGGAAAAGACAATGGAAAACACTTAATTTTTTTACTAACTTTTGCCAATTACTAGTTACCTACAAACAAAATGGTTTTTTCTGTAATGGTCGATGGATGAAAGATATCTAACAACATTCTCCGTTCTTAAAAATAAATCTATTAGATTCTAAATCAATTTAGTTTCGTTTAGTACCTAGTTTAAGAGGTGATCAGAGAAGACTTCAAAAATATTGCTTAACTGCCCCTCCGGGTAAATTAAATTTGTTTATCTTTACTCAGTTTTCACCTTAAAATCCCCATCACTATGACTAAAACATTAAATATTGAGAGACCTTTGATACAAGTCCTACGCACACGGCTAGATTCTCCTCGTATTTGACCCCAAAGTTCTGTTCCTAAATGTCGTAAGCTGTTATGTAGATAAGCCCTCTCAATAATAGGACATAAGATTGTGAAGATTAGCAATTCTCATAGTAATCTTAGATAGGCATTAGACATATTACGTAATCGATAGTGATTTTAACTGAAACTTATCGCAAGACGTGAAATTAAATCGATTAAATCGACTTAAGGCCTTACTAGATTTTCTGCCAAAGACTTAGTTCGATCCAGATACTTTGTATGAGCCAATTGCTTTGTTTATTCGTATATTTATTTATTTTAATATTAGCCATGGTTGTCCCACTGCAGGGCAAAGGCCTCTCTATCCTCGTTCCACTCATCTCTTCTAATAGCTTTCTGTGGCCAATCCTTTTCGTAGGTAGGAGTCAAGGCCCGCCATCTCCTTCTGGGTCTACCGCGACTATTCCTATATTTGCTGCAGTAAATTCTCTCGGAGTTGCCGACTCAGTGCAGTGAATATTTTAACATCGATTTTTAATTTCAGTCGTAAGATAACAGAAACGTTTAGGTACGTCTCTACTAAGATAGACATGCTTAGTATTGAGTATTTCGAAACAGGATTACCTTTGAAATTGTTGTTTAGTTCACGATTGTCCTACATCCGCTACTTGAGCCATGAACTACGGAGGGTCAGGCGAATCGTCCATGTCCGTGACGTCTGGAGCGCAACGATCCAATCTCGGACTCCCGCAATCCGACATACACGACTGTTGACTCATCATACAATGACGTATTATTTACTACATGACTATTAGATAGGTACTCTTCTACCGCAAATATTTTAAACAGTTACGTTTTCTATAAACTATTTTCCGCTGGTTTCTCCATGGCGGTCTTTGTCAGTGTCCTGTTTTTTCTGACATAGGGTAAGAAGGTCTGGTGTGCGATCTTTAAAAATGATAGCTCACTTATTAAACTTAAGTTTAAGTAAAGATTTTGAAGTTATTAATTTCTTCATAATAATTTTTATTTACTCGGGAATTTTGTCTGATGAATTTCATCATCTCTGTGATACTAAACTTTTACCAGAAAGATTGACTTATAGGTTTGTTTGTTATGCTAACTGACTCAAAAATCGATTGGAGAGTCTGTAGGTCTGTAAACGAAGCATACTTGTATTCTATACTTTGGAATCTTGATGTAATGTAACTTTCCTTCTTTAAAGGTGGTGAAACCGAAGCGGTGCGCACGGGCATGGGCGCGCGGCTGCGATGGTGATGGAAACGGAGAGATAGCTCATGCTGAGTGGGTAGCGTGTTTGCTGGTCAACCCGGAGCCGCCTGCACCGGACTGTGAGTACCTTTATGACTATGTTATAATAGGACAACAGCTAGACACATATCTACGTGCACATTAAGACCAACGAAAGTAAGTTTTTTACCATTTGTGACGTTAACGTTGACGTTGTGGTCCATTCTGTTGGTTTGATTAATTAACTCGTTTTAACATTAACAATACCTCATCTGTTAAGTTATAATAAGTAGGTTGGTACACATCGATGGTGACGTCGACTTAGGTCCATGTCTTTCAATTTTAGTAAGCCACTTAGTAAGTTATTTCACTTTACTAAAAAAAATCGAACGTAAACGAAGGTTTGGTAGGTAGCAAAGGATATCCATATAAGTACATAGTACAAATAAAACTCACATGTAGACAATATAATGCAGAATCTAATCATTTCAATGGAAATAAAACAACTAATGCACTTGTAGGTATGGGTAACAGATTGCCGGTACATACCATTGTAGGTATGTTCTATATAAATAAACATAAGTAGATAAGCACCTACCTAACTACAGAACGATTAAAGAAAATCTTTAGGTATCATTAAAAAATCAGCAATACTTGTAGCTGTGAAAATTACATTTTAAATTCAAGTAGACCATTTATCTTGTTGTAATAATAACTTGGTAATTAAATAATACCTGCTTGCAATAGTATTTAGATGACCAGCTTTTAAAAAATAAGATTGGTTAGTATGTACCTCTAATTTAGTAAGTAATATAAATTAATCAATGCTACTGAATAGAAATTAATATTAGACTACTTTTTGACGATGATTGCCGGTAGTCTATTGGTTATCTGTGTGCTAAGAAAGTATCTAAATAAGGGTGACCTTAGGTTTGTATCAAGAATCATTATAATAGAATTACTATAAAAGACTGCCTCGTTGGTCGAGTGGTCGCAAGTGCGACTGCACTGCTTCCGGCAAGGCAGCTCGGGTTCGATTTCCGGGTCGGTCAAAAATTCTCAGTAGTAGCGCGGAGTCTGGATTTGTGCCCGGTATATGGCAATAGGTTCCCCTCTTATTACATGGGACTCATGGACATGGACAACATATATACTTAGCGAAAAGTGTGTGTTACATTGTACAGCGGCATTGAGTACCGTAATATGCACCTCTGTCTACCATTTCGGGGATAAAAGGAGTGTGTTTTATGTTATGTAATTACCATAATTGAGACAGATCCATCATTAAATTCACTGTTTTCTGGATCTTTTTCCTCCCACATCTAAATATGATGCGAAATTCCATACAATTCTGCATATTTATTTATCCTCAAAAGGTGTATCGTTAATAAAGTACCTTTATATTGTGTGGACAGGAGATTTATCGTTTATTCGCCCATGTTATGGCTTAGCTCTTAAATGAGAACTAAATGTTCGCCCAAGGCTGTAAATTAAGACTAAATAGGTTCTGAATATTAAGCACAATAAAATAATACTGCAGACAATTTATAGACTTTAACGGTTTAATGTTGTTGACTTTTTGTTTTACGGTTCTTGCACGGCGCCAGGTCAGCCGGATTGTGAGCGTCATTCAACTTTCTGATTATGAATGTTATTACCTACTACTGGTTTTAAATTAGGATAGTGTACGAGTATCTAATTAACAAACGCTTTGCATGCTTTTAAAGTCATCAATACCTAGGACTTATTTTCATTCGCATTGTAATAACGCATAGATGTTCGCACTTCACTCAACTCTGAAACTGCCAATTTATAGCTGTTGCAAAATAACATTGCAAAAGTGTGTGCAAACATAATAATAATATATAGTCTCTCTCCGTTTCTTCATGTCGTTGAATGCAGACGATGACAGCGGTCCGGAACCCGAGCCTGCTGATTACGAGGAGGAACCGCCACCAGATCCCAGCTCAGGTAGGTATTCCATTAACTACCGTCACTCTCTCATCTTAGGTTATAATATTCTCTGCCCCAGCTTTATTACTCCGTGCATGTGATTAAATGAATGATTGGTTGGACACCTATAATAATGTGTGTATGTACAAAATTGAAACAAAAAATATATTTACCATATAAAACGTGTCCGAACTAAGTTATCCTAGTCCTCATACATTGTCAAACTAAAAACTAAACCCTAAGTAGTTTATTTTATTTCTGCAGTTTTACCTGGGATTGTCCGGAACTCGTTCGCGCCTGATGGATCCGAGTCTGAAGCGAGGCGGGAAGATGAGGCTAACGACTGTTTGACAGACAGACAAGCTGTTTTGGACGAACAGGTTTGAAATTACAACTACTTTTGTACATTGCTTTAATTAAAACGAATTAGGTACAACATTTTGGTGGCTACCTACTTATAAAGATATCAAACCACTACCTCACTAGCACTAGCACTAGCTATAGTATACTATCACCTAAGTCATACCCTGTCTGTATACTAAATTTCATCAAAATCCGTTTAGAAGTTTCATCGTGATTGGCGAACAAACATCCAAACAAAGAAACTTTGACATTTATATTAGTGTGATAAGTTGATAACACTCACATTGAATTCAAGTCCATTTAACTATACGAAAGACATTAATAATTTACACAAGTACGTATACATACTATATAAATGATATTATTATAGCCTATGGGTTATAGGTAGGTTGATAGTAGTAACACTAAACACAGCTAAATAATTGAATTCTTTAAAATGAATGTCGGTAGGTACGTAACGTATACCTACTAGAATGTATAATAAACGATAATGTTAGCTTGACACCTAAAATATATATCTATAGTTGGATTTTAATGGGTTACAAACTTAAAGAGAATTTAATGAATCGACTGCCCGGTTGGCGCTATGGCTGGGCAATTGGCTGCCGAGCAACGTGTCGTGGGTTCGATTCCAGCACGGAACAATTCTTTGTGTGATCCACAGGTTGTTGTTCCGGGTCTGGGTGTCATGTGTATGTGATATTGTATGTTTGTAACCGCACCCACGACACAGGAGAAAATCCAAGTGTGGGGCTACGTTTTTTTTAAAAAATGGTTATAATGTAAGCGTCATCTAAGTATACCTACCTACATTTAATTTGCTTAAAACATTTACTAATCTTCTCCAAGGTGACAACTAAAAACAGTTACAATTAAAGCATAAATCACGTCAATCTGATAAGCTGTTGACGACTTCAAAAGCTCACTTACGCGCAAAATTCCTTTCTGACTCAATTTCTTATAGTTTTCAACACAACATTTTTCCTACAATAATTTCCATAATCTGAGGTGATAAACGAGAAAATGAGACTATTAAAAGAAATGCTAGGTTATTACGTTTTTCGTTGCATCCCTTTCATATAATTTAAATCTCTGAGACATACAAATGCTTTAAACCAATACTTTTTGTGTTAGTGTAAGAAAATATACTTTGTACACTAGAAAGCGGGTGGAGCTGCTCTGTACGTGCCTGAGTGTACGGGTGACGGAAGGTACGCGCGCGCACAGTGCTACAGGTCAACTGGCTATTGCTGGTGCGTGCACCAAGACACAGGGAAACCAATCCCTGGCTCCTCCGTCAAGGATCGCCGACCTGACTGCGACGCGGCACCACAACACGCCAGTCCGATGAGAGGTACGATCTTATCAGGCGAGTTTGGTTCATATGTATTGAATCCGTATCATATTAACGGCCAACATAACTATCTTTAACCATTGATCTGAAGATTAAGTTCGATTTGTAACAGAAAATCAATACAACTTATGTTAAAAATCGATCCTTATGCACAGATTTAGGATTGAGATAGGTAATTTTGCCGTTAGTAAATAATTGTAAGGAGCCACTAACTTAGAGAAAATAATTATTATTCTCTTATTTTCTTCTGATCCAAGCCAAAACTCATATTTTGATTACCTTTTGATTGTAGAAAGGTACCGTTGCGTTCGATATAGGATGAGACACTCGGATTATTTGTTGTGTTGCTATCAAAACCTTTGGAATGTCACTATGTAAATTAACTATTAAAATTCCTGCAATCTAGGTTGTCCAGAGCCAATGAAGAGCAATTTCTTACGGGACCTGATGAGCTTCTTCGTGTCCAAAATGACGACTTCTATCAACGGTACTGGCCCTGGGTACGTAGAACACATAATGAGATGAAATCAAGTCCTTAATCTATAAGTATATATAAAAGAAAGTCGTGTTAGTTACACTATTTATAACTCAAGAATGGTTAAATTGATTTGGATGAAAATTGGTGGGGAGGTAGCTTAGAACCAGGAGACGGACATAGGATACTTTTTACCCAATTCTTTTTTTTTTACTTTTTACCGAAAATCAAGAACGGGAACGGGAAATATCGGGATTGCGCGTACGAAGTCGCGGGCAGAAGCTAGTTGATATTAAATGCCAAATACCCGAGGTCGAACTTAAAGTGACAAAAGTTTTGGACTTACGTACAATTCAAAGAAGTATTTGTGGGTATAATAATAATTATGTTGAGCTAGCGTTAAAAAGGTCAATGAACGCAAGTGAATGCTGTAGGTATTAATTTTTTCCTTGATTTGTAGAGATATGGTAAAATGGGGCGCATCCAAGGAGGAGCAAGCAGCTACTTGGACTTATGTAATGTTAGACAAGGATAAGAACAAAGCGTTGGAGCGACGGGAGTGGAAGGCGTTCCATCAGCTGATATCCAACGTCGAGCCTCTGAGGCGGTGTGGTCGAAAGCTGCCTAGATACTGCGACGTTAACCATGACACCAAGATCAGTATTACAGAATGGATGGCGTGTTTGGAAGTCACACAAGGGTCACAGACCCAAACGAGTAAGTTTAAGGTTTTTTTTCTACAATAACGAACATTGCAGATGCCTATTTTCAGTGTAGAAAAATAAATCAAGTTAATTTGCTAAGATTTACAGGGCTAGGTACCTATTGTGTTAGCCAGTCCCATTTGGAATATTTCCTCTTACAAAGCGTACCTACCTAATAAAATAAACGAGTTCCGGATGATATACGTACTTTAAACATTGTTTTTTTTTGCCCAGCTGAAGCTGCCAAAGCCCCATCTAATCCTAGAAGAAAAGGTCCGAATCCACTGGAATCATTTCTGAAAGCTGATGATTGATTCATCGCGTGTTCATGTGGACTGTGTTTAAAGGACGGTGACAAGTATTCGTGCCAGTGTTAGTGGTAAGAAAACTGTGCAGTGAAGTGTTCATGTCTACGAACAGACTATGGCCAAGCAAGGGATATGCCGATCTTTTTCAAAGATGGTTTTCATCAAACATATGTCCTATCTACAGACTGAATGATACTTTTTCATTCGAAGTATTTCAGACCACTAACGAATGTGGCCTTTCTAGCTTGTGCGCTTTTACTGTTATGCCATGAATGTCCTACGCCCTAATATTTAATTATTAATAAGAGTTTCTGAAAGATTCTCAAACATAATTTGTAATTAGTTTATAAGTAGTTATTGTCGTAATTTATTGAAGTTGATACAAAAATTCTGACTTTCACTAGTCGTGTATTTATGTAATTCCTTTAGAACTACTTACTCTGCCTAGTACCCATCAGAGTGTAAACATTATTTTCTGATTTTTGTATGCATATTGTTATCGTATTACCCTGTATTATGTTCTGTACATAAACAATTTACCTATAAAACATTACATGTGCTGCTACACTATATATTTAAAATGTAATACATCTCCTGGCACAAAAATGACTAGTATTCAAGTACCTACCTAGTCCAATGCTATAGTTATAATTGTCGTTAGTGATACTTATAACTTTGTACTAAAGAGTACCTATTACTTAATTGAATACCAACTAAAAAGCCACCTGTATTTTGCTCTGTCCCAGAAAGTATTTATGTGTTACATATCAACATTTATTTTTTACAATAAGCTCGTATTTAAACTGTGTATGTATAGTTTAATTAGTCATTGTCAATTGTAAGGACTATGTGATATTTCGTCATTACTATTGCTAAATAAAATAATTTAATATTTTCTCGTAGTTTTAATAACTTCAAAGCGTTTTTACCCGACTGTAGGAAGGTTGTTGTTTTTAAATGTTTAATAACGGGTTGTTTGGCCAAACTTTTCCTTTGGGAAACACAGAGTTGGTAGAGTATCTACCACATAGTACCTAATAGCGTTTTGCCATTAGTCTGGTAGTGCGATAACCAGGACTATGAAAAATTTTATTAACGTGTGAAGTCTCCATGCTCACTCACACGTAAAGCAACGAAAAGCGTGCAACAATTTCGCCTATGTTCTGTGTAATTGTCTTAGAGACAATTATGCGTTCTTTTTCACTCCCAAAGATATCGAGCTTAAGCAGGGTTATTAATGTGCAGTAAAAAGTACGTTGCTGAGAGTACCTACTGACCCTGTAGGAAACCCGGCGATCATTCGAATCTACTGATTCCTCAGAAAGTCGACTGTGACGATCATATAGGCGAGAAGAAATTAATTGTGCTCGAGGGAAAACCCCGTGTAATTTAAGTACATTAAAGACACGACCGTATGTCTGCTTGTCTCTGAGAGAAACAAGAGTCTACGATTCTTGGTCTCAAGTAGTGGACTGCATTGATACTGGAGTGCAGATCCAGATGTTCGTATCCATGGGATGTGAGAGCCTTTTGACAGTCTCAGTGTGAGCCATACTCTCTAAAGTGCAACCGAACGTTTTGGCAGAACACGATTCTGCTGCATGTTCATCTGGTGATTACGGAGACATCTCTATCACGATCGAAAATCTTAAATTTAATGACGGTGATTAGGGGAGGGGTGACGAATCCCGGTGCCTTCTTCCTACGAACTTTGTCTCAGTCTCAGTCAGCATCTCAGTTACGATGGCGCGGGGAAATGCAGGCCACCGAAACTGGCAACGTATGATCGACTCACTGTGAAGCTTGATGATCATTTGACGGAAATCAAAATAGAACTTGGATTATTAAAGAATATGAATAATAAACTGGTCATGATTCCGGAAGACAGGGTGTGAAGGGAGTGAGGCGTGGAGTCAGACAACCAAATTTACTTCCGAGAGGGCGATAACGCTTCCAAAAGTGATGTTGGTTTTCTTGTCAACAAATCTTTCATTGACAAACGTGGAAATCAGCAGTATATTTGTGTATCAGCAGTAGGCACCTACAGGTACTAATACATCGATATGGCCTATATATATCTTGATTTTATTATGAAACATCTCTGAGGCTATTCTTCTAAAATACTGGTTTTGATATGCTCCATGGTAGTATTTTAAGCCCTACTCGATTTGTAACTTATTTTAGTGATTTGTGTAGCCTCAGCTCAGCATTAGTTGTGATTTCAAGAGACCCTCTCAGAAGAACATAAGATATATGTAGGTACTCTGACAAATGATGACAAATTAAAAAATTATGCTTTATATACAAAACATGCCCAATCTATTTGGCAACGGTAAGATATACCAAAGAGTATAATAAGTATAGGGGAAAGGCATACTTAAAACTTTGTTCTCATGTCAAAATATTTAAACGCCACTCAATTTGAAGTCGCCCATAAGTAGGTATAGTTCTGCCACTACAAATTGTTTATAAAATGACAGAAATGGCACGACATTTAAGTACGACATACAACGTAAAATTGAGTAGCCTTTCAGTATTCGGGTGTTACGAGATGCCTTTTTCTGTTGATCCGAGTGTATAAATTAAAGGGCTGTGCACATTACAATAAAATAACAGTTCATGTTTGGAAGAGTTATATAATATTCTATACACATAATATAACAACAACAAAGGTACAATTTTTCAAGCTATACCAAATATGCTCTATTTAAATACATAATAATATTATTATAATGATGTTGGAAAGATTTCACGTATTTATTCCTTTGTTATCTTAATCTATATTACTTGGAATATAAGAGTTTGATACTATTGTATGCCCTAGTCTGGAAATTAAAAAAGAACTTGTAAAATTGTATATTTTGACAAAGACATTAAAAAGTCACTAAACATTTGTCTGCAATAAAGAATGAATTACAGAAATAAGACATTATTATTTTCCCTTTTAAAATCTTGTCCAGTAAAGTTTTATACCATTTCAATAAATAGAATACTATACTATACGTACAATATACCCAAATAGAAAACTAGGTATCCATTATTTCTACACAACACGAGTAATTGCGCTAGGAGTAAATATATTTACATAAAAATATGTTGTTGGAGTGGAAACTGTGTCTGCAGCACGGTTCGACACATGGTTGGTTAGAGCGAACCGTAGCACGATTCCTTAGTCTTAATCAGTTGCGACTACCTCGCATTGTACGGTTTTCTTATACTCATCGATTGTATCGGTAAGAATTTTCTGGAAGATGCTTTCAAAGATCTGGTTCTTAACTATAGCCTCGTCGGCGTGCAGCGCCGTCCACTCGGGCTCGCAGCGTCGCCACTCAGCGAAGAGTATGTCGTCGATGTGGTCAGACCGCCGACTCGAAACTCCTGAAAGCACAAACAAAAACGTTGAATGAAATTGTACTGTAATAAAATTAACTTGTGTACGTTTGCTTCGATTATATTCTCATGAGAAGTGCTGCCTAATTGGTATAATTTTTAAGACTTATTTCAATGAATTAATCGGTGATTCTCAACCTTAACTCCTACCACTAGGATGACAAATTTGGCCACCACAATTTTGTAACATTTCACAGTTTTAACCATTGAATGCTTGCTCAATGTGGGTTGGTGATTTGAAAGTTATAATTATATATACGATACAAACATAGAGAAGTCCTATAGCGCAGTAATATGTATAGAGTAAGGTTTGTTGATGTGTTAAACTACAAGTCCGGCCATTGATTGTATTGTATTCGCTTTCTATAGAAAGCTCTCTTTATGAATATCATTTGTTATTATGGAAGCTAGTTTCAATTCGCTGTGGGGAAAATGTTATAGTTACTTAAATTATCTAACAACAAAGGGTAATGCGAAACAAATGTATGGAGACTGGTCCCACCCTCAATAGCAACATGTGATACACCGTTGGATAGGGCTTCTTAAATAGAACAATAGTTGCGAATACTATGATCACATGTTAGTATCTTCAGAGGTACGACGGCCTTAAGTCATTTGAATCTTAGCACTGATACATTACATAGGCACTGTAACTCCGACACCACTGACTTTTTACCTTAGTTAGTTATACGAAGTTTTATTCTCCATAAGAATACTATTCCTATTGAGAGGTGGGTCCCACATTACTCCATGTTCTTTAATAGATATCATTTAAGTAACTATAACATTTTCCACATAAGGAATTGAGATTAGGCACCATAATAACAAATCATGGTCACTAAAAGAGCTTTCTAACGACATATGTCTGGTCGTTATTGGTGGCCAAGTACATTTTGCCCCTCATCCTTTGGAAAATAACTTGATTTTCAAATTATTGATTAGTCACAAACATAGGTTTCGCATTTCGTAAGTGACAAGTAGGATATAGGATATTTTTTGTTGTGGAGTAATTAAGGTATTATTAAAATTTGTTAATAACTAGATCTTTAATCTTTTTAAACCTTATAACAATAAGGTTTAAATCAGAATAAAGAATCCAGAACAATAAACATTATTGTTCTGGATTCTTTCAATCATTCGCGACCCTTGTAAGAAACCTCCACGACCCCAGTTTGAAAAACACTGGATTACAGCTAAGAAAATATGTTCTGAGATATCATTAGGCTTGTCTAATATTGCAATCAGACTAATAACATACAGGTAAATGAGGGAAACTGGTTTCACTATACATAAATTAGCAAGTCAACTACAAAAAGAAACTCACCAGACACGGTAGTGGGCGGGACGCTGGTGAGCACGTCCTTCAGTTCTGTAGTGGTTTTCTCTACCAATTCTTGAACTTCCACTGGCGGCTTCTGCGGCAATAGATTACATGCGTCCCAAGGCTTATCACTTTGCTCGTGTTTATGCCTTTCCAGAGATTCCTGACAAAAATCTTGCACAAATACGTTGAAGGCCTCTGATGGGTCAGATATACTGCCTTCTGGGTCCGTAATGTGCCTTTCTACTTTTTCTTCTAAATTTTCGTCCGGAGTGAACATGCGCGGTGGTTTTGGGGCACGAGTTTCTGTAGGCGGAGTGTAAGGTGGTGGCGGCTTGTCCGGAATCTCCCTTACAACCAGCAACCGACATTGTTGTTGTTCTAAAGCCTTTATCTGAAAACGTAGTCAGCGTGGTTACAAACATGCTTATATTGTTAATTGTATAACAAATGTCATACATGTTATCAGTTTACCTCTCTTTCTATCTCTAATTGTTGTCTCCGCAGTTCCTCTGCCTCAACATGGACCGGCGCCGTGAGCGTCGTTAACGAAGACACGGACCCGCACAGCGACTGACTACTGACGCTGTCTGTCTCTGAAACTATTGCATGCAAAAGATTATGACATAGAAGATACAAAACTATATTAAAAAGGATATTTACATACTTGTCCAAAAAAAATTTATTCGAATTAGTATAGTTTTACTTTTAATAAGTAATATTGGACTTACTTGAAGCAGAGGATGCAGTTGACTTCGGTGGTAACCAGGTAGGAACATCTGGAGGCTGACTGTCCACGACAGCAGCGGCGCCGACCGGCACAGGCAGCGGGCCGGTCGGCGTTTGACTAGTAAGTACTGGCTCCTTATCTAATGAACACTGACTTTCAACAGACGCAACCTCGCAAACACACGAATGTTCTAAACTTGGAGATGAGCTTACATCTTGCGTTGAAATAGTTTGACTACATCGCTCTTCTAAATTATCCAATTTAACGATCACTGACTGCACACTCGAGTCTTTAATTTCATAAACCTTACTAGAATGATCGCTGTCGTGGTCTGGCGAGCTAGGCGGTGACTTCTGATCCTCCTGCAGATCTTTGTAGTACTGATCAAATTCTTCGATGAGACTTCGTGCAGTCGACGGCGAGCTGGATCTATCGGAGTCTTTATTTTTAATCTGATCCATAAGCTTTTCAACGACATCACTACCACTCATATTAGTGTTGTGACTATTCGCTGAGTGAACTATATTTCTCAAGGCTTCCTCGTTAACCTCATACTGTTTTCCACTGCTGAAAATTTGCGGAAGAGTCAGGTTATGAAACAGTATGTTTAGGTATCCACCATCAACTACTACAAAGTTCTCTGCGGCAGTGTCGGTGGCGTGGTCCATGAGTAAATTGCTCGTCGTGTCGCTGGTCTGTACGTACTTCTCGGCACTAAGCACACTCACCGCCGAGCCATGGACCTCCACCGGGATCAGAGATGCATCTGAGATCACTTTGGAGGTGGTACTCTCCTCACACCCACTGCTCGACAAATCAAAACATTTCAAGGGAGCAGCGTTCCTATCGAAGCTGGAGCTTCTTTTTAATTTCTTCTTACCAAGAATTATCTGTTCAACATCGACGTTATTTTTAAGTTTCAACTCTATATTCTTCTTGGTTTTCATAAGGGCGACCTTGCGTTTCTCTGAGAGTGTGAGTAAAGCTTTGCGCATACGTTGCATCTCCCCACATTCGTGTTGCAGCTTGAGCAATGCACCGCGCTGTTTCTTCTTCAACGTCGATATATCCGTGTTGTCGTGCTTTTTCTTCTTCTCTAACCAAAGTATTTGAGATTTCGTAAAGTCTTTTAGCGCATCTTCTCGCATTTTCAATACGAATAAGAGATTTTTTGCTCGTCTTTGCTCATCGCGAATGAGTAAATTAAGCTGAAAACATAAAACAGCTATAAATATATATACATCTAAACCAAACTGAGTAGTTAAACAAATAACAATCAATTACACAAGTACTTATCGTGATAACCTGGCCAGTAATGAATTACAGTACATTGGAAAGCCAGTGGAAGGGTAACGACAGTCACACGGTGGCAGCAAAATATTTACAAATTAAAGAATAACACTTACCAGACAAAGACTCTTTGATGCCATTGTTTCGGTGTCGTCAATATTCGCGCCATTTTCAAGTTTCGATAAGAAATTGTCGTACTCTGAATTCTTTACATCGAATGTGGAGTCAAATAACGCAGAATTATTGACAAAGTTCTCTACTTTGTTTTCAGAGTAACATTTGTCAGAGAGGGAGCAACTCTCCAAGTACTGTAGCGATTCAAAGAATGAATCTATAAAGTTGAGTTCCCTCTGGAACTGCTCACATATATAGTCGTTGTGTAATAGACCGTTATTAACTCTTATTGTGCTAATTATATCCGACGGTTTCATTAATTTGTTAAAGACGTACGAGCAATTAAGAGTCTTCAGTTCATTCAAACGGTTTAGATATTCTTCCTCTTTTGTAGTTTCCTTTTTGTTGTACGAATCATCTGAAGATTCGCTTTCATTCACGTTCTTATTTTTCAATTCATTCTTGAACACAGACACAACACTCACAGGGTAATCTAATGGACTAGGCGGAAGAGTTGGTTTGACTTCGTCGTCGCTACCAACTATTTGGAAGTTGAACTTTTGCTTAGTAGTGTATGTTAACGTAGCGTGGCTAATAATAAAAGAGGTACTTTGACAAAAACTTGTATCACTGGAATTCGCTTCTTCATTATGAGGGACTATTTTTAAAGGCGGTACTTCAAGATTTGGCAAAGATGTTGACTTTAAGATTTTAGGATCCTCTTTGGGTTCGCACTTATCCTTTGTTAACGATACATTTGGTATTTCGAGACTATCGAATGTTAGTTTGTTAGGATCCGTTTGCATAGTACTTTCGCATCTAGTTATTGTATTGATTTCAAAATCTTCCATTGCTGTGTCGCGGTGTATCGGTGTTGGCATCGGGTCAGTGGACACATCCGCATCTTTATATCGGACGATGTCATCAGTTTCGATACAGCAGTCGACAGTGGTTATGACCGGGTCCACGTAGGGTACAGTAGCGGACTTTTTGTCTTTCTTCTTGTACTTGTCATCAAGTGGAACATGTATTACTGTCAGAGCTCTCTCCTTATTTGTGACATCTTTTGTAAATGATGCTTTAGACCTGTTTTGTAAATATGGTAATTTGTTTGTTTTGGGTTTTTCTACAGTTCGTTTACAAGTTGCTGATTTGCTTTTTAAATTGTCATATAGCATATGTTTTATTTTTGTTAATTCTTTATCACTTTCACTTGGTGCTACATGGTTTTTGCTTACACTAATTTTTGATGTTGCATTCAAATTTCTTCTTGATGTTTCTAGAAATATAATGTAATAATTATAATATATTGTAGTAAATCGAGCAGAGATATAAAATAAATTGTAAAAGATAATATTTTTAGGTATTTTGCAGTGAATCGAACAGAGATATAGATAATACTTTTATAAACTACTGCTGCTAATTTAAAAAACCGACTTCAACCGCCTCTTTTTGAAGTCGGTTAATGAATATTCTAAAGCCTTCTCCTAAGTGTAAAAAACACTTTATTGAAAACCGCATCAAAATCTGTTCACCCAAACGCGAGATAATCGCGCACTAACATACATACAGGTCAAACTGAGAACCTTATTTTGAAGTCGGTCATAAAAAGCCAAGAACTTGTTAAATATACTAAGTAGGTACCTTATGAATCTTCAGAATGTTCTAAGCCATTATTGTAAGAAAATAAAGGAATGCATAATCATGATATTTTTACAGATGAAACTCACCTTTCTCTTTCACATTTTTTGCTTTATTATTATCAGGACTTGGACTATTACTCTTTCTGTTTCTGTGACTTTGTACAGTGGCAACCACTTCTTTCTTATTATATGCACTGTTTACTTTGGCACTTGTTTTTACTTCTTTAGAATCTGAAACGAATTAACACACAACTATTAGTATTTATAAATAAGACAAACATACATAAATTATAAACATGGTAACAACTACTTATAAAGAAGATTACTGAGATTTATAAAATCTGATTATTGATAACATCCATCGAAATACACGAATCCTTACAATATTTTAAATTTTAAATCAGATTATACTAGAACAGCTTTCCGGTGAGTTTGAAGAAACCATATTGCAAACTGAGAGAAAGAGCACATTATAAACTTGTAGTTTAATGTAAACACTTTGTCATAAGAACATGTTTTTAGTGCAAAGTAGGTTGCTAATGATGTAATGTTTGTATTTCTTGTTAATTTTCTGAGTAAGCAAAGAAACAATTACTGTGCACAAGCATTATAAAAAGCATTATAAAATTAATGCTTACTCTATGGCTTGAGATATATCTAGTGCTGTTGTACAAAAATTGAAAATCAAAGGTTTGACTTTTGCTATCTGGATGCATATAAATTGCAATATTTACAAGTATGTCGGTGCCTACAATAAATGCGTTTGCACTAGCAAACTAGCATTGATTGACATTATAGTTTGCAATCAATGTTGATGACGCACGCGTGAGATGAATTCGAATTGATTGTGCTTTAAGTGTTACTAAGTTAAATTGATAAATGTGTCACAATAACTATCTGTTATCCAACATTGTATTGCGTACATTTAGTTTAGAACATTCAGAAGGTGCACATAACAATTATTATTTCGTAATTATAACATCATAACATCACGCCTTTTATCCCCGAGGGGGTAGGCAGAGGTGCACATTAAGCCACCCACTTTTCACTATTTATGTTATGAGTCCCATGTAATAGGGGGTGAGTCTATTGCCATATACCAGGCACAATTCCAGACTCCGTGCTACTACTGAGATTTTTTTTTAAACCCAGTAATACTTTGCCCGACCCGGAAATCGAACCCGAGACCACTTGCCCGGCAGTCGCACTTGCGACCACTCGGCCAACGAGGCCATCGAGTATTATTTCGTAATTATTTTTTTTTAAACTGCATAAGTTTATTTTGGATGTGAAAGGTGACACAATGATTTTTAATCGTGAACTGTACGTTTTTCTCATTAAATTAAGAATAATCAATCCTTTAGACTAAGAATAATCAACCAATTTTGTAGACTAAATAAATAACAAATCAATTGAACTTACATTTAGTTGAAGTAGAAAACCTTGATGTGGTTCTACTGGGGGACTGTGGTTTCTCTTTTATGTCAGCTACCACAGCTCTATTTGCTGTTTTTGCAGGATGTGGCTTTTTATCCTTAGCTAAAACACAAATAAAATAAAATTATTGAGTTAACTTATAACATACTAGGACACATATTGTCTTTAACATATATAGGTATTTTCTTCAGGCAGGCAATAAAGCAAAAAATATAGCAAATGAGTTTATGAACAAAAATATTTAAAGAATAATAAATATTGAGAGGACAGAATTATTGCGGGAACATAAGGTAGTTACAAAAAGAAATTTTTTGATGACTGATCAACAGCATAGATAGTATAAATGTATTACCGATACTTCAAATTCAGAAATCAATAACAAGTTTTTCAACTTTCTAGAATATTTGATCAAACACAGCACATATTAACACTTCAATCATTGATTTCAATCTGCATTCATTGCCATAGTTTAATATACAAATTACATGCATTATGTGTATCAAAATAAATATGTTCAAGCAACAAATTATTTCCATGATTCTGCAATTAAAGTGGCAGCAAACATCTAATATTGTGCGCAAAGCAAACTTTTTATAATAGCAAATGAGTATTTTTAGGTGTAGTATGCATGATGTTCCTTGTAACCTGTGGTACAGGACATAGATGGATGCGAGACACAATGTATTTTCTTTTGTGTCTTATATACGCCGCACTTTAGAGGTTAAATAATAATTTCACTTCTAGCCTTAATTGGGTTTCTCCAAACATGATACAGATGTAATGTTATAAAGCTTATGATCTGTAATGCTCCACTTAGCACAACTAATTACTTTATCGTGTTTGGTTTATGATTAATTGGTCCAGTTAAAAATATGTTATGTATAGTTGTATAGTGATTCAACACAGCTAATACTAAATAAAACATAACAAACACTTTGGAATGGGCAAATAGGGGCAATTTTATTAAGAAGTTTAAATGTGAACTTCTAACCTTCTTAGATTAGTGAACCAACAGATAGATATTTTTATTTCTATTATTTAACTTTCAAAGTACTATTTTGTATGAAATAAAAAAAACAATTTAACATGATATTGCATAAAATTTCGTGGCATAATAAGCACAGCAAATAATACTATTCCTATTTAAAATATAGCAAAGCAAATAAATCGCAATATAATAAATAATAATTGCTTAGTAATGAATATAATAAACAGTGTAATGATAATAAAGTGCAATGAATACTAACAAAATTTAGGGTGAAGGTCATTCTCATCATCTTCAGTGATAGTGACAATTTTTCTGTTTGTGTAATTCGGACCAGCTGGAGTAGCCATCATCCTGGGTGGACCAGTCAAATGTGACTTCAAGGAACTATTTCCAGTCAGTAGACCGTCATCATCTTCAAGTGTGATGATGCGTCTTAATCTTGGCTGAAGTGTGTAGCTGTGTGCGGGCCATGACACTGTGGGTAGCAAACATTGGATTCATAAAAATTTCTAGTATACCAAACTGGATAAATCTCAGGAAATTTGTTTTAAAGACTAGTTATGAGCTTTTGAGTACCAATATCATTTGGAGTATGGACAGAGAATAGAAATAAGGAGAATATCATTATATATTCTCAAGCAAACATTGTCCTAAAAGTAACTGAACAACACAAGCGTCAAAAGTATATTAACACACGGCAACATTAAAAATATACTTTGTTAACCTAATTTTATCTTTACTGCTGTTTAGTGACTTTTGGTACAATGGTGTTCAGCGACATTTGGATTGAAGGTGTACAGCGACTTTAGGAATACTAGTGCACAGATACTTCTGAAATAGTTGTGTGTAACGACTTTTGTAAATTTCTAGTGTACAGGCTATTTTGTTTCCTAGTTGCGACTATAACTTATGGCATTTTATTGTGAACAGGTGTTTTGTAATGTTGATTCTGTTCATCGACTTTTGGTGCTGACTGTACCTATGGGACTAGCTGCTAGAGAAACATTAATATCAAAGTGAACTATTATAGTTATTTATCACATAAGATAATTCTCTAATTATTATATAACACACAAGATAATTCTTAATAATTCTAAATACCTAATGTAGAATAGCATTAAAATGACTTCAATTTAATCTCAGAATGACAATACATGAAATTTCATTATTTGTTTGTTTATTATTGTCAATAGTTGGATAGAGTAAACAAAAAGTAAATCTGTGGGGTTCATTTACAACCTAACCACAAATATAAAATGTGAACTTAGACAGGAATACTGTGGCTTGCTTGTAGAAAAATTAATAATCTCTAATCCTCAAACGGTACAAAAGTAAACTGAACTACTTCACTTTTAGCAAGTCATGAGAACAGTACATGATAATTGCCTTGTAGATAATTGACATTGTTCATGTCTAGAAATTAACTACCAAAACAATATAGTATTTCAACTCACAATATAATTATGAAAAACATGTAATAGTAGATACTGTGTCATACAAGACCACTGACCAAGGCTACATTTCTCTGCAACATTTTCATTGTATTGTTCACTGCCACATTTGGAGTATTTGCAATAATAAAGTGCCTGCTTTAATCAAGCCAAACAAAGACATTCAGAGCTTGCATTATATAAAAGAACACGAAGAGTAGAAAGAACGTGCGTCACTAGCCAGACGATGGTCATACATCATGGTAAACCATGAAAAAAAACAACAATAACTGCCTCACCTTTGGAGTCAAAATCAAAATCTGGAAGCTTCGTGTACTTAGTAACTGTGCTCTTTTGCATTGGTGCGGCGTAATTGCTGTCGTCTATTTTTAAAAAGAAACCATACATATTGCTAATATCGGCATCTGGTTTTGTTGATGCCGATGCATCCATTATAAAGTGAACACTAGAAAATTTGTGCATAAATTACGGTGTCAACCATTTTACTTGTTATTCGAAAATAATAGATTAGCGCAAACACCAGCACAGTGTTGTTAGGGTTAATTTTGCTAGTTTCTATCACATTTTTCAATTTTATTTGTTGCACGAAGATTTTTTCTGAAGTAATCAAGTAATAGTTGCTTGTCAATAAATTTTAAACAACTTTTGCTCTATGGTTATTTTATTAGTCTATGCTGATATAGACAAGGAAAACCACAGATGTTGAATCTTTGGAATTTTTTATATTTTTGTTTCATTCATAACGAGATTTTTGTACGAATATATTAATCAGTATTTTCCATCATTACTAATGTATATAATCATCAATATAGGGGTTATGAATATCAAAGTGTTATATAATCATCAGTTAAAACTCTATGACTACAAATCAATTAAAACCATAAACACATAGAGCAGCTATCAAAGCAAAATATATCTATGTCGCTCTACCAATCTCTTCTACTTATTTCGTGCATTGTGCGATTCATGGAAGTAGTGGAGTAAAATCAATCTTTGTTTGTTTTACAAAATCCAATTTTAGTTCCCTATTTAGAAATTGGTACTGTGTTCGTGAACGTAAATACTATAAATTAACTACCGTTAATAGCCTAGAGATTTTTTCAATAGTCAAGTAATATAGATCGTGGGTAGCAGTAATAGCAATCTCTGTGGTTTTACAGGCAGGGAACTCGGTGGTCACTGTTGACGAAAAAATGTGTCCTTATTCATTTGCGAATGGAAAATATTGGTCTTAATTGTATTCCTGGTTGAGACGCGACGATGCAATCTCTGGCTTTCCATCATAGATTCAAAAGATAGTGCTATACGGGATAATGAACATTGCTAAAATTGATGAAATTTGGTGTGTTGCGTAGAAGAACTTTGTCGTAAAGGATTCATAATAAAATAAACTGTGAGTAATACGTTTATTAATATCGGTTGGCTACTTTTCCTTACATATGAATTGATGAAGATAACTATTTTAATACTTTATGCAGTAGGGTATATATCTATATTGATTCAAGTAGAAGCAGCTGTAAGTGTTGTTGGTTCTTACTTCTTACCTTCCTGATGTTCTTTCTTATGAAATATATGTCATGTTGGGTGTGTAGTTATGTCAATACTAATTTATACTCTTGTTGTATAAATCTAGTTAGTTTAATGTTTTAAATTACTAAATGTGGATAATGTGATTTTTATATACATTGTAATGAGCTGGTAATTATGTTTGATATGTCAAAGAGTATGTGGCATCACAGGCATCAAGAAGTACTTGCAAGGTTGGTAAAAAACTAAAATAAATGAAATATGCAGGTAGGTCTTATGTTAGTTATTCAGAACTATGATAACAAAAGCTGTTTCACAACATTACTATAACTATAATGTATGCAGCTGTAATAGTTATTGTGGTTCTTCCATAGAAATATTGTGTTCTTGGTTTATAAGTTGAGTGTTCAACAGTATCAACCTGATGAGTGTATTCAGTATCTGAGATCCAGCATGCATGAACCATCGCCTGTTGTATTAATGTTTCATATAAATGTGAGATGTAGATTGTTGTTTTTATTGTCTGGTATCCATAGTTTTAGTCTATAAATAAGTTATAACCAAATTAATAAAACATTCGGCCGGTTAATTGTTTAATATTCTTCTACCTTAAGATATTTTCTTAAAAGGTAACTAATTAATCATTTTTATTTTGTTTAAGTTGGTTGTAATATTTACATAAGTAAAGAAATAATTAACGTGAAAGCATTTTATGCTAGCTAAAAAATTCTCATAATGTGTCAGGATTCCAATTCCAACAGGCATAAACTTGAATTCCAATAATGACATACCTACAATTAGAAGTTCATAGAGAAAACAAAGATAATTAATTATGTGCAATGTTGCCAACCTTGAAAATGTTTATAATAAACATTTGAGAAAATGTAAACTAATTCTACATTTTCTTTTAACCACTATATTTCTAAACATAATATTATGAATTGTCTTTTTATATTAAAAATATTTGTTATATATAATGTAAGATATATTTAGTAATACATAAAAGTTTGTAACAAAAGGATAATAAGTATCTACATGTTATTAGATATCTGTTATTTGAAGACAGCATAACGATTTTAATAGTTAAAAATAATTATATAAGAAACTTATAAGAGACCGGATTATATTGTATCGTGATAGTGCCTAAAGTATGCAAATATCAAACAAAAAGACTAAAATATGCATTATAATGTGCACTAAACATTTTGATGCAGAACAAAGATTTAACTCTTTGAGTAACATCATTATAGACACAAGTAAAGAACAAAAGCTTGCGGTCACCGGTGACCGCGCATTGTTTGACTGTTTAACTCGTCGAGTACCGGTTTTATAGACACAATTAAAGAACAATAGGTCGCGGTCACCGGTGACCGCTTGGTGTTTGACAGTTTAAGTATGGAGAAATATTTTTAGGATAGAATGGACAACAAACTTCAAATTGTGTAGTTTTCTACACAAAAATCAGTTTAGTCAGCAGTTGATTTCCTACTGATGCTGGTATAGGGTTAAAAATAAAATATACAAATGTATATAATCTGGTCTCTACTTATTATTAAAGAGAAGTTAACAATCAGTGATAAATGGGTAAATGTTACACTTACCTACATTTAAACTGTTCTTTTTAAATGTTGCATCCACCCTATCATATAATTTAGACTTGCTACCTCTATATATAACCTAGTTATGTCATACAGACTCATCATAACTATACACTATATACCCAGTTTCTTCATAAATATCTAGTTTTTTGACTAAAACATTGTATGAAAGTGTAGTATGTGCAACCACGCCGAAATAGCGATGTTGGCTTTCTGCTACTTAGTTAGGGAAGTAAACAATCAGGTTTAACACCGTGTTCTACTCCAACAGAATGCTAATACCAAAAATGCGGTGCATCCATGTACCCTAGTCTGCTATAGCACATGGCTGACTCCGCCTTTGAATTGGTTGAAGAGGCAGAAACAGGAATTCCGATGACGAGTTTTTACGCACGACGATATCTAGACGTACTAGTTTTGTTAACTTTTGTTACCCAACAGTAGGAGGTTTTACGCTTTTCATAAGATTGGCGGGATAATCGGGGAACCGCGCTTTTTTGCTGTTGCTCCAACTTTTTACAAGAACGAAATTTATTACGGAATACACCACAATAAAAATAAAGACATCTGCATTTTGATATTGCAACTGTTGGAGGAAGCTAAGTTGCATTTCGTTTTACGATGACGAAACTCAAAAATTTGGATGAATAAATGTGATCTGAAGAGGAATGAGTTGATGATGGTCAGAAACTAAAAGATGTTCAAGAGAATTCTGCAATTTTAAATACCAAATATGCAGAAGTATACAAGATGTAAAGCGAAATTATGAAAAATCATAACGGTATGATAAATTTTGAAGGAATGCATGTACTTAGGATACAAGTGTCCCATTAAATTTTCCTGAAAATTTTGCAACATTATTTCAATTTTAATTTTATGATGGTACAGGTAATGTTGAGAAACATAATGAAAGGAAGGTAATGAAAATTTATAAAAGATAGGCTTCATTAAACAGGTGTATGACTTATGAGAATAGAAGAAGAAAGCAAAGTTTGTATAATACCTACATAATCTATACTGCTTGACCCTTGTAGCACTATTAAATAGTAAAACAAATAATAAAACCATCGCTTACTAAGCACATCCCTTTCGGCGGAATAACAATCCCCCAACTGCAAATCTTGTACTCAAAACTTCCTCACGTAACCAGTAACAAAAACGAGTATGTTCTCCGAAAAAAAAAGTCACAAATGCCATTCAATTATGTTCAATCCACATCAAAATTTAGATTTTGTTCCCGTTCATTATTTTTAATATGATTCCTTATAATTTTCCCCATTTATTTGAGAAAATTACAATTCCTTCTCCCACGATTGGCTACCACATGCATGATTTAAATTTTTTATTTACGTACATTTTTATTTATTTTATTTAGCTCAAAAATGGCGGTGAAAAAGCACGAACTGGTTCATGACAATCGAAATCAATTGGATCTGCTGGCATTGGAACAATACATTCAACTGATGAATGATCAGACAGACTATATGCCTCCACCACCTCAAGAACTCGTGAAAAACTGTCAGGACATTGTCAAATGTCTTGGTAAATATTTACGCACTTTTGTCAATCTGATTGATCGTACCTTTATTTAAATTTAAAAATACAAACCACTATTGTTGTTGTGTCAAATGCTTGCAGCTCGTGCATCTGGCAATGAAGAGCAGATGTGGAGTCTGTTACAAACTGTGGAAGAATATTTGCTTCGAATTGTGAACACAGTTCACAGTAGTATTCGTCACGAAATTGTAACAGCAATTCTTGACAAATTCTACACGTTCATCTCCGATCCTCGTGAGTTTACAATTATAATTTCTTGTAGATAATAAAATTCCATGTTTTTAATTAACTATTGTAATCTTTCGGATATAAAGTTATTAGTTCATGAGCTGTTATTTTTCAGAATCGGACGCTTATCCTGCCGTATCTGTGGTCCTTATCGTGCTAGACTGCTCTGACGCAGAGGGTAATTTATCAGCTGCTCGCTGGCTAGTACAGCAGGAAGATAACGGTCCGGCAGGAGCAGGTCTGAGAGCTTCTCTGTCTTGCCTCTATTGCTGGCTACACGAGTGGCACGGTACTCCTGCATTAGGAGATTGGGTATTGGCTTTTATAAAAGCCTTAGAGGTGAGAGAGATAAACCTAGTAAACGTTATGCTAGATCGACGTAATTACTAATGTTATTATTTTATATTTTGCACAGGAAAATGAACGCTTTGACATCTTGATTGAGGTATCGGTAGATAACTTGGGTCGCCTTTTCTTAGCTTTGAACGACCCTGTATCACTCCGACAGTCTGTAGCCGAGGTGATTTTCCACGTGTTGGCGGCACTCCGTGAATCTACTGAGGCTTTTGATAGGGTACAGTAGTTTCAATATAATTCTTTTGTTGATGCTCTATATTTCGAATCTGTATATAATTATTTGACTGTTTTGAATTTATCTTTAGATTGCACCCCACGTTGGTCGTGTTTTGGCTAATCTTGCCAACGATAGCGGTCAGTGGAGCCGTCAGCTTCTACAAAACGTTGTTGACATTCTAACAGCTACAGTCGGCGGACATGTCGATGCTTTAAAAGGCGATGCTCAGGATATGTTTAAAGACAAATATGATGATGTGGTGAGTAAAATTCTGAAACATCAAGTAATAAATACATCATTTGTATGAAAATTAAATTTTATTAATTGTTTCATTTACAATGAATCCAACCCAGCAGCAGTCTGATCAGGCATATAAGTTATTTCTATCACCGATCAATGTTCTCGGCATCGCTTGGCCTTGTGGTTTATCTTAGCTAGCGCGATCAATATCGACAACTATTCTAATAACCTATTCAATAAAAGTAAGGTATAAATACCTGAAAGTAAAAGAAATCTTACAAGAACCACCATAAGTTTCCGTACTTCATTTTATTTCACAATACACTTGTGCGTGTGAGCAAATTCCACCCCTCGGCCCTTATCGGGGACGCTCGGCGCTTTTCGGGCCTGTAAGCGCGCTGTAGTTGATATCAGGCCGTAGTCGCGGCCGGACAGAGGCACCGTTGGCGCAGACAAAATGCCAACCCGAGCTGAAACGTTACGAAGTCGCGGGAGACGTGTCGGCATGGATAATACTAGTGATGTACTTATCATAATTTTCTGTAAACGTATACATTAGTCTCATAGACAATTCGCCGAAATAATATACAAGATATTCGAATTAATTCAGAAACAATTTTATTATTAATCGTACCCCATGTTACTATAGTGTTTATATAAAGGTAATTATGGATTTTGTTTTTTTTTCTGTAGATTTTATGCTTGGAACGACATATGGCCTCTCGTGGTAGCCGCTATCTGCAGCAACACCCTTGGCGCGCTCGTAACGTTTGCTTGACCAGTGTAAGCACACACGCACCAATGAGGAAGGTGGGGCTCCTGAACCTTGGCAACACCTGCTACATGAACAGCGTCGTGCAGGCTCTGCTTGTCACCAGACAGTAAGTACTTGTTCTTGTTTAATCATAACTTACCTCTAAAGTGATATGCTTTTTATTATAAAGCTTTTACTTTCACCTGAAAATAGTAATTAGAAGTGTAATATAGAGTTCTAATTCAAACAATCTTACTCCATTATCGCGGAGTTACGAGTTACACTTTTATAGGCAAAAACAAATAGCTGTCTCTACATTTAAACATGAAACAGTTTTTGAATAATAAAATTTCCATATTTAATATCGAACTGAGTGATTTTCATTTATTCCGAAGGCTTTTATTAAAATGTATGCTTCACGTAACTATTTTGGTTTTTCAACGAAACATTCATTTCATAAACAGAAATAATTAATTCAACTGGACAATACACATATTGGACGAAGAATTTAATTACAAGCTCGACTATTTTGTTTGATGAATATTTGTCGTGCGATAATAATGAGCTATATTCCTGGTATATCTGATATTGGACCTGAACTCACCCAGCTTCAACTTTCGCAAAGTTTTTACTAAAAGTACCTTATTTTCATCCGCTACTGCCTTTGAAATGTAATCTGTATATTTTGATGTACTTTGCCAGAGCGAATTCTGTTCTATTTATATCCATGTCAGCGAAGTTTTGTGTCCAGATTAATTATTTTAGCAAGTTGACTTGTATCCGATGTTAATTAACACATTTCTCCACTAAGCTTTTCGTTGTGTGGGGATACGTCGTTTAATTTGAAGTTCTAAGTTTGAACCAAAACTCGGCTCGAAGAAGGTTTAAGCATTGATCACCACCCTTGCTCGAAGCGGGTTCATCATCATCATCATCAACAGCCTATAAATGCCCACTGCTGAGCAAAGCCTCTTCTCACACGGAGAAGGTTTGAGCATTAATCACCACGCTTGCTCAATGCGGGTTGGCGATTACAAACTTATAATTAGAAATTATAAGCCCAGGTTTCCTCACGATGTTTTCCTTCACCGTTAGTCAGTGGTGTCTAAATAATCTTAGAAAGTACATATAACTCGGAAAAAGTCACATTGGTACTTGCCGTTGGTAGGTTTCGAACCCGCATTCTCATGCATGAGAAGCCAGCGTCTTAAACCTCCGGGCCACCACGACATTTTTTTTTTACGAAGCGGGTTAGCATTAAGTATTTTGAGATTATTCACTTAAAAATCCTTAGTGTTGGCAAGCCCGTCACAAATCATTTTCTTCAGATAATGACTGAGACATATTAATCATATTATACAAGTTGTATACTACTAGTATTAATACGTACCTAATTATGAGTGCACAAGTGATCCTAACGCGATAAGTAGGTACACGGGAACCCCTCGACCTCGTGGCATTTATTGAATGTAAGTGATGACTGACTCGGTCGGGCGCCCGTACCTACCAAAGCCGTGTTCGAACTGTAGGGTTAATTCCCAGGTCAGAAAATTATTATTTACTTGGTTTTGCGATTGTTTAATATGTTACAAATAACAAAAATTGAAGAGAAGTGCCTTAACTAACACCTTCAGCCGTGAAGCGATTCACATAATTGATGACTGAATGTACAATTAGTGCAACTTAAGCATCAAATATAGCCTCGAGTTTTTGTGAAAAGACTACAAAAAAAAACTGTAAAACAATTGACACCAAATTTTCGATTTTGCAATTCTTATCGAGTGTCGAAGGTTTGTCGTTCTGTGATTGATATTCCTGTGCATTTATAAATGATTGTTGGCGTCATCTCCCCGTCCGTTTATGTAAAACCGACTGGCCTCTTTGCCCGCATAGTAAAGAGTAGGTCCAGAACGCCGTTGTCCAATGTTTTCGAACAGCATTTAACTAATGACCTGTTTTGATTGGAAATGTTTGTTTCTGAAACAACGCTTTACATTGGTAGAGGGGAAAAATTGACAATTTAATTTAACGTATTAATGCGAAGTACCATAATAATATATTTCTACGTACTTATCTGCGAAAAAACTTTTGCTTCTTGCATGTTTAATGACCCAAACTTATATTTAGTCAGGTCAACTGCATTACTTAAATACTTTAATGTATTTGTACTGTAATGTGTTCTTTACTCAGACCTCATGTAAAAAAATAATACTTTGTAAAGTAGTAGTAATATATGTCTTCATTAGTACTTTGTAAAGTAGTAGTAATATGTGTCTTCATGAAAACTCTCATGTCAAAAGTTTGGCGGTTATAGACACCCACTTCTCATGAATTAGAGTGCAGGTTGGAACCTGGCACTTGCCGTTGGTAGGTACTTACCTATCAACGTGATCTTTTCTGAATCATACGTACTTTATAAGATTATTTAAACACTATGGTGAAGCAAAATATCTTGAGGAAACCTGAACTTATTTCTAATTATAAGTTAAATAATTGTTAACCCGTACTGAGCAAGCGTGGTGGTTAGTGCTCAAACCCTCTCTATGTAAGAAGCCTTTTGCTCAGCAGTGAGTATTTTATGCTGTTGATCATGATGATACTTTCATGTCTGTCATGTCACATATAGGTACCTATTACGTCCTATGCTATTATTTCCCGAAAAAAATATACGCTGGGGTGTCCATAATTGTAAATCTTTTTCTGATAGATAAGTTATACTGGTGCATCCACTCATACAATTTAATATAGTTTTTTTTATTTATACAAAATAATAAAATATGTATCTGATATTTTTCGGTAATGGGAAAACGGATGGACTAATTAAATATGTAGTTAGCACTATCTAGCTAGAGTTAATGACCATTTAAACAAAACTTAATAAATAATAAATTCATATTGCTCGGATGTGGAAACAAACTTAATACTTCGTCTTACCCTCCTCCAGTCATAGACTAGGTAAGGCAGTAGTGGCAAAATATAACCTAAAATGACAAAAAAGCAGATCTTTTTAATTGAGCCTGACTACTGGTTTAGGCTCACCCACTATTGCATGGGACTCATGAACATAAATGGTGAAAAGTGGGTGTTACATTGTGACATTAAGTACCGCAATGTGCATCTTTCCCTACCCCTACCAGGCGTGATGTTATGTTATGGATCATAATGTTAGTAATTAAATCTATAATAGCCAGTCAATATTTGAAACACAACAAAGGCTTTGATAGAGAGCAATTTACCACATGAAACCTAACTATGTACATAAGGTACTAACTTCATGTACACACAAAGCACGAACATGAAGTTTCAATTATATTATCTAGCTTCAATAGAATACCACAGTTTTCATGTACCATATACATACAATATACCTAGTAGATAGTCCACCGGTTGATCGATAACGCTAGAAGTTTCGAGAAATTGCAAAGCTGGAATCTTAGAGAATTTCAGCCTTTGAGAGCGTGCCTGTTGCGCTCTGAAGGGATTTAATACAGCTATATCGCAAACCATTGCACATAGTTTCGTTTCGTTGCATCGTACCAAGATACCTACAACGTACCTATTTATTGAAAAGCATTTTATCAACTACTTACTTGATTTGGTACGAAAGTCACAAACTTACAATTTATTATACTCTTTATTCTTATTTATAAAGAACTAGCTTTTACCCGCGGCTTCGCTCGCGTCACAAAAGGATAAAAACCCAATGTGACATATACCAATACACACAGCGCCATCTGTACCAATACTTTTGTTTTTCCTCGGGAATATCAAATTTTTCCGGGATAAAAAGTATTATTTAATCCGGACTTCTAACTATACATCTGCAAAAATTTAAAGCTATCGGTTTAGTAGTTACGGCGTTAAAGTGGAACAAACAAACTCACTTTCCGATTTATAATATAAGTAGGTAAGGATTTTAAAAGCCGCTGTTGAACAGTACCGTCAAAGCCATTTTACTTATAAAGAAATATTCACTAAAGTTCTGGAATGAATCATTCACAAAAAATGTTACCTAGTATTCGTTTGAAAACAGAACAATTTTAAGTTGCGTTTAAGTATAATTGGTGGAATATTTTTACTAAGACCTATTTGTGGTATTAAATTGTGAATGCAAACCCAGCAACAACTTTCCTGTGTAATAGTCCGGGAACTTAAGTGTTGCTTCGAATCAATTTTATGTAGTATTTAATTATCCGAAGAGAAATTGCATTTTGTAACAAGAAAATGATAACGTTTTCTCAGCATTCAGTTACTAGCTGATTGAAATAGTAAATCGTTTACTTTGCCCGCCCTAATTGAATTTGAAAACATTTCCAAGTATCTTTAATATCCTTGGGCATTTTCCATTTATAAAACATTAATGAAGAACTATAAACGGATCAACCTCGCAATGGTAGACAGACTTGGTTCTTAATTGCTTTATGGAAATATTTAAATCAAACCGCCATTCTATATTAAAATGGAAGTCCGTATGACAACGCGTCCTGTCCTGAAACTAAAGGGCTGTCACACAGTTTCCGAATAATTGCATTAGTCACATTCACCGCGCTCGCTTTGCAGTATGAAAATATTTGGCGCATGGACCGACACAATTTTTCAGAGATTTGTATCATTAGCTACCTATGCATATGATTTTGTCGTGGTGGCCCGGAGGTTTAAGACGCCCACTTCTCATGCATGAGGGTGCGGGTTCGAAACCTACCAACGGCAAGTACCAATGTGACTTTTTCCGAGTTATATGTACTTTCTAAGATTATTTAGACACCACTGACAAACGGTGAAGGAAAAACATCGTGAGGAAACCTGGACTTTATAATTTCTAATTATAAGTTTGAAATCGCCAACCCGCATTGAGCAAGCGTGGTGATTAATGCTCTAACCTTCTCCGTGTGAGAAGAGGCTTTGCTCAGCAGTGGGCATTTATAGGCTGTTGATGATGATGATGATGATGCATATGATTTTTATATTCAAATGAAAATGTTTCTCAAAATGTTTCCTTTAACTCGAAACTGTTTTGTTAGTGGTTCCAGTGGCCCAATATAAAATAAATGTGTTGTATAATTCCAACCGGGCTATCTGGAAGTCATTGGGGGAGCCCTATGTTCAGCAGTGGGCGTCCTGTGGCTGATATGATGATGATGATGATGATGATACTTCAAACTTTATTAAATCTAAATACATCTTAGTTTGATTCAAATGGTGACAATAAGTTTCTTACAAAGTTTAATTTTTCATTCACACGTCTGGAATATTTTAATTTCTAAATTAATTAATAAATAACTAAAAGCTTTTTTTGAATTAATATTTATTTTAAAAGTTCATTAGTTGGTACCTTTTCCAACAGTATGCAACAAGTCCCAGGAATTATTAATTATGTTGTAAAAATATGGGTTACTACTTTGCCGTACCCGTATTTTTACGCGAACAACACACAACAATGGAGCCAGTTATTATAAAAGACCGATTTCAAATATAGATCTAAAAACGAAGAAATGGTAGAAACTAAAAGCAAAACGAAACTATTATCAATCATATGCAATGATGAAAATAAGAGTAAATACCGCCTGCAAGGAGCACACAATATATTCAACTATTTTAAAATAAACTAAAAACACGTACATATTTTTAATATATAAATTCGGAAAACTTCGTACCGTCTAAATTTTTTTTTGTTTCAACCTTCTCTGGACTTACACGAACATTACAAGACCAAAATTTGCCAAAATTAGTTCAGCCGTTTTCAAGTTTTACAACCGTTTGCGAGTTTTAGCGAGACTAACGAACAGAAATTCATTTTTATTTATATAGATAGATATATAATTATGTAACAATGTATTAATAACTAATAGACCCCGTGAACTTTCTTTTCCCTTAGACATTTTTCAGCGAGTCTTTGTTCATTTTTCTTAGATAAGAACCTTCTCCTAACAATTACTAACTCAACAAATAAAATATAGCGAAATCAGTTCAGCGGTTCTCGAGACTTGCGCTTAGCAACATGTTTAGGGATTCATTTTTATATTATAGATAGAATAACTATATTCATTTGATAAATCTAAGTAATATATGTATGAATGCACCTTGCATTGAAACAATCGAATCTGTGTCCACGACACATTATTTGTTTGACGTAAGCATGCAGCCTGTGAGAAAAAATAAGGAAAATCTTAACATTTCAAAAATTTATATCGTAACAATAGAATGTAAAAATATTTCTCTATGACGTTAGTAAAGAGCTACCCTACCTACGAAACGTTTATGTAACTTACTCCATGTTTAATTTCGATAAATCTACTTAGGGAAGACGGAAAAAGAATTGTATGACAAAACATTAGAAATAAGTACGATTTCGGGGAATGTAACACTATGTTTTTCTTTCTGCAGATTTAGCACTCACGTTGTGCTGAAAATGACCGCTGTGCCGTATTGGGCGAAGATGGCCACCCTGTTCGGCAAGATGATGCACTCCATCACTACCAAACTGAACCCGGACGAGTTCTTTGCTGTGGTGAAGCCACCATTCTTCACCAGGGACAACCAACACGACAGCTCCGAGTTCTTGGGGTAAGATTGCCATTTCTATATCAGATCAAATTTACCTTCTTTTCTACCATACTTCTCAGTTAAGTACATCATCTGTTCCTAGCGAATTTGACGATATCTTCTAACGAACGCATTTTTAGACAGCCCCTTTCAAACCGTCAGTCAAAACCCTACTCAATATATTTATGGAAAACTGTCGAAATTACATTACATAATATTGTTTCTTTATGTTCTCTTTGTATACAAGTACTTTCATATTTTCTTTGATCGTACAAGCTCGTAGCTCGGGGTTGTCTAGGTGGAAAGTGGGCGTAGAAAGGACCTTTAATGCTAGGAAAATACACTTGATAGCAAAGAAACGGAGCCACCGGCAATTATTTAATTTATATTAAAAAAATCCTCTAACAACCAAAATGCTCTATTTTTAATAAAATACTAGTATCAGAAAACATTTATCAAGGAATTAAAAACAAAATATGCATGTGGCTCCGTTTCTTTGCTCCCGAGTGTCTAGTCAGCACTGGTTTTATGTAAATTGACAAAATCGGCCTTTATCGACTTATCAACCAAGGAGGAGGAAACCTTGAGGAATAAAAATAGTAAAATCGATGTCATAACTTTGAGAGTTTTAAAGTGCTGTCTACGCGTAATTAAAGGGTTGGAATTTTTATTTTTGCGCGCCTTGTCTAAAAATTCCAAACCTTGAATTACGGAATAATGTCAGTTGGTGGATATTGTTTTAATAAAATCACGAGCATTTCAAGCTAACCCTATCTGTCAGATATTTTTTGCTTCTAATCCAATATGGATTCAATGACCACGTAAAACGTAGAAAACTGTTCATAAGTCGAACCTCGGTACTTGTAAATTGTATCTCTCTCCATAAAATATAATAGTTTGACGAATTATAAATTATGTTATGTTGGGGATAAACTATTTAAGAAGCTAGTATCATAGAAGAGATCACTGCGAGGATCGCCCGGAGGACACGGTGGAGCATACGGTGGCGGCGTGGACTGAGCACCGCCGTGTCCTCAGGAATGTGATCGGCGACGGCGACCCCTCGCGTCCGGCTTTGGTTCAGACCATGGTACGGAGCGTGGGGGACTGGGATGCCGTCTCCTCCTTCTGCGAAGCAGTCATGCTAGCTAAGGAGGAGGCGGAGCGCGTGAGGGAACGAAACTCCTCACGACCCGGCCGTCGCGAGAGACACTCCGGGCGTCGGGGATCGCGAGACGATCTCCGGCTACCGTAAGCACGGGCCTGCGGACGGCGAGCATGGGTGACTCGCCGCCCGACCAGAACCAGGCCCGAGCATACGGCGCGTCGCGTTCCGCGCGCGCCTCAAGGAGCCATCAGACCACCACAGATGGGGCCTAACAAGGCTGATGCCGATACGGAGCCGCGGAAGACTTAACGGGTTGCCGGGGCTCCGGCTCGAAGTGCAGGAGTAGGAACGGGGTGGTTTTCGGTCAGTAAGAGTCTGACACTCCCTCCCGCCTCACCCAGGCGGGAGAAGTCATTGGATGGTTTTCCCCCTCAAAAAAAAAAGTATCATAGAAGAGCATTTAGACGAAAGGTAATTTAATAGTTTCTCTTACTTTTAAAGATTGGAACAAAATATTATGTTTGGTAATATTTCGAAAACAAATTCTTATACTTGTTTTTGATAATTTGTAAAGTACATGTAAAATTTTCCGGACTGAAAGTTTCAAAGTAAGCTTTTCTGTTCAAGTCAGGAAGAAAACGTCAAGTTAAAAGCGCTTCATAAGTTTGTATCTTAGGTGTACCGGGTTGGAAACTGACGTCAGAGTCAAGATGAAGTTACTGAATGCAAATGCTGCTATATAATTACATACGTGCATACCCAAGTTATGTATCCGTACCTTTATACATACAATCGCGTGCATAGAACGTACCGGGTGAACATGCGCACTGCCGCTGAAAACTGTTTGACCTATTTCCCATAGTAAATACTTTAGCTCGAGTTTATAGATTTTAGTCGGACTGAATGCATCTTTGTCAGACCTTACAGGATTTTGGTGAAAGAATTTTTTAATATTTGGAAAGCTGATTTTTTATATCATTCTGAGTTCATATCCTTCGCCAGAATCTGTGTTTCCTGAAGGGTATAACTTGGGGGGTTTTCTAACCCCGAGTGAATAGGTTGCTTCTGAATAGACGTGCTCCATCGTAGGCCGTGTCATCGCTTACCACCAGACGAGATAGTGGCCACACGTCGGCCCATCAAATATGTATATAAAAATATATAAGGATTTGAGTATGTATAATATTGATTTTAATGAAAGCAAGAAGGAAAATGCTGCTTTTCTGAACGTCCGTGCTCTGAAACTGATTGACAGTGAACTTTCAGCTGCAAATGCCAAACTTGCAAGGTTCTCCGTGTTACCTATAAAGTTGAGGCAATACTGAGAACTGTCTTCTAGAACACACACTACATAAGTAAAGCGAACCTTCAGCCGGGTTATATTGGTGTTTCACCAATTATTCTAACTTCTTTTTCCTAAGCAATAATTGGTTTACAAGCTCTTATAGAGGCGTCAGAACGATACCGCCAATTTCCACATTTCTGTCTTTGACTCCACTTTACCGCGATCTGTAGTTATGTAAACAACGCTTTGACTAATAAAGCAGCTTTCAACTTCAGGCATTTCATCCCTGAGGCTACAAATTCTCTCGAGTTTGGTAATAATATTCTAGAATGTTATGATAAAGACGTATTGCGTAAAATGACTATTAATAATTTTTATTCCTTTGTAATTAAATACGTTTGTAAACCTCATTGTAAACCTCAACAATAAACTTTTTTAAATGCGATACCCAACACAAAGTAAACCTGAAACAAAGAAGGTTTTTCAGGTAATCTTGCACAATAGTCTTAACCTTTAAAGTGTCGTAATAAAACTTACGCAAATGAACGCAAATGAACTTTGCCACCATGAAGGATCTTGGGGAAAAGTCACGTGTATAAAGACGTTTAAATATAAATTTGCACAATTCGAAAGTGTGTAAAACTTCGGTTGTGTTTGACATTTACAACACGTCGTTACAACTTTTAATAAGGAAAATATGTTCCGTGTATCGCAACGTGAAAACACGTTTTCAACGTGATTGTACAGTATTTCAGCAAACGTTTTCAAATTTTTGAAAATAGAGACACATTTCCTTCCGCAATTTTGCGTCATGTTTTGCAAACCAGGAAAAAAGACGTTGGTACAACGAAACACGTGTTTATAATTTCGTCATAACATTAAATGAAGAGCGATGATGCACTATACCATAAACATAAATGAAGTTAGGTTTTCTGGCCATCTAGACAGGTACAAAGTTTTTCACACTTTTCTACCATTATGGTGTCGAGTTCAACACAGAATAAGTCAGAAAAAAGTTCAAGCGGCTGCTTCCGGGATTGTACCCGCCATCCAGACCACTCTGACTCTGCGGAAAAACAAAAAAAAACTGTTAAATACGAGAATATTTACGTTGGTCCAATAATGATGACTACCAGTTTTGTGCACACCACGTACCGTTTATGTGCATAAGTGATAGGTTATGTACCGTGAAGTTCTTTTCAATTTACTGTAGCTGTCAAAAACAAACATGGTCGTCACTAAACAGTCATTTGGTACTAGCAATTTTGCTATAGGACAAGAGAACTTGCCCTTATTTGAACATCCTGACGAATTACTTAGTCCTTGTTAACTTTGTTTAGAGGTCATTTATCTAGATGCTAGAGTTAGCCTAGTCCTAGTGTTAGTCACTGGCTACGCCTTCAGTGGCTTCGTATCAGGAAGCGATTATCGTCCCCCTCTGTGTCTAACGCGTGCCGACTTCACACCTAAGACAATGCACACAAACGATCTACAGTACTCTCACTGAAGCACACCTGTATAGGTATTTTCATATTTATGTGTAGTTTATATTTCGAATTATAAACGTCTGTACTGCTTTATTTTACCAACCTGTCCTTTTGGTTTAATATCGATAAGTTTAGAGTACCCACTTTTATGTAATTTGACTGACAATTATATATTTTAGTGGACAAAAAGTATGACCTGCCCTATGGACGCCGGAACTTTCTCTCTCAGATATCAGTTATTATTAAAATTACAAGAAATTTCTTCAAAACCTTATAAAACTTCTTCTAAACATATCGTTGTCCGCCTGTCTACTTCTTCTCAAAGATACATTACAAACCAAGTATAGTCTACTAACCTCGGTATCGTAATGAAGTCGAAGGTCCGATTATGGAAATGGGTTACCTCATGAATTTAAAAAAAGAGTTTTGTTTTGTAAAAATATTTTATTGTTATTTTTTCCGCAATTTCAAGGTCTGTCTGGTTGTATGTAATCGCGATATTTATGTACTTGTAATGCTAGAAGGTGGTTTATCGAATCCTATAAATACATTTTTTCCATCAACAGATATTTGTTTGAGCTGCTGCAGTCCTATGAGCACTGCTCTGATCTGAACTTCGATTACACTCGCCCAGCTGTGCTGTCCAGCCACAGCCGTCTGCGTATAGTGTCACAGACAACTCCACAGGCTGCACAGTCTACAAGGTAAGTGAAGTCCTTTAAAATTGGAATTTATTAATTATAAGCTACAAATGTGAATTATGTTGTATTTAACGGTACTTAAGTCTTTAAACCTATTATCAAACTACTAGGTTGTTTTTGAGATTCATCATTCCTATTTTTATTGACAACATCATAAATATTGTGTAACATATCAATCAATCTACAAAGACTTTCAATTGGCGACACAAGATCTCATGGAATAAAGTTAGCACGACAGGAATATTGCTAATGGTCGGTCAATTGTCGGTGTGGTCAAGTGTTGATACAACAAGTGACGGAATACGAGCATAAATTGTGTCTCTCGTTATGCCTTGTATATTGCAAGGCGTACAAAGTATCGATAAAGCATTGTTCTATTAACTATGTAATGATGACCGGTAATGGCGATGAATATCTATAATTATATATTTTCAGTCTTAGTTATCTCAAAGTATAGACAATAGGAATTAAGTAATAGGATGTAGTTTTGATAACTAATTTCGCATACACATCACAAGGATTTACTTGAATTACACAAGATTTGTTCTATGCACGACAGCTGTCGCTCAACCAGCGCCCACCGCACTGGCATTTTTTTTATATTTTTTGGGTTCATAAACTATATTGTAATTTTTGTTTTTATTTTTGCAGTACCGATGTCAATGACAACAATAATGGGGAGCCCGGACCCAACCGCCGTTCAGTATCGCCCCGCCCCAGTAGCAGTGCTGCTGGTAAGCTTCCTCATCACATGTACAAACCTTTTCATTAACGAAACATATCCTTTATTTCGTTGAACAAAGATTACCGAATCACTAATCGGAATTATGTTGAATATACATAGAATGCTTTCTACATATATGACAGCCAGGGGGCTGTCATATATGACAGCCAGGGGGCTGTCATATATGTTATATTATAAGTAATTAAGTGATATATTACAGTAAGGGTACTGTAATCCTTATAATATAACATAGCCTTTGATGTGTTCCAAATAATTGGGGTCATACAATGAGATAGTCGTGTACTGTTATGGATACTCAGCTTTATTTATGCCTGGTGCTCTCTGACTATAGAATTAAAACCATGAAATGAGATTAATGTACATCGTATTCAATTGTAACGGAAAGATTCGTTCGACATAGCTGTCGTTCTTAATAAATTTCTCTAAGACAATTTTTCAATTCGATTTGATTAGGACAGGCTCTAGACACAAAACTTTTAAATTCCTCGCATTACTGGTGAAAAGTGTGTATTGCATTAAACTTAATAAGATTACACTTAACTTCCTTCCTATCGATGTCATAATTAAACGGTTTTTTGTAAGAATAAACGGAAATCAATATTTTAAAGGCTAAAGGGGAATGAAGCTGATGCGTGTACCTATATGTGTGGTACGCCTGCGCCTGTAGTTCTAACGTCGTCAATTGTATACTAGTTGTGTATTGACAATTACCCTCATATTATCCGGTACTGCGCACATTTAGGTTGATAGAATTGGCTCTCGATTATAGACCCAATATTTAAAAGATTTAAATATTTAGTTTGAATAGACTAAAGAACTATTGTTCCACTACACGTGCGCTAGGGCTATTGAGTTGCTTGACCTCGACCGATATCGTACGGCGAGACTGGTAACATTATTATTACTAGGCTTTTTTATTGAACCTTCTCAGTAAAGACTTTACCAGGTTTGGCAAACCATTGAAAATTAATCTTTTGACAAGAGATTTACATTACGTCAAGCTGTATTAGAGCTATCTAGTGAGCGAGCGCAAATACATACGCGTCCTCATTAACATACATCGCCTAACATCTTACGTTTGAATAAATAATATCAGTATTATATGAAACCTACTAATAATAATAACAACATTTCCCAACATCATTATACTTTGCTACTATTTATGTAACAAAGGACGATCTCGTTCAGAGTAGGCAACATTTTTTCAGCCTCAATTTATTATCATTCAGAATATTTTCCCCATCTTGTGCACTCATATCTCGACTTCTGACAGCATCAATCAATTCATTTTAGTTCATTGTACTTAAAATACGGTAAGATAAAATTACTTATACAGTTTTCACGATGAATATTCGATCAAAGACCTACATGATGCAAGATTGACTCTCTGTGGCTACACTAACAGAAATAAAAAATGAGGGCATTTCATATTATTGTTCATTTACAATTTAGCACTTCGGAGAGATTTTCAAACAGATATTTAAAAGGAAATCGATGATAATGCTATTTATTCGCTTTGCACAATGTTTCTTAGTTTGTGCAAGACATTTGACCTGGCATTGTTACAGAAGACGCTTGAATGAAAGATGAAAGATATTGAATTAGCATTACACAGGGACTATCGGACGAATATAGCTCAACTGTGTAGTCATACTACCATAGGCTGCAGGTTGACCTTTTGTTATGACAATATTTCACTCTGCAGGTCACCAATTTTAAAACCTAGCTCTATTTGTAATTTTAGCTCATTTCATGGCATTCTTTTATGTTGGTTTGAGGCCCAAGCCTAGTAGTTGCACCGCTAAATTACAAATTTATTAATAATTCAATTTTCAGACCACGAGACATAGAATAGTAGTAAGATAGTATGTTTCCCGAACAAGATTTTATATATTCCAGGATCGAGCTCCGGTGCACATAAGCGCTCAAGCACAGAGATGGACAACACCCTTCCAAAGAAACGGCTCCGTATGTATGAGTCTGCGTTCCTCCGACGCGACTCTTTCATTGACAGAATGTTTGGCGGAGTCCTGCTTACTCGTGTAGAGTGCACCGAGTGCCACTCGTCGTCACTCTCCCGTGACGTGTTCCGTGATCTGCAGCTAGCGTTCCCTGACAAACCAGAAGGCTGGCAACACAACGTACAGAGCCTGCTCGAGTATTACTGCTCCAAAGAGAGCCTAACAGGCGAGAATCAGTACCAGTGCCGTGACTGCGGAGTGCTACGTGACGCTGAAAGAAGCGTGCTCATCGAAACCACTCCCAAGTACCTGATTCTCGTGCTTAAGAATTTCAAGTGAGTATTTTGTGTATTTGTGACGTTCTCGCACAAAACGTAGGTACATACAATAATGAATAATTATTTTTTCTGAAACAAAAACGTAATAGTGAAATTTTTTATCAACAGATTTGACCCGAAGCTCCAAGTCCAGACGAAACTGATGCACTCAATGTATCACAACCACACCATCACATTGCCGACGGTCCGATCTCAGGCTGTACACGCCTCCTACACCCTATACGCGGCCGTCATACATGCTGGAACAACTCTTGATTCGGGCCACTATTACACTCTGGCCAAAGACAACGACCAGTGGAATATGTACAACGACGACGTTGTCACGACGTCGGACGAAACCCAACTCAATGGTTTGAACCGCTCGAGTACGCCCTACATCTTGTTCTACAGGCGCACAGACATTGAAGAGGGCACAGCTCCCTCTATGGAAGAGCTTCCCCCTAAAGTGCAGGAGACCGTGATGTCTCACAACAAGCAGTACGTCGAGACTGTCCGGAAAATGCGTCTAGCGCGTCCATGACAGTTAAGGTCTGATAAGCACATCGATTTCTCGGTGTTGGACCACGCTGTTGCCGAATAGGAATATCTATTTTATCATCTTACAATAACATGGACTCTAGAAGTGAACTATATATGTTACGGTCGTTGCAAAGCAGTGGCGGTTAAGATCACGTCACAAAATTAAAAAAACTTTAAGAATATAGGAAATTGTGCATCCAGCTCCGCCTATTTTGCTATTCTGGCTGACAGTCTCCCTCTGTGCTTTGTAATGACTATTAATTAGGAAACACGAAGCCTTGTCAACTTACCACAATTCAAAGGACAGATAGAATGCGACGACTATTTCTACGTGATCGCTACGACAGGTTTTGTTTTTAAAATTCCTCGACAGGTATATTAATTCTATACATAAATATTTTCTATCATCCATATGTATCAGTGAGTGTTAGTATTTGTTGGATGTACCAAGATAAATATATTATGTGCTATAAAATAGAGAGGAGTGAAAAAATATTTATATTTTAAATCTCTAAATCCTATTCGTTCTAGAAGAACTATTTACTGTGAAAATATATATGTCAAGAGACTGGATTGCTCTTGTTAAAGACTACCTATATATGCGGGACTCCTCTCTGCAACTAAAGATCAAATCATCAGTTGGATTTGGTCCATATTTCCAGGGAACTCCTGTATATGTATACAAAACAGTTAAGTATATCGGATTGTATTATTTACATACCGTGTGGAGCGGCTCGAAGAAAAATGTGCATGAAATTAGAATTATTTAAATTATTTTTACTTTATGTTATTTTACTAGCTCAGTATAATGTGGCAAGTCACTAATGCCGAAATTACATCAATTTGAAATGATCTATATAGGCAAAATAATAAGTAAGCATGCGATTTACTATCATACGAAACATTCAAGGGGACATTGAATGCACCCTACGGCTTAAGAAACATTATCGTACAGTCTATTTACAATTTTACAGGATTTTTAGACCGTAACATATATACATAAAAAGTTGAAAATGAAATTCAGTATCGTCGTTTATGTACCTATAACTAATATATAAGTGAACCACGTTAACATAAGTCTTTAAAGTTATCATCTGCGACATTTTGCAATAAATCTCGTTATTTTTATTAAAGTTATAAATGTTAGAATAATTTAAAAATGATATTATAGATATGTATTCGTGTTGATATTGCATAATATATTCATTTTAAAATCATTAAATTTTATCAGTATAATGTGTGTTATTGGTAGTTTAAATAAATGGAAAGATTTCAGTGAATTCAGAAAAAAAATCATATTAAGATTATCGTATATCCTTAGAGTAAGTAGATAAGGAAGACGCAGTGAGAGGCGCTGCGGTCGCTAGAGCTAGAGTTTTAATGTTATCACATTATAATAATATAGTGACGTAATTTTGAATACATCTGCATGTTCCGTGTTTTAATAGTATCCAATCGCTGAAATCCTCCACTCTTATTCAATCATCTTATTAATGTGTAAGTGACGAGATTTGTTGCATATGTCGTTTACTAGCTTTTTAGTCATTTGGCAGACAGGTACCTATACTTTTTTTTGTAGATAAGTTTATAGTGTGCCAATTTTTCAAAATTATTCGTGTCACTCATATTTAGGTTTCTAAATATCGAAAGTCAAAGTATTTTCATAATCGTGGAGCGTCATTTTCATATTAACTCACGGTTTTTAAATGTAATTAGCGTGTTTTCTGGCACTCGTCATAAATTAAGCAAATTGTGTAATAATGATATAAATAAATATGAAATAACTTTCTATTCAAGTCGTAGTTGAATATATTTCCTCCGTACATTGGCGCTCTATGTTACCGTATTTACATATATTAAATATTGTTATACATTCTGACAACACTGTCTTAGTGTACTATCCTATGTGTCTCAGATAGATGTATTAATGTTAAACAAAATAATGTAAGTGTATTTTAAAATCAAAATATCGTTTACTAACTCATCTGTTCCAAGTATGAATTTGTTGCCTCTGGAATTGTATCTTGTTTCACTTGAATGTTTATGTTAACAGCGTCAATATGTACGATCCACACTGAACGCCGCCATACAATGGAGCGCTCAAAACTACCTTTTTGAGTATTGTTGAATTTTTCTGTTTATTGTTTTTTGTGGGTATACTTGTTTATCTTACTTCTTTATTTTTTATTTGTCCTAAAAAACGTTTCCCTACACTAGGATTTTCCCGCTGTGTCGTGGGTGTGTTTACAAGTATACAAGATCACATACACATCATACCCAGACCAGAAACAACAATATGTAGACCACACAAAGAGTTATTCTGTGCCGAAATCAAAACCGCGACAATTTATGTTTTATATTAGGGCTAAGGCATTGTACTTTTCTCTTCGGTTCTAATTCTAGACCCCGTCGCGTCCTTAGTAACGTTATACATCAAAATGTCGACAGTGCCTTTGGCCTAATTTAAAACTTTAAACTAACTGACTAAATCAAAGCAAATGAATTATGACCTAATGATGATAAATGAAAAACATTTCATGGCACTCTAAAATTAGATTAAGATCAGAAAAAGTCAACGACACTTAAAATTTAAACATACAGTTTTGAACGTCTTGCATGGCGGCGTTCCACTGTGTGATGGTACAATGTAGTAATTAGTTGTGCATGTATAATTATATTGTTGATTAATTGGAATAAATAATTAAATAAATATACATTTTTTAAACTTTAACATTTTTAACATGTTAACCAATGATACATTGTCGTGTCGACAAAACTGTTAACATACAATTCAATGATTATTTATTGATTAAATTAATTTTTCAGCTGTTTGAAGTGTTTTATCTGCATATTGTGTATTGACTAAACCATTTTGTCGCCTGTTTTAACGTTTATATTATTTTAACAATTATTATTATTATTATTTACTACGGCGAAGTCACGGTTGTTGAGCAAATCCCGTCTCAATAGTATTAATCATTGTAAATATTATTTTAACTTCGCTTTATATATAACAGTCTGTAAATTTGGAAGTTGTTGTTCTCTATATGATTGTTTCAAGGTTTCTCTGTAATTGTGGAGGATTTTGGCTTTTAATTATGTGTGTGTGAGTAAAAAAGATTGAATAAATCAAAGTTTACTTACACTATCGGATATTAAAAGACCCTCCACTAATATGACAGGGCCGTAACTATCCAGTATGTATAGCGATTTACACTTGTTCTACTTAGTATGTAATTTGCATGTTCATGTTATATAGTTGCAACAATCTTGACTTGGCTGGGTTTATTTACATATGTTATAATTATGAATTGTTTAGTTTATTCCTTTATGTAAATAATTAAAGCATTTAAAATATAAGATAGATATTCTCCATGGTAAACCTAGAATAAGTAGGTATATGTTATTGTTCGGGGCGTAGCATCGGCCCCCTAATACATCACTTTTAATTTATAATTAGAAAACACATATTATTGTAAAATCGGTTTTTGGTTTAAAATAATAAAATAAACGTTAAAAAAGTTTCGTTCAATTCTTATGTATCCTGCGTACTTTGCATAAAATGTTTATGTATTGAGAGTTAATGGTGAAATCGTACAAATGATTGTTATAATAAAACCTTTGTAGAAACACTTAAGGTGATGTATTGAAAATGTTACAAATGGGATGGGGTTTCCATGTTATAATAGCGTGCATTATTTTGGAAGACGCTTTTTAACAATATAGGCAGTTGCATTTTTACCGTAACTTGTGCAATTTGCCTTCACCTTGCCCTAGTGAAGGTAGTGGTGGTGGGTAAACTTTAGTAAAGTAATAATGATTATAATTACCGCACTTTGTATCTTGTGTGCTATCCAAAAGATTAGTACAGAATCAAAATTATTGATTTCATATTTAAGGCCCTATTAAAAGTAAAACTTCATGCTATTGCGTTAAAATTCCATTTACATTGCTAGTAATTGCTGTGAAAATTTTCTATATTGGGAAACTGTTCTGTGATTGCATTGCGAAAAATTAAATTATTGCATTTACTGCCTGCTGCTGCTACCGCTAAATTGTTTCGTTGTGTGCGAATTCTTATATAAGCACTGCTATTGAGAACTCTGCAGATGCAACGAAGTTACGCCTTAGCCAGGCTCGCGTCCCGACAAAATCAAAATTACAAAATGAGTAAAAGTTTAAACTTTTTAAACCTAATAATATTAAGTCTGTTTTGTCTACAGTCACGTTTTTGGCAATTTTGACTGGCCCAAAAATAGATTACCAAATATTGAGAATTTTGAAAATTGATCGAGATTTAATGATAGTTTTAATAGAACAATGCTTTAGAACGTTTTTGGCTGCATGTCTAAAGGAACAACCATTTCAATTGATCCATAGTTTCATTTTATCAATGCGAAAGTGTCTGTTTCACGGCAAAACGGAGAGACGAATTGACGTGATTCTCTAAGTGAAGATAGTTAAGGGAATGGAGAGCGAAATATACTATAAAAAAATATGCTTATATATAAAATATTAAAAATTACGAAATGCCTATATAACAATGCAATTAAATAAAGTTGAATTTGCCGCTCTTGAACCCTATAGTCTCTCTTAACGTGTTGCCACTATAAATAATTGATTGAAAATTTTAGTTTTTGTAAAATTACGCGCATTTTTTCCTGTTATTTTCCACATAATTTTATTTATATTCTAAGATAAAACATTACTTACATAGTTATCAGCAATTTCTATATAAATAAACAAATCTTTAAAAACAAATTAAATAATTTTATCAAGTGGCAACATTTTCGAGCTGTCATAACTGTTTCTTTACTTTGCCCACTAGATGGCGTTGGATGTCTGAACTCGTTCATTTACAGCAGTAGATTTTAATCTAAGAGAAAACGATAAGGCTTTTATATCGAGGTGGGTAAGCAGCGATGTAAAATTCCATGTATTACTCTAATACTTATGATTACTAATGTCTACCTAATTCCATGAATAAGAAAATATTTAGTCTTTCACAATTATTATTATTTCGTAATCGTAACCAACCTTGAGAGTTGAGACATCTTTAAATTCCAAGGTAGTAGGCATTAGTCTGTATGTCTTACTAATAAGGATGCGAAAGTTAGTGTGTATGTTCGTTACTTGTCTTAGTAACTTAAACTCTGAATAATAATAGCAACATTAATGGCCGGCTTATAAAATAAATAAATAATAATGGAATTTAACAATAAAACACAGAATTCAGTTTGAAAATATTATATTCACAAAAATTAATATAATATTACAACATTTTATGAACTTATGTTTAAGCTTATCTTATTACATCTATGACTTGAACTTGTTCATTTAGTTACATCTTAGGTCTTAGGTCATCGCTCACTAGACCCACATTTGTATGTGTGTGTTCATTATTAGCTTAACACCCAAATAACCCCGTTTTGTGTAATATTGTAATTTACAAGTTCAGGCTACCTCGATAATTAGTTTGATTTTACTAATTAATTCGTCCATTCACTATATAGCGATAGTGATTAGTTTTATAATGAAACTATTAATAACACATTTCTTTGTCATTTCTTAATTGAAGTCAGCGAACTACTGGACTATTACCAGAACCAGTTTACTAAATAATTTACAAATGTAAATTATTTTTTTATTGTTAACAATGGCTTTAATATCTTCATGCGTATCTGACCGAACATACATGGTCGACTGAAGGGGTCATCTACGATTCAGGCCCCTTAACACTTTTAATACCCTGTGGATTTGGTTTTAACGATGTTTTACTAAAACAACCCAAATTTTTATTATTACGGTTATTATATGCCGAATACATTAAAAATGCGATATAGTAGGTAATATTATTTATCGTAGTACGGGGTGAGTGAATGCACCGGGCACGGGCCTCAATCGATTTTCAGTTAGAAGCTTCGAGAGCTAAAAGCGCGCGCACTGCATTTGGTGATGTATTCTCTACCCCGGACCCCGCAGCCGTCCCGCAGTTCAGGCCTTTCACCTCTCTGCATCCCTCATAGACCACACCCTACCTCACGCCGATATACCGTGCAATACATCAATGGCTACATAAATATATCAAACAACAGCCTCCTCCCCCCAAACAGACCCTGCGCGCCGTACCTATTTCATAATAACTATCTATGCAACCAGAACCGTATTAAAACTTACCCCCTGAGGAGGAAGTGATGGTATGAGGCAAATAGGTACCTTCTATTCTATACTGGTTAAGTGAATTAGAGGTTTTGTTGAATTTTACAGACGCGAATGTATTTTGGGATCCTATGACGAAATTCCTAGTTACAGTTTTGATTTGAATCAAGATGAATAACATCTACTTACTTAAATTATTTTGTGCAAATTAAGAATACATTAATATTATACCACAATTTAGCCTCTATAATTACTTATGGGTTTTATATTGTTTATAAACCTATTAGTTTCCCTCCTAAATTATTTAGCTTCTCTGTGGCGACTCTTGCAATCTGCTTGAAAACTGTACCTGGTACCTGTAAAAACACAAATAAATATAGAATTCAGTCTAACGGGCAAAGCCCGTAAGTCCTGTAGGCCAGGATCTACAATGGATATAGAATCGAGCGTTTGTCATTATAATCTCACCCACGAGACGTCCACTGTTGAAATAGACCTACAATATTTATACCTTATTGGTACGTAGTCTAAACGTACCTTGTCTAAACTAAGGTCAGCTACTGCATATGCAGTAGCCAATAACCCAATATTGCATTTTTTAATGAGATAAGTTTGAAAACAAGCATGTGGACAGCCGAAAACACTAGAGGCGTTACAACAAGTGCATTGCCGGCATTTTGAGGATTGGGGAGGGGAGTAATTGAGCCTCCGATTATATCACGCGCACGACGGTTTTCTGTGAGGTCGTGGTATCCCCAAAGCATGGCTATACCACACTTAATATTGAAAAATTTAAACTTTTGATAAAACGAGCGCTAAAAGCTCCTGATAATATGCTTGAAGGAAGGTTGAATATAAACTAAGAAGTAGTTATCGAGAGATGGTCGTATTATTATGAAACTTTTACCAATACAGGTCAATAGATCTCTAGACCAAACTAAAGAAACAGCAAAACATGGAACCTATTACAATACAATCGTTGGCTAAGGTGACCTAAGAAAACTAAAGAATAATAATTCAGCCCGCAGAAACAATACTTGCTACTGGCGAAAAATGCTGCACATAACAGGGGCTAAGTGGTCCAATATAATAGAATACAATAAACAGAAGTGCTATGTAATAGATAAGTCAGTTGCCATCCATCTGAAAATAAAACCAGGTTCTCCATAATGTGCTCCCGGTGCCACCAATATCCTACATACTTAGCTACTTTGACCACACCACAAACTTCGAAGTTAACCAGACAACCTTGACAAACTATCGGTATGGGGTTGGGCATAACGGATGACAAAACACCAAGAGGTCAATCTCCCGGCTGGTCCACCGACACGTCGTAAAAAGAATGTAAAGCCCAGACGCCCAGACTATGTCAGATCAAACCTGTTGCCTGATGTCAAATAAATTTTAAATTATAGTGTATAATTATATGAAAACTGACGGGAATATTTTTTTTGTGTTTATATTGGAGACCTCTATTTAACAGTATTCATCGCTACTGTTATTGTAATTATCAAATTGGGAAATCATAATAACATGACTGTAGTCGAGTGTGAGTGAAGAAGAAAGTCGAGAAAACATAGGTATAAATGTACATACGTACCTATATTATGAGATTACATGTCAATAAAATATTTCAGTATATTTTATTGACATGTAATCTCATACAAATAATAAATAACAGGTGTACGTATTATTTCAAGGATCTAAGTCCATCCCTGCACTTTGTAATGTATGGCTCCAAAATTAGCCCTCAGCGCAGCGCAGCCAGACTATCATAGGTACGCTTTTATAGATATCTAGGTACCCCCTTGCTAATCGATAACATTCGAAGGGTGGTCAGAGCCGCGCCCGTGGGTGGCAGGGGGTTTTAATCTCTACCGTATTCAATTTACCCATAGGTACATCAAAGGTTTGATGGAGCCATGGGGGGAGGCTAGGAGTCTGCGTCTGTTGTGCCTGTGTCTAGACGATCGATACTGTTTCAGTCATGGTTTCAACGCAACTTTATGTAATAAATTTTATGATGTGCATCCGTAACTTGACAAACAACATGGGCTGAAAACATTGATTCGTTAGGAGTTTTGGGAAAATTATTAGTATTAAAATTGGGCAAGCAATAAATAAGCAATGCAAACCTAAAACAAAAATTTTTATGTAGGTATTGATTAGCTTTGAAAAAAAAACAGCGCATTCTTCTTCCATGATAAAACATGCTCAACAAGTGCTTTTTATTAAATTATATACCTCTATGTTTAAGAAGCCGATGGTTTTAAAATTAGACAGGAATAGTTCAAAGTTCCAAGTTTGTTTCGTAACATATGGTATCATTACCCCATTAGTGGCTAGTCAATCAGGAATACTACAAAATCGGGATATAATATAATCTAACTAACAATAGATAAATATAATATCTTTATCTATTGTTAGTCTTTAAAATTAAAAGTGATTCTAATATGAGAAAAATCAATGAAATGTCAGCTCTGCTCTACAAGGCAGTCTAGCAAAAATTATGAATTAATATTGATGATTAATATTTGATTATTGCTAAAATTATGTTTGAAGTACTTAACTGATTTTCTCAGTTAGGTAATTCAACTGGGAAAAGCATGAGTAGCTAAACTGTTATTTTCAATTAATTTAAACATAATTAACTTGGGGCCAAAGGTTGAACTATCAAATAAAAATGATTACAGTGTATTTATATTTGCTTTCCGTGATAGTGTTAAACGATATGGTTGAAAAGAAGGAAGTAAGGCAATGAGGATTCGATTTTCATTCCAACTCTTCCTTTCTTCTGGCTTTCTGCCAACTAGTTCAGGGGCGAGATTCACTATCAACTGTGTCGGTACAGTTGAATGAACTGGCTAGGGAGTCAGTCAGACAAAGGCTCACTAGTCAGTTTGAAAACCACGACTGAGTGCCTCGTCATAGTGCAGCTACTACTACTAGCAGTATGAATTTTCAATACGAGGGCTATAATCTTTACGTAGGTTATTGTCATTCATGAAGATCGTATACTTGAAAAGAAGATAAAAAACATAAAGCATTCAATATTAAGTGTATGTAGATATCCTTAGATGTTTCCGTTAGAGAAGAAATAAAAATGTATAATATCAATACAGTGACCACACGCCACCCCCCACCCTCGGTAGCAGTCGCCTGCCGTCAGCTACCGCCTGGAGCCGCCCCAGAAAGCAAATATTTCCTGTTAAAGCAGTTAAAAGCTTCATCTTGCTTGAAAATCAATATTTATTATAAAATGCCTCATCTTCCCTTATTATAAAAATGAATCGCAAAATGTATTGATAAGCGCAGAACTCAACAACGCCAGCACCAAATTTGAGTTTTAATTACAAGACAATGGAAGTGTATTCCTTATGTTCAAAGAGTCAATTTGCGCTGTATTAACGCTGTGTAGAGTTGAAATTCAATCATATCTATCAAGACAGTGTGCGTGTGTGGGTTGGGGCACAGAATACATCGCTGAAGGATTTAAGCTAAGGGCTCACAGCACGATTTTCTCCAGCACCCGCCGCGGTTACGGGCCAGCAGCCTTTATAGAATATAAATATGTATCTATGTCAAAGTATCAAAGCTCATTTCACGGAGCGTTTTACGCCCGCGGCGGTTGCGATTGTTTGCGGCTCCTACTGGAGCCTACTTAGTTTATCTAAATAGTATTTAAAACCAACTAAGTAGGTAATGTTAACCAGCTATCTGAAAAACTACAATAACTCCTTATATTATTGGTATAGCTTACGCTGTGGAAATTATGGACAATAGAGCAAAGGGATGTACTGAAGTCTTTTAGAGGACATTAATATTAACGTATAAGTGTACAGTATCACATGTAACTATTACAGTTAAGCCACAATAACTATTTTTCGTCTAAAAATAGTGTGCAAAGGTAAAGTCACACCATCCGTACAAACCAGGATACATTATTAGTATCAGAGTAATCACCCGGAAATCCTATAATTCCGGGAACTATTATGTATTAAATTCTGGGACTTAAACTACTGAACCCATTTGAGTGAAATACCTACTTTTAAGCAGGAGAAAGGACGTATCCATGATAGATTTTTATCACGAAAACCGGTGCGGGATCTATATCTTAAAATCATGGGACAGAGAGTCCCATCTTTAAAACCAGTACCTAAACTTATTTGATTTAATGATTTGTTTACGTATTTAACTGATTTGGTTTAACTATAGTTCGAGACACTGCCACTGGAAAGGACGTATGAATGTTCAATCTCGGAAATCCCGCGGGACAGGAACTATGTCTTAAAATTTATTTGAATGGAATTCTGTACAACGATAGTTTGAGACCCGGAAAAGGCCCCTAGGAGTTTTCAACCGCTATGCTATACCTATTTGATTGGAATCCAGTACAACAATGATTTGCAACCCGGGAAAGGACATAGAATAATTTTCATCACTCAAACCTCACAGGAACGGTCTAGTGACAGTGAGTAAATAAATAAATAAACAAAACCCCATAAATGAATTCATTTCACTATACATATCTATAACTTAGGCACGTGCTGAATCGATTCTGATGTAATTTGTTACACAGCATTGGAATTAACTTTGAAAAAGACTTATTAAAAATCTAAATTCTGCCAAAAGTCATTTTTATACGTGGACGAAGTCGCAGGGAACAGTTTTTATTGATGTGCAGATAATTTTCTACAAACTTTTCAATTATATAAAGAGAATGCTCCTGCCCGGTCTCTGTTAAATATGTAGACACTTTAATCACCTCTTACAACACCTGCAGGAAGAGAGTAATGTAGAGATGGCGACGGATTTGCCTGTCTGCCATTGCCATCACCACACACACTGCTATTGTATTTATTCAATTATAGGACACTAGCAGCCCGTCCCGGCTTCGCACGGGGTAGACAATTATTTATTTTTGGAAATTTGGATATTTGTAGTAACTACAATAGTTGGACACATTATGATGTTCTTCAATATTGTTGTACATTATTTTGTTCTATCGCTAATAGTTTCGGCAGCGCATTCGACGAAAGACATTTTAAGACTCATTTTTCTACACCTTCGGTTACATTGTTCAAATTTTACCAAGGAACCCTAATTTTTTTCAAAATGAGATGTAGCCTATGTCAAATTGGAAGAATGTAGCATTCTATTGGTGAAAGAATTTTTTAAATTGGCCCAATACTTTTTGAGCCTATTCATTACAAACATACAAAAATAGGTACAAATCTTTCCTCTTTATAATATTAGTATAGATATAGATTATATAGAGGTAGTAAATAGCAAATAGCTAGTTAGAATCTTACCTCCAGAACCGAGTTGACAAAGTTCGAAAGTCCCTCGGCGCCTCCAACTATGGCCTTACCAGCGCTATAGAATTTGTCTCCTGAATTTCCATACTTTTCTTCCTCCCTTATGGTATCCACTATAGGCTCCGGCTGAAGAAAAAATCAATTATTTTATACTATGAAATAATAGGTCCTTATGAAATTGCCATTTTGTATGAAAAAATTGAAACTATTTTTTCCCATATATTTCAATTTGTATGAGTAGAAGTCATCATCCATGCAGTCAATGCATCTTTGCCAACATAGTGGCAGTTTATTGATGCTCTTCGTAAAGAAATCAGCTGGACGGGAGGCAATAAATTCTTCAAAAGTACTTTGTACTGCCTCTCGGATAATATTTTTTTTTCCCACCAAGAAACGACTACTACTTTTTCCATAATATCTGTAGGTGCAAAATCTAGTGAGTCGGCAGATGACGGAGAGTTTCCATCCCCAGTTCTTGCAACTTGGAGACCATCTGCTGTGCAGTATGAGGTCGCGCGTTGTGCAGGAGCAACCCAGACGAGCGATTGACCAATGCTGGTTGGTGATGTGCCAGCTTCTCAATCATTGTCTTCAGTTCTTCACAATACACAGCTGCAGTAATGCTTACCCCGTTCGATAAGAAGCTGTGATTTATCACATCGGCGCTAGACCACCAAACAGGGACTATAATTTTTCTATACTTCATTTTTCACCAACTTGCTGAGCGCTTGTGGTTATCAAACAGAATCCATTTTTCATTGCAGGTAACAATGCGGTTCAAAATTCCTTCATTTGTGCGTCCGTTAAGCAGTGCAAGGCACGTCTTGACGCGTACTTCCCGCTGGCGATCATTGAGTTCGTAGGGCACGCATTTGTGAACGAACCTCCTCACGACCCGGCCGTCGCGAGAGACACACCGGGCGTCGGGGATCGCAAGACGATCTCCGGCCACCGTAAGCACGGGCCTGCGGATGGCGAGCATGGGTGACTCGCCGCCCGACCAGAACCAGGCCCGAGCGTACGGCGCGTCGCGTTCCGCGCGCGCCTCAAGGAGCCATCAGACCACCACAGATGGGTCCTAACAAGGCTGATGCCGATACGGAGCCGCGGAAGACTTAACGGGTTGCCGGGGTTCCGGTTCGAAGTGCAGGTGTAGGAACGGGGTGGTTTTTAGTCAGTAAGAGTCTGACACTCCCTCCCGCCTCACCCAGGCGGGAGAAGTCATTGGATGATTTTCCCCCCTCAAAAAAAAAGGCACGCATTTGTCAAGCTTTTTTACGTTGCCAATTTGACGCAAATGGACCCACATTGTTTTGACGCTAACATCGAAAGCTACTGCTTATTCAGCCGTAGATTGTGTATCATCAGCTTCCACAATCGCCTTTATTTCGTCAATGTCGATCAAAGTCTTCGGACGACCACGATGTTCATTTTTCAGATCAAAATTTCCAGAACGGAAACTAATCAATAACAGGTGGTGCGTTGGTTTGTAGTGTTAGCTTCGGAAACGCCGTTGATGATGTGTGCCGCTTGTGCCCTGTTGCTGCCACGACGGTACCCATATTCCTTACTTACATTTTTAACGTTCCCATGATGACGAAAATGATTAAAATGCTATGATCAATAAACAAATGACTGCAATTTCATAGGTAAAGACGAGATATAGACCTAATGTTTAAAATAACTTTTGCATAGTAGCTTGACCAGCGAGTAGCCGAGTAACGTGATGTGGGTACGATTCTTGCACGTACGACATAGGTAAGTATATGTAAGTATATACCTGTACTACCTACCTAAGCAGTCTAATTATATGTACATTAATTTACGTAGATACCAACCTGAAATATTCCGGCCACGACACCTTGTATATTTTCCTTGATTGATAATTTCTTGCTACCGAACCCTTCAGATTCCTGTAGGGCAGTTTCCAACGTGGTGACAGGAGCTGCGAATAGTCCACCCTGGTGAACATTAGCCTGTAAGAAATGTCAGTTTATTACAAATGTGTACCTAATTATTATAGGGGCTCACTTATCCAAGTAAGTATAGATACAAAAATAATAATTTAACAGTGGTAATAGTATACCATAAATACTAAGATCATTAAATTTTTTAATGGTCAGTAGGTACTCACAAAGTTATACCGTAAAACAGGGTGAACAGGATTCGAAAAGTGAAAAGAAATAGAAGAGAGTAAACAAATTTAGAAATAGAGAGGTGGGTATAAAACCTCTTCTATGGCTATTCAAAATCTATAAAACAGTGGGTTTATCGTTACTGAAACAATTTGAAGTTGATTATATATTAACATAGAATTATGAAGAATAGGACTGTTTGTAAAGTGATGATGACATCTGAATTTATTGCACATTTAGAGCCTAAGTAACTTGGCAATCTAGGGATTGAAGAAGAAGAATGGTACTTGTGTTTAAAAATATTTTATACATACCTTTGCATTTAACGTGCTTTCCAACAGATTCTGTGCAGCCTGCACTTTGTATGTAACAAAATTCCCTCCATTACTCTTTAAATGGTCACCTCCAGGATAGTTTTCAGCGTCCAGAGGCTGAGATTGCAACACATCAGAACCAGCTTGTGGCTGGTCGTAAACTGGCAGGTCAATGCGAATCGGATCGTCTACAGGTGCAGAGAGACACACCTTGACTAGCAGGAGAACCGTTACGAATTTTACAAGAGGCATGCTGGAAGAAAAAAAATCGTTTATTTCCAGGAGTAAACCAACAGCTAGTATTCCTATTGTAAACGTAGGTATGAGGTACAAATAACTATTGAAGTTATAAAATTTACACTTTATTATGTCCCGGTTCTTGCAAGATATAATGAGTTATCAGATCACTATCACTACATAGTATAAAACAAAGTCGCAATCCGCGTCTGTCTGTCCCTATGTATGCTTAGATCTTTAAAACTACGCAACGGATTTTGATGCGGTTTTTTATAATAGATAGAGTTTCTATATTCCTTGGATAGAGTGATTCTTACGGAAGGTTTGTATGTATACCTAATACATGCATATTGCACCCGTGCGAAGCCGGGGCGAGTCGCTACTACCTTATAATGTCTCTTCAATTCACTTCATCATTATCAATGTAAGCCTAAAACTATGACACCGTTGAGGAAAGGCCTTTTCTCATAAGGAGAAAGAATAACCATCAATAATCACGCTCGCTGTATGATTCCTATTCTCTCAGCCTCCTTGACAATTCTTGTTTGTCGTTGACACTTTTGTCAAAATCAACTGGGTACTTCACAAGTTATTAGAAGTCACGGGCTTTATTCATTTTGTGTTGTTTTTTACTAAATTAACAATGTGTTATATATAATATACAACATTAATATATAAGTTAATAAATTTATCGAATGTACGCAGCTCTTCTTCAATTATGGAATCAGTTCAAACAGTACCAGAAGTTAATAAATTTTTGGGAACGGTTCATACAAAATATGGATCATTCATAATAGCAATCATTGGTATGATAACCGGAGCATTTGGGCTACTCATGATTATCCTTTACGGTCTAGTCGAAGACAGTTACGCTGCTTATTTTGATAAGAACAGTGAGGATTCTGTGAAAAAGGCTATATTGATGATCGTTGGATTGACTTGTCTCTTTCTATTCTGTGGTTGTTTCACTATGTTCGTAGGTCTGGTTTTTAAATCTAATTGGAGCGTGCTACTCGGTTGCTGGATCATTTTAGTAATGTTAATGGGATTACTGGTTGCATTCATGGGGTTGCCTATTTCATGTTTTTTCCTCTCCAAAACTTGTGTGGTAAGGCAATCATCGACTACGTTATTTCTTCTCTCTTATTTGGGTATGACGTTTTTTCTTTGGACTTGGTTCTATTTTGTGGTTGTTGTGTTCAATTACTTAAATACTATAAAATTTTAAGCGCATCTATTAGATAGTGACATAGATAACTTAAGTACAATGAATTCTTCGAAGACTTCCGTTTGTTTTTTAATGAGCGTGAAAATATAATAAACGTTAGTTATGATGGCAATCGTGTTTTATTAATACCTATGAATAATAGGAATAATGAAGTTCATTTTATAATAATTTGTGAGGCGTATCAAATTAATTAGGTAAATCAATAGCATCTTTTCATAGTTTAGCAAAACAAGACCCTAACTGATGATAGGGGGACGTGACAGGAGCTTATAATCATGAGATGTATATTTTTTTGGTTAAATTCATTTTAATCCTGATCGATCGAGCGATCCTGAGTGGTCGCAAGTGCGACTGCCGGGCAAGGGGTCTCGGGTTCGATTCCCGGGTCGGGCAAAGTACTACTGGGGTTTTAAAAAATTCTCAGTAGTAGCACGGAGTCTGGAATTGTGCCCGGTATATGGCAATAGGCTCACCCCCTATTACATGGGACTCATAACATAAATAGTGAAAAGTGGGTGTTACATTGTACAGTGGAATAATGTGCACTTCTGCCTACCCCTTCGGGGATAAAAGGCGTGATGTTATGTTATGTTATGTTAAATTCATTATAGTACCATGACTTACTCATGCAAAGTTCCATTAGAACATTAGGTGGAACAGAACGATACTTGTGTAACACCAAACTACTTACTTAGACCTAGGTAGGTACATGATAGGTAAAATCATGAATGTCGTGCGAGTTTTATTGAATAAATAAAAATTAGATACCTGCAAAAGCAGTTTATCGAAATTGGGTTTAATGGTCGTTTCGAGTGGGTACATAGGTATGTATGTACCGTATACAACCTTCCAATGGTTGTTGTGCAACGACAGAAAACACACATACATGGTCCTGAGTCATTTAATTGCAAAAAGAAACACTATTTTTAAAACGAACAAATTCTGAAATTATATAAATACAACAAAATAAACGGAGATGTTGAATTTATAAAACTTTAACACTTATAATATCTACTTGTTTTGGTAGATACACATTTAACAGCAATGGGCACAATATCATTATGTAAATAATCTTAAAGCTGAGTGTAGCACTTGTAAATCGGGAATATATAATTATAATCAACACAATTTACTTTCGCCAGTAGTATATTATATGTATAACAAAACAAAAAAATATAATGATCCGTAACAGTACATTGATATTACGAGAACATTGACGTAATATTTGAATGAAGTAACTTACTTGCGAATCCGCGCGGTTGTCGTCTGCGATGCGTACGCGCCGATTTGCCACTGCCATAGACCGAGTGGTTGCACACTTTCACGCCTTACGTCACTCATTGGGCCTTGGCACTTGTACCAAATGTGTGGTGGATGTGGCCACACTGACCACCTCCACACTTAATTGTTGACAGTAACCAATTAGCAATTTAACTATTTACTATTATGTTATAATACTATTAGATATGTACGAAAGCTTTTTAACTAGTCCTACTAATATTGTAGAGGTAGATGTCGCGGAGAACCTAACGAGTAACCAGGGCTCCGGCTCGACGTGCAGGAGAAGGCACAGGGTGGTTTTTAGTCAGTAAGAGTCTGACACTCCCTCCCGCCTCACCCAGGCGGGAGCAGTCATTCAATGATTTTCCCCCCTTAAAAAAAAACTAATATTATAGATGCGAAGGATTGTGATTGTTTGTGTTTGTTTCACTTTTCCGTCAAAACGGCTGGAAGGAATCACGATGATTTTTTTTTTGTTATTTGGTGGGGCAACGTTTGACCACTATCTCACCTGATGGTAAGCGATGATATAATTTGGAACAGGGTAAGATTATGCTTTAAGATTAGGCTTGAATAACACTAACGGGTAACCGGGGCTCCGGCTCGAAGCACAGGAGAACGAACGAGGTGGTTTTTAGTCAGAATAGTCTGACACTCCGTCCCGCCTCACCCAGGCGGGAGCAGTCATTTGATGATTTTCCTCCTTAAAAATAAAGGCTACTTTTTATTCCACCGATATGCGGGCGAAGCCAGGTAGCAATGGCAGGTAGTTGTAAATATATTTTTAACAATTTAAATAGGTAGGTACCTAATGTAAGTAAGGTGAAAGAAGTGGAAACCATTGCTTTTTTCTTCCCCTCATATAATATACTAGCTACTTCCGCGCGGTTTCACACGCTCTGCTCAGCTCCTATTGGTCGTAGCGTGATGTTTTATAGCCTAAAGCCATCCTCGATAAATGCGCTATCCAACACAAAAAGAATTATTCAAATCAGACCTGTAGTTACGGAGATTAGCGCGTTCAAACAAACAAACAAAAAAACAAACTTCATCATCTTTATATAATAATAGTATGTATAAGATTCTGATTTATTTCGTTGCAAGAGAGTTATTCAAGTCCCTGCGACGCGCCGAACTTCAGTAATCCGGTGTTTTCATGGTTATATCTATTGTAGACCCTGGCTTACAGGTGTTGCAGCGGTTTCGAGAGGTGGTGGCGGGCTTGTCCCATTAAAAAAAGTAAGGTGAAAAGGTGACTAAAATCTTCCTTCTGCCTTTTATTGTGGGGGTTAAAAAGGCGAGACGTTATGTTATTATTGGTTGCTAACTCGCTTGCAATGTTATAAAATAATTAGGTATATTTAAAAAAAGTGTTGCCATACACCAGGGTTTTCGCTTGTGTAGTGGGTGCGTGGACAAACATAGGTACAAACACTTGACACCCAGACCCGAAACAACAATTTGTGTCTAGCCCACTAGGTACTCGTTAAGCGGCAGCTAGTCCTAGTAGTACCTAGCCGTTGCTCCATCCAAGCAGTTTGGTATGGATAAAATGTAACAGCTAATGTTTTAAGTATTTTTCGCGTCGACATATTTTAACCCGTGTCGTATGGAACGTTTTCGTACGAGGTACGTACGCGAAACACAATGTATATTTGCTATTGTGTCTTATATACCGGCACTCAAGAGGATAAAGAAGAAATTAGGAATAATCAATCTCGTCGGTTTTGATGCAAAATAGCCGTAGGTAAATGTTCCATGCATTTTTGTAATTTACTCTAGGCCATTTTTTTTAAAGGGCGGTAAATCATTGAATGACTTCTCCCGCCTGGGTGACTGAGGCGGGAGGGAGTGTCAGACTCCTACTGACTAAAAACCACCCCGTTGCTACTCCTGTCCTTCGAGTCGGAGCCCCGGCAGCTCGTTAAGTCCTCCGCGGCGCCGTACTCTAGGCCATAGAACTACGACGACGGTACCGAAACAAAATATGTTTATGTTAGTTATGTTAGGTATCTTTAAACACCTTGATGCGTAATTATGTAACTTTTTGAATTGAGCAAAGTTTTAAAACTCTTCAACTATCTTGACACATGAATGTAAATGACTTCTTGATCTTTGACTTTGCCAAGGCAGCGATTCTCTTCATAATTAAGCATTGAATAGATAGGGACAAGATGTTGCATGTGATTTCAATTTAGTAATGAAAAAAACCGACATTCCGTACGTTCGGACGGCATACAGTATACTTTAGGAATCTAATTAAAAACAAACCTACAGCTATGTAATCATACAAGTCTCTTATAGAGGACCCGGTGCCTCCATTCAGGTGTTGAGGGTGGCCACCGGGGTGGTTTTAGTGAGGTAAAAATCCCACACTCCCTAGTCTTTTATCCCCAAAAAGGCTGGGCGCCTTTTGAAGGTTTCCCTCCGTCATCAAAACAAAAAAAATAATAAGGTAATCATACAAGTGTAAATTAATAATTTGGTGAAGTGATGGTCCGCCATG